TTAACACATTCTACCACAGGGATGAACTTTGAAAATACTGTGCTACATTAACATAGGCCAATCACAAAAAGACAAATACAATATGATTAAACTTATATATAAGGTATCTAAAGATATGAATCTATTTAATATTGAAGTGTGCAGTGTATATGGCTAAGATGGCAAATTTTATGTATTGTGTGTTAATCAAAAAATAATAGTTTAAACAATAAAATCAACTATAAATAAACCAAAAAAGTAAGATCATGGAATCTACTCAAGTCTCAGAAAAGGTATTTACAAAACTCAAAATCCATTTCCAATAAAAACTCTTAGCAAACTAGGAAAAGAAGGACATCTGGGAAAAACCCACCGCTGACGTCATACTCAATGGTGAGCACCTGAATGCTTTACTTCCTCACATGAACTTTAACTCCAGGATGGCTGCTCTTACTACCTCTACCTCTCCTGTTCTAGACGTCCTGTCCAGAGCAATCAAGCAAGACAGAGAAAAGGCATCTAGATCTGAAAGTAATGGTAAAATTGTCTCACCCACAGATAACATGGTCATCTATGTCAAAATTCCAACAGAACCTACAAAAATCTCCTAGCTACAAATGAGTAAGTTTAGCATGGGAGATACAAAAATCAATATTCAAAAAAATCAATTTTATTGGCCTGGGGGTGTAACTCAGTGGTAGAATGTTTGCCTACTATGCACAAGGTCCTGAATTCAATTCTCAGCACTACAAAAAAAATCAATTTAATTCCTGCATATTGGCAAAGAATGGCTGGAAAGTAGAATTTTAAAGTGTCACTTAGATGGCATAAAAATATGAAATACTTAGGAAGAAATCTGACAAAAGATGTCGATGACTATACACTGAAAAGTACACAACACTAATAAATGTTAAAGAAGACCTAAATAAATAGAGATTGATATCATGTTCATGAATTAGAAAACTTGAAATTGTTAAAATATCAGTTCTCCAAATTGATCAAAATTCCAGCAGGCTTTTATAGAAATTGGGATACTGATTCTAAAATGTAAAAAAATCTAGAATAGCCAAAACAACTTGGAAAAAATAAAAGAAAAATAGTTACAGAGCTAACTCTACCTCAATACAAAGGTATAGTCATCAAATATTTCACAAATAGACCAATGGGATATAATAGAAAGTCCAGAAACAGATGTGTAGATATATGGACAACTGATTTTTTCTACAAAAGTGTAAAGGCAATTAAGTGGAGTAAAAGACAGACTTTTTAACAATTGGATATCCACAATCAAGAAAAGCCATTACTTCTGTGATCTTCCTCTCAACAAACTATAACTCAGTCTAACCACAATTAAAAAAACAAAAACATTACACAAATACAAACTGAGGGACAGTCTACAGAATAACTGGCCATCACTCCTCAAGACTGTCAAAGTCACCAAAAACAAGGACGTTCTAAGAAACTATCATGTTTTAGAGGAGCCATGATGACTAAATGCGAAGTGTTCTCCTCAGTGGGATATTGCCAAAGGAAAAAAAATCAGTGAAAACTAACTAAATCTGAATAGAACAGACTTTAGCTCATCATAATATGTCAATATTGATTCATAAGTTGTGATAAATATACCATAATATAATTCTTGACAATAGGAGAAACTGGGTGCAAGGTATATAAGAAATCTCTGTAATATGCTTTTTTAAAGCAATCTTGCTGTAAATGGTAAGTGGTAGAGCACTTACCTAGCAAGCTTGAGGCCCTGAGTTCAAACCCTCATGCCTCCCCCCGAAAAAAAAAATTGTTGGGTGGGGTATGGTGGTACACACCTATAATCTTAATTATTCAGGAGGTGGAGACAGGAGGATTGCAAGTTTGAGGACAGCCTGGGCAAAGTCAGCAAGACCCTATCAAAATGAAAACAAAAGGGCTGGGAGCATGACTCAAGTGGGAGCATCTTCCTATCAATTAGGAGGCCCTCGGTCAATTTCCACTACCACAGAGGGGAAAAAAAAATAATAATCCACAGACTGAGAGAAAATATTTGCCTAGCATATATCTAATTTTTAAAAAACTTATGTATCCAGAATTTATAAAAAATCTTTAAAACAATAATGAGGAAAAGTCCAATTTTTAAAAAGTGGGCAAAGATTTACACAAGGGAGGTATACAGATGGCAAACAGGCATCTATAAAGATGCTCAATATCATTAATGATTAGGGAAAGCAAACTAAAACCATATTTAATTTACACACCTGTTCAGATGACTAAAATGTAAAAGATTTATTGTATCTAGTGTCACTGAGCATGTAGAAGAAAGAGCTGGGCCTCTCATACTGCTGGTGGGACTGTGCAATGATACCCCGACTTGGGGATATCATTTGGCAGTTTCTTTAAAAGGTAAGCATACACCTACCATGTAACCCAGAGACTCCATTACTCATGGATAAATATCCATGAGAAAAGAAAGCATATTTCCTATTTAAATTTTCTGTATGTTGTGATATTTCCCCATCTTAAAAAACCTTTCTGACTGGGGTGGAGGGGTGCCTTTTCTCAGTCTACCTAATAATTAGAGATAACAAAGGGCCTATCCTTTATATATTATAGCCCACTAAAATCATTCAAACTTACCAATCTAAAACTGTTCATACTACTCTGTCTTGCAAAAACTCCAACAGGGCCATAGCCAGGCCCTCTCCTCAGTCCTGCCCTGGAAGGGGTGCTGTTTTCTCACTCACTCCCTTGTTGGAGCAAGCATTCTCTCTTGCTCCTGGTTATTACTAAACATAACTGGGGACAACTGGAGATTCAGAAAAGATACAGATAGACAGACAGACAGAAAGCAGGTCGGGTGTGCTTGGGTGAAGATGTACAACCCTCATTGCTTCTTTTCTCTATCTTTTATTCTTTAAGACCTACTCCTTGTATGCACATATGAATAATAAAACAATAAAAAAAAAGACCTACTCCTTGCAGTTCTTTAAAACCTTGCTTAAAACCTCTTTCCTTAGACTCACTCTGTCCCATGTTTTCTCTTAGCTGTTCCTTAGCTTAATCGTTCTTAAAGTCTTTTGCCCCCAGGCTTGTACTGTCCCATTTCTCTTTAGCTTTCTTAAAGCCTCAGTGCTCAGACTTGCAACAGCCATGCCCGAAAACTGCATATGCATAACTCTTAAAGTCTTGCACTGTAAAGTTCTTTGACTTCTCGTTAGCTTAGCTTTTCTAAGGCCTACATTAAAGTTCTCAGTGCAGACTTTCTATCGATCCCTCTTTAGCCATTCCCCTTTAGCAATCGTTTTCCCTTCAGCAATCTTTTCCCTTATAAACGCCTGCCACACAAAAAAGCCCCAAAGCAAAAAGCAAAACCCCAAAATTAAAGCAAAAGCCTCAAGCCCTCCTTCAGCAGGAATCTTATACCCAGTGGTAAACATGGTGGAGCAGAGGCTCTTGGGGAGGGGCGTAACACTGTAACAGGAGAAACCTGTGTTCCTCCTTCGCTGAACTTAAACAACTTAGAAGAAACAGCTGTTCTGTTTCCAGGGCTGTGCCACTCTCAGAAAAGCAGGTGAGCCTCATCTCGCCTTGCTTGTGTCCAGTTCTCATAGGCTTTCCATAATCCACTCTCCACACTGCCCTTTCTGCCTCCTGGTATTTCAAGACAAAAGATATGCCAGGTACCACTTTCCCACAGTCCCAGCATCCAATATGTATCAGCCAGGTTTCCATCTGAATACCATTGGTAAAACTACTTGTCAGAGGGGCTGTGGAAGTGGTTGAACAATCTCTATACAGTCTTGGTAAGTACTGCAAGGTGAGTCTTTATGGAGGCTGATGTGAGGACAAGCAAGTCAAGCAGAGACCACAATAAGGGACTAGAACCCTGAGTTATTCTCACTACCTACAACCTTGACAATGTGGGGGCTCTGTGGTAGAAGCTGGGCTTCTTCTTCACAAAGCTAATCCCACGTGTGGGAGAAGCTGAAGGAGGGCCCAGGGAAAGGTGGAGGAACTGCAGGCCCAGGGTTAGATAAAGCTAAAGATAAGGAATCAAGAGATTTGGTCTGAATGTTTGGTTTTGGTAGGAGGACAGGGCACCATGGAAATGGAATATGGATTTTCCAGGCAATATGTGGAGTTGCAACTAGTTGACTTCATGGACAAAAGTCAAAGTTTCAAATATCTTGTAGCTCCAAGACTCTGATCCTGGCTAAGGGGAAGTATGGTGGTGTTAAGAAGCCGTTAGTCATTCAATAAATACTAATTAAGCTCCTGCAATGAGGCAGGCACTGTAGAGTTTGCTGGGGACACAGTTGTGTACAAAGCAAAGCCTGTGTCTTTGTGGAGCTGTCCTTACAGTAGGGAAAATCTGAAGAATATCTGTTGCTAGGAAGAGAGATTAAGTACAATAAAGGCAAATGAGAGCTGTCAAAGGGCAGAAGAAGCAGAGGATAGACTGTCATGCAGCCAGAGAAGAGTCATGAAGAGGAGGTTGCTAAGAGAGCATCATGGTGAGAACTATGAACAGGCTATTCTGTCATTTCCTACAGGAGACCTCTGGCCTCCTCCTCCTTCATTTTTTTCCTTCCAACACTTCCTGAATTTTCCAGCCATAGCAGTCTTCCTCAAATATCCCAGAGGCAAAACCCTTGAGCTGACATTCAATTGTGACTCGTTCCTTCCTAATTCCTCTGTCACTATTGCTGTTATGATGGAGGAAATACACTGGGAGGAAAAATTCCTGTACAGCGCTTGGCAAACGGACAAGTGACGTTCTCATGCCCAACCTCAGGCAGCATGTATTCTGGACGGCAATAAATACAAACTTTTAAATAAATAAGTAATACAAACTAACTTGAACATGCGAATGGATGGACTCGCGAAGGTGCCCGCTGAGCTCCTGTCTCACGCCCAACCTCTGCAGCCGAGGAATTTTGTTGCCCATAAGTCCCCGCGCGGCCGTCCGGCGCTGCCGCGGAGCACCCTGGGAAGCTTAGTCCGCGACCCAAAACTCGCTTTCGGGATACCCGCCCTCGCCAACATGGCGGCGCCCAGTGGGGCACAGCGCGTTTACTTGGCGTTCTGGCCAGGGCCGGGGTTTGGGCTTTAGGCAGTAAGTGGGATTGGGGGCCGGGGAACCAGGGAGGGACGTGGGAAGGATGGAGACCGGGTTGACTTCACGGCCTGCCGAGAGCGAGGCGAAGGGCGGCCCGGGCCTACCCGGGGGCGCGGTGCTCTCCCGGCCTCCGGTCAGTGATCTCGGGTCGCTGGGATTCCTGCCTCGTCGCCCTCCTGGCCCTGTAGGGGCTTGATAGGCTGAGGGGCCGTGGAATGGGGGAGATGAGAATCTACACTATGAACTCGAGGCCAGACTCTCGCGTTCCATTTCTTGTGCTTTTCTTCTGAGGAGTGCGTTGAAAAGCAAAGTAATTGCCTTCTACGCTACCTATTACTTAGAAACTGTGCTAGGCGCTTATATATCTCTTACCTCCAAGCGACCTTCCATCACATTTGATGTGAGACTTTGAGCAGGTCACTTAGGTCCCCAGGTCTTAGGTGGATCAGTAAGTATATGTTGGATGGCCATTGGACTCCATCATTTCAATGGCAAAGCCTTTCTGCCCCAGGGAACCTCCACCTGGCTCTCTACAGTTTGGAGACAATGTGCTATAAAGATGATTAATTTGATCGATGTCATTCATTTAAATGTCATGTTCTGGCACGAGGTACTGAGGTGTGTGAGAAGCAGAGATTTTAGTGAGTGATTGATGGTCCCAATCCTGTCACTTCCCTGAATTTAGGATTGGCTAAATTAAATTTAATTAATTAAATTAGTGGGTAGGTTTGGTTGATGGGTTTTCTTTCTTTTTTTACATTAATGATGTGAATATGCATTTTTTTTTTTTTAAGAACAGCTCTCATTTGTTGTGGGCCAAACCCTATGTATTAAGTGCCTTTCTTTTATTACATAATTTGACAAAGGATCCTACAGGACATGTACTATCAGATTTTACTTGTAAGAAAACAGTTTAAGTAATTTACTTAGGTTAGTTAGGATCCTGGTAGGGATGAAAAAAAAAAATTAGATCTTGCTTCCTCCAAAACACAAACTACTGTACATATTTTCTAAAGAACAATTTAACAAAACTCCTAAGTGAAAGGAAAATTTGGGAAAGACTTCATTTTAAAAATGAAAATATGTAACATGTCTTTTTTTTAAAGGATATTTGGTTTCACAATGTTTGGGGATCTGTTTGAAGAGGATTATTCCAGTGTGTCAAATAATCAATATGGAAAAGGGAAGAAATTAAAGACTAAAACTTTGGAGCCACCTGCTCCTAGAGAGTTCACCAATTTAAGTGGAATCAGAAATCAGGGTGGAACCTGTTACCTCAATTCCCTTCTTCAAACGCTCCATTTCACACCTGAGTTCAGAGGTATGCTGTCTTACATGCATTTGAAAGTAATACATAACCATCGACTTTACATGTAATTAATTACATAAAATCACAAAGGAAGTATTTTAAAGATGTATTCCACAGTATGTGCTTAATTGTTGCAAATGTAAGACATAAGTTGGTGATTTTCTTTGCAGAGAAATGTAAAGCTTAAATTATTTTAAATAGATTCTGTGTGATTATGGTAATGTTTAATAACAAAATTAAAAGATAAGGCAATATATTCCTTTTCTAATTCCTGTTATTTAAAATACAACAGAAAGGGAATTCTGCCATGAATACTAGATTTCATTATTGTTACATTATTGGTATTTTTTAGTTTAATGCTTTCTTCAAAGTAACACTTAAGTCAATTATTTCCTGACTTTTGAAGTAGGAAGGGTGTCACAGTATTTATACACATCCACAATTGTTCATTTGCATATATGAAATCCGAAAGTTCTGACCCTGATCTAATATGACCTGAACTTGTTTGGCCTCAGGACCTGAGCTGGTGTGAAGCTATTCAGTCTTAGTTATTGCACTAGGGTGAATTTTCATACATCCATACGGGAAGGTTAATCTGCTTGATTAATGGATTCTCTATACAGACCCTGCTGAGAATGAATAGACATAACACTTCATATTTTTCTAAAATCTAGAAATGCTGAATTCCAAAGACTCAAAGATTTTAAGGTAAAGGATTATGTGCAAAGAACAGAAACCTGCTCAGATTGGCTATATTAAAAAGGGGGGAAAGGCTTGTTGGGAGGGGTAAGAGGACTCTCCCAGAAACCAACTGTAGGAAGCTAGCCTGAGTTCATCAGACCCTTGATTTCTTATCCCTGTTTCTCTTCATGTTTGTCCCATTGCCATCTCTGCAAATCACCCTCCTCCACCAGGGTCTTTCATGTCTGTGTTCCTTTGATTCTAGTATAAGCATGACTATGTAGCGCAGATCTCCATAGGGTCTCCATATTCTGAGGACAGACAACCTGATTCATCCTATATCTGAGCACCATGTTCCCCTTTCCACCACCACCCAACTTATTTACCAGATATTTGTAATGTCTTCTGTTGCTTTTAGGCTTGGAAAGACTTCCTCTTCCAGAGATTTAATAAATATTTACCATTGCCCTCATCCCAGCACCATTTTAATAGGTTGTACTGCGTGTATACCTCTTGTCCTTAATTCTTTCCTCTCCATAAAATTACTTTCCCTAATGCAGTCAGTAATTCCAATCTTAGAAATTTTCAGCATTAATAAGTAGATTCCTCAGAGGGATAACATTTCTCTCGGTTTTAATATGGTTGAAGTTAAAAAGGCAACTTGAAGTAGAAAAGTAGCCTCAAGAGGAGACTGAGGAACCCTTGGGGAGGCTGAGGCAGAAGGATGACCACTTTGAGGCCAGCCTAGGCCATGTAGTGAGACCCTATCTCAAAAACACACACAAAAAAAACTGAGGAAGAAAGGTGAGGGACTGGGACAAGTCATGGAGAGTACCTTGAGGCAGGAGTAGGGCTGAGAGCTGCAAACCAGCTTCCTTTGGACTGGCCAAGTAAGTGGTTTGACTTCGTATTGTGGACATGTATTGCTTCTACGGCTTAGCATGATCCTGATGCTAAGTGAAGGGGACATATAACTTGAAAAGGGTAAGGACTAGCAGAGCACTGGGAGATAAAAACTGGGGGATTTTTTTTGGAGTAGTATTTTAACGTAAGGCTAAATTGGGCTCAGTTGTACTGCTAGTATTAGCTCGGTATGAGTGGGCCGTGACTCTCAAAGTTCTTGTAGGTTTGTGCTTTAACCTGTAGGCTTATAGTTCACTTTTGCCCAGTCGCAGCACTTGAGGAGTATAGCATTCATAGCAGTGATTACTGAGGCAGCAGTGGCTTCTAATAAAGAGGCACATCCATCCCATCCCTTGTCTCACGAGAGTGTATCAAAGTTCCCCATAAGGAATTCCTACCAAAGTTTGGCAGACTTCCCAAAACATTCAGATATGCCCCAGATAACTACATGTTGAATTATTTAAAAAAAAAATCCTGGAGACTGGCACAGGGTTGCCAGCTTCTTTTTCCAGGTAAGATAACTACCATCTCTTACTACTCTGACCACAGAAAAGACTTTTTTCACACCAAAGAAAGAGAAGAGCACAATCTCAAAGTAAAAGGTGATCCCTCCCATGAAAGGTTGGTTGTCAGTCTCACATTTGAAAGTAAACACATATGATGCTTCTATATTTACTGTGATTCTTCATGGCTTTGAGGTCTGACTATCACAGATAACAAGTATCAATTTTTTTGTGTGTGTGTGGTATTGGGTTTGAATTCAGGTTCTACACCTTGAGCTACTTCACCAGCCCTTTTTTGTGAAGGGATTTTTTGAGATAGAGTCTCAGGAACTATTTGCCCAGGGCTGGCTTTGAACTGTGATCTTCCTGATCTCTGCTTCCTGAGTAGTTAGGATTACAGGCATGAACCACAGGCACCTGGAAACAGTTTTCTCCTTTATATTTGTTTATTTATTTCAAGGTACTGGGGTTTGAATTCAGGGCCTACACCTTGAGCCTCTCCATCAGCCCTCTTTTTCTGTGTTGGTTTTTTTCAAGATAGGATCTCACAACTATTTTCTCAGGCTGGCTTTGAACTGGAATCCTCCTGAGTAGCTAAGATTACAGGCATGGACCACCAACACCTGGTAGGAATCAGGTATTTCTGATGCTAATATTCATAGATTGTTGTTTGGTTTGGTTTTTTTTGCTGTACTAGGGATTGAACCCAGAGATTTGCACATAGTAGGCAAGTACTCTGTCACTGAGCTTGGATAAAAAACTTGGATTTTTGAATTAGGGTCTTGCTACAGAGCTCAGGCTGGCCTTGAACTGGCTCCTCATGCCTCCACCTCCCTAGCACTAGGATTACAAGGGTGAACCACTATGCCCAGGCTCTTTATAGTTTTATGTATGTAAACTAATGAATGGTTTCCTTTTATGGAACTCCCACTTTGAAACCTTAATATGTCACCTTATTTTCTTAGATTCAATGAAGAAAAATATTACAAGAAAACAAAATGTGTAGATTAAGGGTGTAAATATGGCCGTCATATTTTGAATCTTTAACCAGTTTTGCTTAATGATGGTATTGGCTTTCTAAACAATTTTCTAAAATGAAATCATGTCATTTACATCTCTGATTCTACTTTTTTGTTTAGAAGCTTTATTTTCTCTTGGTCCGGAAGAACTTGGTTCTTTAGAGGATAAGGATAAACCTGATGCAAAGGTATTAAATCTATAATTTACTGGGGTGTTTTGGAGTATTGAGGAAGTAGTTTTTAAAGAAGGAATTCAGTTCCTTATTCATAGAAAGTATGGTCTTTATTTTCAGAAGTAACTTGCCCTGTGCTATTAGCAGTGAAATTTTCTTTCCAAAAATTTGCTTTTCCAAATATAATGCCTTACTATTTTGTTTATTCTTATGATGAAACAGGTATTTACAAATTGTCCACACTGACATACCAAAACACTGATTTAATATATCCACTTATTTGCAACAATATGAAAAAATCTGTAGAAATCAGTATTTTTTCAATGTGATACTCTGGCAGTACTGTTGAGCAAGGAATTGGTTTGTTATTTTGTATGTTACTGTGGTAAGATTGTATTTACAGTGCAGCTCCAATTGTGTTCTCCCTGCTTAAACCTCATTCAGAAGTCTGATCACTTTCAGGCTAAAGCTGTGATACAGCCCAGTGCTTTGCAAACAAGCTGTCTGGTAAAGGACTAGTTTTCATGTATTTTTTTTCCTTCCCAATCTGTTGCAGATCAATACTTTTGTTGTGTATATTTTTTTTTAATGTCATGGAAATGTAACATTGCCACAAAAGTTTCTAAATGTTCGTTGTCCCCTTAGTTCTTAAAGTCTGGTCTGCAGACCCTGAAAAGGCATTGCTCAGTCAGTCCTTGCCTCACAATGTGGAATAAGGCAGGACTAAGCCTGGAGCCAGCAGAAAGGGAGGCAAGGTGCCACTAGCCCCCACAAAGCATCAGAACCCTAGCCTGAGATCTGCCTGCCTGGGAAGTCCTTACATTTATCTGTAGGAGTACATCTTAAAGAATTATGAGAGATTCTAACTACTATCTATATCATAGATATGAGTGGTTTATCCAAGCCTATTTAAATTTAATATTGATCTGAACTGTGTCAAGGTGGAAAAGTCCAGATAACTACAACTTTTTGGACTGAATTAGAATTTCCAAAGAACTGAATAATAATTAGTTCTCCATTTGTAATGAGAGATTTATAAACTTTCTGCTAGGAGTTAGGTCAAATCTAGCCTATTCTCTTCAAAAGTCTCAGGGAGCACATAAAAGAGTTGATTTAGAAGTGCATCTTCTCCCCCAGGTTCGGGTCATACCTCTACAGTTGCAACGCTTGTTTGCACAGCTCCTGCTCTTGGACCAGGAAGCTGCGTCCACAGCAGATCTTACTGACAGCTTCGGGTGGACCAGCAATGAGGTACGAAGGGCTCAGAGGAGCAAAGAGCCAACACTATTTTAGTATGTGTTCTGACTTCCTTTAATTTGTCTTAGGGTCTCAATATGTTGTTTGAATGTTTCCTTCTTACATTAAATAATTGCAAGCCAGAAGTATATTTTTAGATGCTTACTGTATACAGGGGTATATGACTGTCCACAATTTGGGGTTGGGTAGAGGTACTGCGTTCTGTAATTTCTACTCTAAGAAGCTTTATAAAATCTAGTTGATATGTAATACTTGGAGATATTACAGGGAAATTATTTACCATTTATATGGCAAACTGCTCTTTAGCTTTTTAGCCTTTTACAGTAATGGATTAACTGAATTATAGGTAAGTTTTTTAGAAATGCTGTCTGCCTTTGTGACATGCTTTATGGTTGAATTGGCCATTCTGGTTTGCATTTTTTGTTGTTTTGTTTTGGGCGGTGCTGAGAATTGAACTCAGGGCCTTGCTCTCCCATGAATCTGGGGTATTTGCTTTTGTCAAACCTGTGACGCTATTCTTGGCAGTTCTTTTCATTTTTCCTGTCCTGATTTGCTCCTGACTCTTCATGTTCTTCCTGTATCCTGTTGGGGGATGGGGGAGCTTTCTTTCTGTGTTCCTAAAGGTATTTACCACTTATAAACACTAAACATTTGCCAGTAACAAGTGAAAATGCTTGTTATTATGAGTTGCTAGCTATATAAATTCAAGCAAATCTGGTCTTCTGTTTTTTAAAAAATGGAATAGATGTATTCCTGCAAAGACAGGCATGAGAGACTATCAAAGAACTTAAAGAGGCAATGGTGGGAATACTGTTACATTGCCTTCAACAACAAGCTCTGAATGTTCCTAGTCAGGAGCACTGTGATTAAACAGTAGGGCTTGTAAAGCCCCAGCTCTTCCTGGTTTCTAGAACCCCACCCGCCTGATTCCCTTCTTATTGTTCTTTCTCCTCTTCTCCACTTCTCAGAGGAAGTGATCACGTTAGCTTGGTTTATAAATTGTTCTTAAGGAATAGTTCACACACAGCTACATGACTCATAGTGGATTAAAGCAAGATCCATCTGAAGTTTCCCTCAGTAGCACTGTATGTCAGTCTTGTTTTCGTTGGCTTATACTTCACAGCAATAAATTCTAATTCTTCTCCAATGTTTGAGAGCTCATAGTGTTCACCAGCCACTGTGAGCTAAGTGAGATTTACCTGTACACACACTGCTACTTTGAACCTGTGTTCTTCCCTCTTCTCCATTTTGAATGCAGTTTCTGAGTATGGGTGAGTTGAGTTATATTACACAGTGAACGCTGTTTATTCATATTTTCATTTTGTAGTATAAAAAATAGGCCAGTGATCTTTTAACCTGCTCTCAGCTCATTTTGCCTTGACTTATCTTGGATTGCTTTGTATGTCTTGTGTTTTTGTTAACTGGTATTATTCTTAAAGTCTTTCCTTAAAAATTTGAAACGCAAAGTTACATTTAAAAGTTCCCTGTTGTGTAGGAAATGAGGCAACATGATGTGCAGGAACTCAATCGAATTCTCTTCAGTGCTCTGGAAACTTCCTTAGTCGGGACCTCTGGCCATGACCTCATTAATCGCCTGTACCACGGAACGGTTGTTAACCAAGTGGTTTGTAAAGAATGTAAGAACATCAGTGAGAAGCAGGTGAATGTGCAAGAATACTTTAGTAATAAATTATATAAATTATGTAAATTATAATTCAATAAGACCTGTAATACACATGAGGATTAAAATGTTTATTTCTAGCAATTATCAGTTTCTTTTTTTTTTTTTTTTACTTTAAATGCATCTGAATCATCCATATTTCTCCACATAAACTAGAATCAGCAAATATCTTAAACAGTCATTATTCAGTACTCTGATGTTTGGAAAATGGTTTGTGAAGATGTTTATGAATAAAGCCTCTGACCTCATGAAAGAAGCCAGAGTCACTGTGGTTGGAAGTGTGTAAAGAAAATTAGGTAATACAAACAGGGAATACTGAAGATGTCTAAGCTGACAAATAACTGTAATTGAATACTAGATTTAGTTTATTAATGCCTTTTAGAAAGTTTATTTGTATATGTTTATATATGATATATAAATTATATATGTTATGGATAAAGCTATCTAATCCTGTTTTAATCACACAGTTCTTTATAATACAGGTTGCCTAATTTGATTGGAAATTAGAAATTGGGAACTCACTTATGTGAATACAATAATCTGTTTGTTGTACAAGTCTTATATGGCTAATAATTTCATCACTGAACCCTTTAATAAAAATTTCCTTTTGTTGTGGCAAGAATTATAGAAAGTTTTAGTATTTTGCTATATGAGTAAAAAAGTTTGTCATTTTCTAAATGTGTTTATTGGGTTTTTTTGTAAATTAAATATATAAATATATGAATATAACATATGTATGTGTATACACATATGCATTTATTCTCTTTTTTTTTTTTTTTTTTTGAGACAGGATCCTGCTAAGTTAAGACTAGTCTTGCACTTGTGATCCTCCTGCCTCAACCTCCCAAGTGCTAGGATTATAGCCATGCTCCAGTATGCCCAGCTTAAATGGATTCTTTTTTTTGATTTGTGGTGCTGGGAATAGAACCCAGAGCCTTACACATGCTAGACAAGTGCAAGAAAATAGTATTGAAAACTATCCTCATACCTGTTCTTTATTTTGTAAGATCAAGCTGAGGAAGCTGGGTATGGTGGCATATGCCTACAATCCCAGCACTTGGGAGGTGGAAGCAGGAGGATTTTCAGTTTGAGGCCAGCCTTGGCTACGTAGTGAGATCCTGTCTCAAAACAAATAAACAAAGCAAAAAACCTTCTTGGCCTTTCTTACCTATGTTAACAGAAGCTTAGCCTAGTTTGAAAGTAATTACGATGTCTCTGTCTTTGAATTAGCTCATGATTGAGTTCTGATGAAACAATTCACAAAGTAATTACAAATCACAATGTATATGAAGCACATTATAAATTGTAAACATTGACGTTTCACACATGCAAAGTGTTTTTTATTACCTAAGATTTTTACCATGAACTATTTAGTGCCCTGTCATTTTCCAGTCCCTATAATTCCTTAAAATAAATCTATTGCATTCATGCACAAAACTATAAATTATGATTTAAACTTGCCAAATTATAAGGTTAATTACTAGAAATAAATTATAATTCAAATGTAATTATAGTAGAATTAATAGGCTTCCTTTTTGCAAAATGCTGTCCTCTTAATTTTCATAGAAATACCTGTTTATCCTCGCTCAAGATCATTTTTTCTTAAAACTTCCTCAGCATTTCTTAAACCAACCTTAGCAAAAGAAGATGACAAAATGGAGTTTACATTAGACAATTCAACTCTGCCTTTTCTATTATAATTCTAAAAACTAAAACTACCACTAAGCTCTGTGTATGTGTCATATTTAAATTCAGGTATGTGTTTTATTGCAGTTTATTTCCTAAGAAAACAGATTTTATTACCGCTACACTAAAGCTCATAAGTTTCTTACTTTATAAATGTTTTTCTAATATATTTTAAGCTATATTATACTTTGATTTAGCATTATGAGTTTCACAATATTTAATGAAGACATTTGCATCTTTATATATGCTGTGTTTTGGGAAATATATCTTGTTCCCAGTATATATTTTAGTTGGTGATATGTTCATATACCTGTGAAATTATTTTTTCAATACTATTTTTCTTGCACCTTTTAGGAAGATTTCTTAGATCTAACAGTAGCAGTCAAAAATGTATGTGGTTTGGAAGATGCACTCTGGAACATGTATGTGGAAGAGGAAGTTTTTGATTATGACAACTTGTACCACTGTGGAACTTGTGACCGGCTGGTTAAAGCAGCAAAGGTAATGATCCCTGTCTTGTTTTTATGCTCATGACAGGAAAGTCTACCAGCTGAACAGTCTGGAGGATTTGTAGAGCTTTTTCTGTTTTGTTTGTTTTTTGAGACGGTGTGTTGCCATGTAGCTCAGGCTGGCCTGAAACTTTTGATCTTCTTGAAAAGCTTTTGAAGCTTTCAGCTTTCTCTCACCTTCCTTCCCTCCCAGAAAAATTTATGGGTATGTCAGTGTTTCTTAAATGTATCCTTTTAATGTAAATCCCTGCTTTTGGCAAATTACTATTGCAAAGAAGACAGCCTGTGTTTTTTTCAGGGTAAATTGCTCATTCCAGCTCCTTTGTGATGTTGCTGTGGTTTGTTATGTCAGCACTTTGGCATTGCTGAAAATTGGCCACATACTCATGTGTCCCATTTTTGATGTAGGGTCTTTATGCTTTAGTAGCTGAGCCCTTAGACCAAGGATATTTTACCTACTTATTCTCGAGGAGTTTGGCATGTGAATAACTCTTTGGAGGACAGATTTTAGGAAAACGTTCTGTAGAGTTGGGTTATTCCCCCCCCCTTTATCTCCTAGCAACCATGTATATTTCCTTTTCACCATCTTTTTTGCAATTGTATGTGATTTCTCTCACTATGGAATTGTGTTTTTTTGTTTTTTTTTTTTGTAGTTCTGGAAATTGAACCCATGATCCAGCACTTGCTAAGCAAGCATCTCTGTCAATTGAGCTATGCCCCCAGCCCTTTTGGTTTTGTTTCTTTTTCTAATTTTCTTTTTGAAATAAGGGTCTTGCTACCTTTGCCTGGGCTGTCCTCAAACTTGTGAGCTTCTTGCCTCTGCCTTCCAAGTAGCTAGGATTATAGGTGTGCACCATGAGGCACAGCTTAGAATTGTTTTTTGCATGGTCAGTTTCAACCAAAAACATCACCAATGCTAGTAAGTTGCTAAGTACTAGTAATTTATTAATAATAATGTAAAATGATTATTAGAGATGGTTTATAAATGACTAAATGTCTACATATGTATAAATTATTAATGCTGTTTTCCATTAATTTGGCTTGGATGTGCCATCTGCTGCCCCTTTCTGGCCTTCCTCTCAGCAACTGTAACTATGACCAATGTGACTTTAACCTTGCTGCTATCATTATTATCTGCAATAATAACTGTATCACTGCAGCCGGATGGTACAGTAGGCTGTTTATAAACATTATAACTTGAATGCAATTCAGTGGTTATTAAACCGCTACTGCAAAAGGTAATATCTGTACACTTACTCCATGATGACATAGCATTAAAGCACTATTCCTATAGCTGACAATTACTGAATTTTCCAACAAATACAATGAGCTGTGATGTAGATAGCACACACTACTGATTTTATATTCTAAAGATACAGAAGAAAATAGAATAAAAATAATAAACCCTGTGGATGTAGCTTTCCCAATAGGATTTAAAATCAGGATGGGGACTGGCGGAGTGTCTCAAGTGGTAGAGCACGTGCCTAGCAAGTGTGAGATCCTGAGCTCAAACCCCAATATGTCCAAATAATAAATAAAAAAAAACCAGAATGAATTTTACACTGTTGAATATATATTTTCATCCAGTCTTTGCACCTTTATGAAATCCAAAGAGAAAGGTTTGCCATTTACTTACTTGTTCTGTATTTCACCTTTGGTGTTGTAACTACAATCTAAAGATGTAAGTATGTAAGATGTAAGTAAGCATAAATTCAGAGTTTGGAAACATCTTAGATACACACATTCTTAGTTTTTGAATTGTAAAAAAGTAAAACAAGAACTTTTGCTAAACAAATGCAGTTGTTTTATATACCTTTCATATCATTGAAAATTTTTGATCTTTATACTCTTAAAACTGCATTCTACTTAAAGAGTGAAAAAGTTAAGTAAATAAAATTGCATTCTATTCTAACTTCATTGAATTTGTTGCATAGCCAAACCTAAATTTATAATTATTTCATTTGTTCATGCAATATTTTATTTGGGGGGTTTGTTCTTGTTTTGGTTTTTTTGAGTCAGGATGTCACTGTGTAGCACAGGATGGCTTCAGATTTTCAATCCTGCCTCAGCCTCCTGAGTGCAGGGATTACAGGTGTGTACAACTATACCCAGCTCCTGTGCTACCTAAATACATGCAGATTTTCTTGTCCTTAGCAGTCTTTTCTTAGTTGAGCTTCCTGGAGTTTTTAGGTGCATCGTTAGACTTTGTTTGAAAATCTACCATGTTACAGTGCCAGGATTTTTTAAATTTATATATTTGTTTATTTGAGACAGGATTGTGTTATGTAGCCCATGCTGAACTAGGAACTTGCTATGTAGCCCAGACTGGCCTCAATCTCTTATTCCTCCTGCCTCAGCCTCATAAGTGCTGGGCTACAGGTGTACACCACCCCGCCTGGCCTTATTTGACATGACACCAAGTGTGAGGTGAAAGGTCAGGATTGGGGAGGAAGTAAACATTGATAGATAGGGAATACCCAGTTATGTCAATGCTGTTTTTGGATAGTAACATTAAAAGCAGAGAACTAGCTTGTAAATGTTCAGTTTTAAGCATAAATGAGTGATACCATCTTTTGTCCTACAAAATAGATGAGTTTATATCAAGAGTTATATTATAAAATCCACAATAATGAGTTTGTGGGATTTAAGGACATATTTCTCATAACTGTGTCATAGGTTGTTTTTTCATTCCTTAAGTAACATTATGTATCCTTTCATATAACTCTGCATTTTAAAAACTTTGTAAATTTTTTCTTTTAACAGTCGGCCAAATTGCGTAAGCTGCCTCCCTTTCTTACTATTTCATTACTAAGATTTAATTTTGATTTCGTGAAGTGTGAACGCTACAAGGAAACTAGTTGTTATACATTCCCTCTCCGGATCAATCTCAAGCCTTTTTGTGAACAGGTTTGAACTATTTTTTTTTTTAATTCTTTTTTTTTACTTTCCCAAGGTAGACGATTTTATTGACCTTATTTTTAGTCAGTATTTTGAGTTAAATTATTCTTTGGTGTGTGTCAGAGTCCGTGGCCTCTACTTTTTAGATGACAGCAACAACACCACTCCCCCAGCTGTGGGAACGGAGGGCATTGCAGACATAACCCAGTGTCCATCCTCCTAGGAAGAGGGTGGCAAAATTGCCCTGAGAACTCCTGATTTATTTGTAGTCCTTCTGAATCTGTCAAGTATGGATTTGTTCTCAGTTCTCTTTATTAAACTCTTATTGAAAAATCTGTGAAATGAACATTTTCAAACAATGCTTTTAGAAAAATTACCATTAATTGTTTTATTTTTAATTGTTAGTATAGGAGTTTATCTACTGGGTCATTTGTGATGATAGAGCATGTTAACTACAGGAAAGGTCAATCATAGAATCAGTAAAGCAAGAAAGAACCTCCTCTTTGCACTAAACTGCCTCTAAACAAGACCAGGCAGTATTCACAATTGCTAATTTCCTGTTCTGTGCGGGGGATTAAGGTGTCAGGAGGGGTCTGGCCGAGAGGCATATGGTTGAAATCTAGGGCAATTTTGATAAATAAAGAGCATGTGTATTAAACAGTAGAATGCATGCAACACAAAGGTGGTTTTCTCGTGCTAAAAATCTTACCACAGACTCATGTTATGTGCCATATTGGCTTATATAATCTTAGCCAAAGCAGGTAAAAATAATGTATTTTTCAGATACATGTTTTCACATTTAAGTAGGAGACAGAAATTGATTGGTATAGTGTGTTAGCAGGACATCAATGAATTAGGAATTTTAAATGTAAATGGAATTATTTAAATGTATCTTTACCCTAAAATAGCAATAATAAACAGTAAAAATGCTTGTTAATTTCAGTAGCTGAAATTCCATTTCTCCCTGATGTGTATCTCACCATCTTATCTAAACTGTATCAGTGTTTATTTTCCTTCTTTTAGAGTGAATTGGATGATTCAGAATATACATATGACCTCTTCTCAGTCATTATCCACAGAGGTGGCTGCTATGGAGGACATTATCATGTCTACATTAAGGATGTTGATCATCTGGGAAACTGGCAATTTCAAGTAAGTATGGAAATTTGTTTAGAAGTATCTTTGCAGTTTCTTTGCATTTCTGTTCCTGTTACACTGTTTTATTGATCTTTTGCCATTTATTGTATACCTACCCTGTAGAAGACTCTGGTAAGCACTAAAAGTTAGTACAGATATGTTTTAACTTTTTATTTATAAATAATTTTACTTGAACAAAAAAGTTACCAGAATATAGGCACTTCATGTATAGACACTTTACCTAGATTCTCCAGTTGTTAACATTTTGCCACATTTGTGCATATACATACACAGAGCCATACACATCTAGTACCAAACCATTTGAAGTTAAGTTGAGAGCATCAAGCCCTTTGTTCCTAAATACTTCAGTGTTTATCTACTAAAAACAGGGATACCCCCCCTACATAAGCAAAGCTCAAAATGAGGAACCTTTAACATTGTTGTAACCTTTTTTCTGTATCACCAGATCTCTGCTCTGAGCCCTGCCTCTGTGGCCGCCTGCAGGAGTATGTCTGTGTTTTCTTCAGCACCTCCTGCATCTTTGCTCAGCCACTTTCAAAGTTGAGGCGTTTTTCTAGCTTCTTCATTTATCCTGTTTTTGATGCATAAAACATCACTTCACAATTTCATTTTCAGATTTACCATTGAGGTTGTGCACAGAGGTAGCCTCACCTGCTGTAGTTAGGCAGCGTATTTCACATCTATAATCTCAGCACTGCAGGCTGAGACAGAAGGATCCTGAATTCCAGGCCAGCCATAATGGAAGGAAAATGCAATATATATGTTGAAAACACACACACACACACACACACACACACACACTTTAATGACAACTTTGGAGAAAATAAGATTTGGGGAGTTTCTATGTTGGTGCACACATCCGTACGCTGGGAGGATGGTTCCCCACACACAGGCACTCCGCTCAGCCATCCAGAGCCCACCATAGGCACCTCTGCATCTGGCTATTCATTGTTACCGTTTATAATAAGCTATAGTGTAAGTTCCTGAGTTCTATGAATTGTTCCAGAAAATGATGAACCAGACTAGGCAGAAGTACAAGTAGCCCTGTTTTTGGTTGAAGTACAGGCCAGTCCTATGGGGCTGAGCCCTAAATTGTGGTGTCTGTGCTATCCCTAGGTAGTTACTGTCAGAATTGATTGATTTTGTAGTCGACACTCAGTTGGTGTTAGAGAATAGGAGTATTGGGTTTTGTTTGAAAAACCAATCACTGCTTTGAGTAGGTCTCTCCCAAACACTGTACTGTGAGCATCAAGTAGAAGCTCAATGTCAGCAAGATTAGTATCTTAGTCCACTCAGGCTGCTGCAACCCCTCACTGCAATTTACAAGCACTAGCAATCTATTGTAAGCAACTCTGGAACCCTGCCCCTTTAGGAAATCTACGATCAAGATGCCAGCAGATTTTGTGTTGGTAGGGTACAGACATAGATGGCACCTTCTTATTGTGGACTGTTTTATAAAGGCACTAATCCCATTCATTAGGGCCCTGCCCTTATGACCTTCCCATCTCCTAAAGGTCTCAGCCCTTAATACTGCTGCAGCAGAGATTAACTTTCAACATACAGATTTTGGAAATTACAATATTCAGTCCATAGAAGTTGGGGAAGTCTTAATTTTGGATTTCATCCCTGGATTCTTGCTTCACTTTTTTTTTTTTTAATTATTCATATGTGCATACAAGGCTTGGGTCATTTCTCCCCCCTGCCCTCACCCCCTCCCTTACCACCCACTCCGCCCCCTCCCTCTCCCCCCCCACCCCCTCAATACCCAGCAGAAACTATTTTGCCCTTATTTCTAATTTTGTTGTAGAGAGAGTATAAGCAATAATAGGAAGGAACAAGGGTTTTTGCTGGTTGAGACAAGGATCTTGCTTCACTTCTTGACCTCTCAGGATGTACCTTAGGTTCTTGCTAGCTCAGTGTGTTGAAAAAGATGTTCTTAATTGTTTCATTTTTTTTTACTTTAGCATTTTTAGTCATTTTGTAGCAGGGTGATTAGATCTGTCTGCAATATTCTTTTGATATTTCTTGATTGCTTATTTTTGTCTTGTGTTAATTGTTTAAGTCTATTCGTTCTTGTGGTTTTAAGCCTGTTTAATATGCAAGATGACATATATGAAGAAAAGTCAATGAAAATTGCTCACCAGGATAATTTTGACACGTTCCCCTCTACAATCATAGAAAGGAGTTATAAACTTTCTGAATGATTAAGAAATAAAATTTTCAAACTCAGCCTACAAAAAAGAGTAGGGTTTCTTTAGGCCAATATAAGTGATTGAGAACTCATTGGATGAAGACCAAAAATTATTTTGTAGCTAAAGCAGTGCTTAGCCAGAAAATGTTAGAACTTACTGTGTATATTGGGCTAGACTCTCTCTGTTGAGCCCAATGTGCACATAAAGCCAAAGAGATTAAATGTCAGGAATTTCTCAATGAAACCTGAAAGCCAGGTTTGCCTGATTTCAAAGGATATGTAGAATATAATGATGTTTTTATAATGATGTTTTTTACCATTTTTTCTCCAATGGCATGGACATTTCTGTTTTATTAATTCCTTTTAAGGGATTTGTGAAAAAAATTCTTTTATTGCTTTCCTTCCTAGGAGGAAAAAAGTCAGCCAGATTTGAATTTGAAAGCTTTCCAGAATGAGGAAGCAGTTGATGATCCACTGATGATTCTAAAAGCAATCTTATCACAGGTAAAGTGTGTGTTTGTGTGTGTAGGTATCGTGTGTGTGTGTGTGTGTGTGTGTGTGTGTGTGTAAGATTGGTTTAAAATGGAAAATGGCCTCATTGTACCTTTTCATCTCTTTAAAGACCTTATCTCCAACTATAGTCACATTTTGAAGTATTAGAGTTTAAGGATTCAGCACAGGAACTTTGGGGAGATACAATTCAGCCTATATAACAGCTACATCTTACCCCATTTTAGAACTTGTTTACACTTTGAAATATTCATTAAGGCACTTATCATCTTTCATTTTGTGGTTAAATAAATATTTTAAAATCATAAATAATATTTTACAATTTACCCAAACCTCCGGATGCTTTCTGAATGTTGCTCTTTAAATGGTTAAACTGTGGGACATAGAAAGTGCCAAAATCCTGAACTGAGGCTTAGGTTGCTTTGAAAAAAATTATAACGAAATCGTTGTTAGTAATCCACTTACAAGTTTGTGTTCTGGGCATGTTTAATTAGGTATAATCCTATTAATCCCTCTGAATTTATGTTATAATTATTTCTCATCAGATTTTAAGTGACTTTGTGTTCTTTCTTAAGGAGGAGAACAACCTAATTCCTGTTGATCAGCTGGGCCAGAAACTCTTGGAAAAGACAGGAATATCTTGGAACAAGAAGTACAGAAAACAGCATGGACCACTGCGAAAGGTAATCCATGGCATTGACATAGGGAGTCCCAGTCCTAGGAAATTTTATTATGACATGAGTTCCTCTGCAAAAGGATCTTTAAAATAGGTGAAAATAAAATTAGGATTTTTGTTTAGTGGTAAATTGCTTATTACATATGACTAATTAGGTTATTTAAGAAGTAAGGAAAACTAGAGGAGATGGCTTCTAAACATATCAGCAAAAAAAATGGTGATACTCTAAAGCTCAGTTGGCTTCCTGGGCTATAAGATTAGATGCAAAACCTGACATTGCCAGAAACAGGAAATAACAAACAAGCAAAGCAAAACATTTAGTGAGCTTTTTGGAGCTATTTCCTGTAAGGAGCAAAACACTCACTTCAAAAAATGTGTAAGTGCATCTTTTAATTAAACCAGCAAAAAATCAATTTTTTTATTACTTGTATTTGTTTTTTGGAAAATTGTGGTTTTTAGGGAATTTTTCTATCTGTGGTACCAAATTTATCAGCATAAAGTTGTTCCAGATGTCCTCTGTTCTCCTCTTAGTGTGTGTGGAATCTAAAGTCAGGTTCCTTTTCATTTCTTATGTTAGTAATTTGTGTGTTCTTGCTTTTCTTAATCAGTCCTGCTAAAGGGTTATCAAGTATATTTTCAGAAAGCTTCTCAAAAACCATCCTTTGCCTGTGATGCAATTAAATGCAATCCTATTGATTTTCTCTACTATTTTTTGTTTTCTATTTCTTTTTTAATTATTACTTCTACTTTTGGGGATTTAACTTGGTCATTTTTTTATAGTTTCTTGGGTTGGTGTTTCAGTTTTGAACTCTTTATTTAAAGTTTAAATTTCTTTCTAAGCAGTAGCTTAGCTACAGCTACGTTTGACATGCTTTCATTATCATTCAGTTCCAAAATATTTTTTAATTTCCAACGTCATCCTTTCCTTGACCCATGAGTTCTTCAGAAGTGTGTTGCTTAATTTGCAAATATTTGGGAATTTCTAGTTATCTTTTTGTTTTGTCTATAAGTTGATTTCTGATTTAATGCTTTGGAATTTAATGAGACTTGTTTCATGATTCAGAATATTGTCTATCTTACTGAATGTTCCATGTTCACTGGCAAAATTGTTTTCTGCAATTATTGTGATTTATTTATTTTGCTTTGTTATTTTAGTTTTTTATTTTGCAGTACTGGGGATTGAACCCAGGGTCTTGCATTTGAACTAGGTGAGAACTCTACCACTTGAGCCACTCCCCCTTTTCTTTCTGCACTTATTAATAAAGGAATTTTTAAATCTCCCAACTATAATTATAGGTTTCACCCTTCCTCCTTTAGTTCTCAGAATTTTTGCTTTGTGTATCTTGAAGCTATATTATTAGGTACATACATGTTTAGGACTGTTATGGCCTCCTGACATGAAGTGTTCTTCTTTATCTCTGCCAATGTTCCTTCCCTTGAGAGCTACCTTGTCTGATATTAATGTAGCTATTCAAGATTTTCTTTGGGGGGGGAAAGGGTTTAATGAACTTGTTTCTTTATATGAGGTGTCATATTTGTTGGCATAGTTATTTAAAATATTAGTATATTTATTACCCTTTTGATGTCTGCAGAGTCCTGAAGATATGTTCTTTTTTTCATTTCTGATACTGATAATTTGTCCTTTTTAGCTTTCTTTTTTAACTGATCTTGCTGAGATTTATCAAGCTTATTACACTTTTCAAGAAAACAGCTTTTACTTTATTGATTCTCTCCACTTATTCATACATTTTCTCCCAGACAAGAGTTTGACAATCTCTTCCTTTTTATTAGAATGTCTCATTCATTTGCATTTGGTATAATAATTGATATGGTTGGATGTTTGTCTCTATTTCTCCTCTATCTTTGTTTTTTCTTTCCTGCCTTCCTTTTGAGTAACCATTTCTATTTTTTGCTTATTTGTTTGATTTTGCTTGTGTGATGGATTACACTATACATAAATTTATATTACTAATTTTAAATTAATACATTTCTTTACATCCAATGTGAGATATTTATAATAATGTAATTCTACTTTTTCCATCATGTTTTACTGTTGTTGTCCTTTTATATTTTACCAACACATATGATAAAAATCCCATTATATGTTATTAATTCTGCTTTTAACATTTAAATGACTTTTAAAGAAATTAAGGAAAAATAGTGTTTTAAGTTTATCCGTTCTGGTGTTCATTGCTCTCTGTTTATTCAAGTTTTCTTAAAGTTACTTCCTTTCAACATAGAGAACTTCCTTTACTAGTTCTTGAAGTACAGAACTGCTGGCAAAAAATGCACTCAGCTTTTATCTGAAAAGCTTTATTTTGCCTTCAGTTTTTAGTGATATTTTAGAATTCAGGTTAATAGGGTTTTTGGGTTTTTTTTGTTGTTGTTTTTTCTTCACCATTTTAAAGATGTCATTCCATTGTGTTCTGGCTTCCTTTGTTATGGATGAGAAATTAGCTGTGATATTTTTCAATTTTGTTTTATAAATGCCTTTTTCTGATTTTTAAGATTGTCCTTAATTTTGAAACTGGGTCTTGATATGTAGCCCAGGCCACCTTGAATTTGTGATTATTCTGCCTAAGCCTCCTGAGTACTAAGATTACAGGAGTCATAATCTTTGGATTTCAACACTTTGGTGATAATGTGTAAGATATGAGGTTCCTTGTGCTTACTTGCCTTGTATTTGCTAAATTTTGTATATGTGTGGTCTGAAGTGTTTTGGAAAAACTTTGGCCAAGTTTCTTCAATTTATTTTTCTGTACCATTGTCTCTGTGCTTTGAGGACTCCAATGACATAGATATGAGACCATTTGTTATTTCCTTACAGGTCTTGGACATTCTGAGGTGTTGCTATGGTTTCTCATTTTTATTTCACCTCTCCTACTTCAATTTGGATAATTTCTATTGCTCTGTCTTTAAGTTCCCTGATTTTTTTTCTTGTGCTAACTCACTGTTCTGTTAAACCCAACTGGTGAACTTTCTGCTTCAGAATGTTTTTAGAATTCTACTTAGTTAGAAATTCTTAGAAATTTTTGTAGAATTTTTATCCATTTCTCTGCTGAAATTCCCCATCCATGCTGAACTCATTCTGCCCATCTAAGTTCTTTAGCACATTTATAATGGCTCTTTGCTACTATTATATGTGGATTAATTCTGGGTTCGTGGCCATTGACTCTTTTTCTCATGAAATAACTGTCCCATCTCTTGATTATGAATCACACTTTCCTGTTTGCTTATATGTCATATATTTTTGTATATAAATTTTTATTTTCTAATTTCAAATTGACAAATATAGTTGAAATATTTATAAAATACTAAATAATATTATAATTTTTGAACCAAACTAGTTAACATAGCCATAATCTCAAATACTTACCTTTTTTGTGGTAAGAATATTTGAAATTTATTCAGTTATGTGTAGATTTTTTATTTTAGTTTTGAATTGGCATACATTAATAATAAAAGAGGATTTCATTGTGAAAATGCCATACATGCATACAGTGAACTTTGAACAAGTTTACCCCTCCATCATCTTTCCATTCTGCATTCAGCAATTTTGAATTGTTTAATACATTTTTATTTACCATAGTTACCACACTGTGCAGTGTATCTCAAAGAAACAGACTTCTCCTGTCTAATGGAGGCTTTGTATCCTTTGACCATCATCTCACCCTTGCCCCTACTCCCAGTATAATCTGTTAAATACTGAATATCATGGATGATATGTTGTGGAGACTCTGCACTAGGTTATTTTTATCAAAAAGGTTTTACATTCTAACAAACCCTTAAGTTATCTTGAGTTTTTTTTGATTCTGCAGAAGCTGCATTTTGGCCTTGGTAGAGTGAGTCTACTGAAATTCTGCCCTGATCCTAGGAAATAACTCTCAGTCCTGGGGCATGGTCTTTCTTCATATGTCAGGGTATAGCAGTCTATGTGCTGTGGGCAAAATGTGACCTGCTACTTGTTTTTATACTTTCCAGACCTAAGAATACTCTTTGCATTTTTAAAGGGCTACTTTTTTAAAAGGTTTATTATATAATCACCTATATAGTGTCCTCAATTTGACCTGTAAAATATTTGCCACCTGGCTCTTTGAGAAGTGCCATCCCCTCTGACTTGGCAGAACTTGAACTTCATGTTCTTCCTGCACAGCAGCAGGCATCTCTACTCTACTTCTAGCCATTGCTTTCTGCTGCATTCTATGGGTTTTTGAACTGTTGATCTAGGAATTAGCCATGAATTTGATGCAGATTTGGAGCTTCATTGTGTGATTTTTTTACTTACCTCTAGTCTCTCTGCTATTCTCAAATTCTGTCTCAACCCAGTGATGCTCCTGCATTCTGCTTAAACTCCATCCCACCCTGCGCTGCTGCAAGCTGGGAGAATGGATCAATGCAGAATTCATCTAGGTTGCTTCCCCTCTTTGGAGGATTATGCCTACTCCACTTTACACCTGCCTTTGTTTACTCACCAAACACCATTGTTTTGTCAAGACGTTATTGTACTCTGTGCTGTTGCTGGTTCCAGACAGCACTGAAGTTTGACACTTAAGAGATAATCTTCAACTATTGAACAAAGAAAAATTCAGCTATACAGAAAGTTCATTATTCAAGGCTTTCAAATTGTTGATATTTAATTGTCCCTAAAACAAACTAGCTTTAAAACTGTTTTACCTATTATAAGAACCTTTGTAAATACTCCAGTGTACCCCTACCCAGCACAACAACAATTTAAAACAAAAACTTTTACCATCTTTTCTCTTACACAGTGTTAACAATACCGTCTTTGGGTCGCATGCCCTAGGCCCTTCCATTTGTGATAAAATAATAGGGTTTTTGTTGTTGCTATTTTTGTTTTTGCTGTGCTGGGGATGGAACCCTAGGCCCTGCACATGCTAAGCAAGCGCTGTAGTGCTGAGGTATATCCCCATTCCTAAAATAACACTTTTCCTTAGAGAGTTGACATTACCACATATTACTTTTTTTCAAAATAAAAATGAAAACTTTGCCCATATTGCTTGATGAGGTAAGCAGATGTCACGTGTAGCCCCCATAGCTTTTGTATATAAGCTTTTTGTATCTAGCCTTTGTGTAGAGATTAGGAGAGCGAGAGACCAAGAGAGAAGGGGGTGAGAGGGAGGAATAGGCAGTGGGAGAGAATTTTTTTTCTCCTAATCCTTTAGCAAGAAGAACTTGAAAAATAGACTTTGCAATTAGAACATAATCCTTTCTATGCTCTGATTTCCTGAGCTTGCCTGTCAGCTTCCAGAGAAGACAGTGTTCAGTATAGTTAACACTAAAAGTTAACTTAGCCTTAAAAATACTTCTTTATCCTGTCTGGATCATTAGTTTCAAATTATCTTTGGGAGTGGTACACTGTGCGATTGCCTTTGTTTTATGTTTTGTTTAGATTGCTTTTAGGTATTTCAAAAGTATTTGTTCAGTTTCATTTAAGTTCTATTTTGTAAAACATCATTAGTAAGATATGATTAAAATGTGTTTTAGATTGTGGCATGGCAGCTTCTTCCTTTAATGTAACTTAGCCTGTTAACAGAGCACTGTTTAACAGATTTTTTTTTTTTAAAGCAGTACCAGAATTTGAACTCAGGGCCTCATGGTTGCTAGGCAGGCACTCTACCACTTAAATCACTTCACCAGCTTCTGATTTGTTATTTAATGTTTTATCAAAGCCCAATTTTTTACCCTCACAGGTCAGGCCAAAAATAAAAATGAAATTAAAAAATCTAATCACAGAAAGGAAGAAAATATTTTGTTCATGTCTAATTTGAAAAAATTACTAACCTAGTATTTGTTTTTTGTTCTGTATAGTTCTTACAGCTCCATTCGCAGATATTTCTGCTCAGCTCAGATAAAAGTACAGTTAGTCTCCTGAAGAACTCTTCTCTCCAGGCTGAGTCCAATGTCCTAAGAAACCATCAACAGCTCTTCCACACTATGGCTTCAGAATCTCCAGGATTAATTGGTAGCACCACCTGTCCACACTGGTTTGATATCAATGATTCCAGAGTTCAGCCAATCAAGGAGAAGGATATTACACAGCAATTTCAGGGTAAAGAAAGTGCCTACATGCTGTTTTATCGGAAATCCCAGTTGCAGAGACCCCCCGAAGGTATGGAAAGAAAAATGTTCTGGTTTGTTTCAGTTAATGACTTCAGAAGATAAACAAAATTCTGTCCAGATTTTTACACTTTTAAGAGAAGGTTTACTCTGTGAACATTTTTAAGTATTTTAAAGCTAAAAGTAGGGAGTATATTGTGTCAACTGAAATCTTGACAGTTTGTCATTTTATAAAATGACATGTATCTATGTTATTCTCTCCCTTATAATAATGTGATGTCATAGTTAGATTTTCAGAATTACATTTTCTTAAATTGCATAATTTCTTCTTGTGCTGGCAAACTCAAATGAAGTTGCCTATTGTTAATGGCTCTGTCATTCCACCATGTGTTGCCTTTGGGTTGTAAGTGACCTTGGTCTTATTTTATCTTTCTTTTTGTGTTCCCATTTCTTTTTTTCTTTTCCCTGAAGGTAATACAATCTTGAACAATTGAAATATCTTTGAATCACTCTTTGCTGAACCTTCTAAGAGAGACTTAACATGCAGATCAACTATTTGAGACTTATAATAAAGAGTCTTTTTCTTTCTGGTAGTACTAGGGTTTGAACTCAGAGCATTGTGCTTGCTGGGCAAGTGGTCTCACACTTGAGCACTACCCTATCCCTTTTTGCTTTAGGTGTTTTTCATGTAGGGTCTCATGTTTTTTGCCCAGGCCAACTTGAACCCTGATCCTTCTACTTAAGCTCCCTCGTAGCTGGGATGATAGGTGTGCACTACTACCTGGACCCTGCGTTTTCCTTGAGACGGGAGTCTCACTAACTTTTCTTATTAGCATATGTTAATTGTATAAAAGGGTTACAGAATGACAAATATTATGTTTCCTGTCATATACAAAATCTAAATTTAAAAAAATTTTTTACAATAGACGTGATTGTCAAAGTGAAGACTGGGAGGGAACTAGTGGGAGGGGAAAGGGAAAGGAGAAAGTGATGGGGGGGTAATAGTATAGAAGTACATTATATGTCTATATGAAAATAACATAATGAAACTCACTGACTTTTTACCTGGACCAGCCTTAAACCATGACCTCCTGCTATCCGCATCCCAAGTAGCTAGAATTAGAGGCATGAGCTACTGAGCTGGTAAGAGTATTTTTTCATTGAAGCTAATAACATGAATAAATCAGTAAGACTTTGATCACTTCCCAAAGTCCACTCAAAGTAAAAACCCTAGCTAGGAAGATTCTTAGACTGATATAGAGTGTTTAGAGGTGAGGATAATGTTTTTTGAGAATGAGAGCAGTGATCATTTTATAAAGAATAAGAATAAAACAGTTGACTGTTTGCATGAGAATTAAAGGAAATGAACTTCCTCAATCTTGAACAGTTACATAACCATGCTGTTAACCAGAAAGTCTTTGTATTTTTTGAGAGAAAAAAAACTCAAGGCAGTACTTTGGATGGAAACACTGTAGATTGGAATTCACAATTTTAGAAATACATATTAGCAGAAAAAGAATCTCATCAGATGAAGCATTAGTCTCTTTCACCAAACTGAATTTTCAAGACAAGCATAACTGGAATATATAGGAAAAGACAGTTTTCTACTTAGCTTGGAAGTTGACAAAGGTCCAACCAAAATCTTGATGAGTGTTTCTTAGGGATGAAGAGACAGACTTTACAAATTATTCTGAACTTTACTTAGAGAGATAAAGTACTGAAAATTGAAGACGGGACTCTTCAGGGGCAATTCACTGTACCAGGAAGAACATATGTGTGAGCTACAGCAACAACAGCAGAGTCCATACAGAACACTGCTAATGCCACAAAGCAGACAGAGACCAAGAGGAGCAGTAAGCCCAGGAACTGATCTAAGTGTATCTGAGGTCATAATCCATGGGGAAGTAGCTCTAAAAGTAAATGGGGAGAAAGAGAATGGCACAATAAGTACAACCTAAGTTATTTCCTGCTAAGGAAATGACTAATGAATTTTCCTTTATTTTACTGATCACTTAAATGAAATTATAGCTCCTCTATATAAAAAAAGGAACTTTTTTTTTTTTTCATTTTTCTTTTATTATTCATATGTGCATACAAGGCTTGGTTCATTTCTCCCCCTTGCCCCCACCCCCTCCCTTACCACCCACTCCACCCCTCCCGCTCCCCCCCTCAATACCCCGCAGAAACTATTTTGCCCTTATCTCTAATTTTGTTGTAGAGAGAGTATAAGCAATAATAGGAAGGAACAAGGGGTTTTGCTGGTTGAGATAAGGATAGCTATACAGGGCATTGACTCACATTGATTTCCTGTGCGTGGGTGTTACCTTCTAGGTTAATTCTTTTTGATCTAAACTTTTCTCTAGTTCCTGGTCCCCTTTTCCTATTGGCCTCAGTTGCTTTAAGGTATCTGCTTTAGTTTCTCTGCATTAAGGGCAACAAAAGACCAAAAATCGTATGTTCTCCCTCATATGTGGACATTAGATCAAGGGCAAACACAACAAGGGGATTGGACTATGAGCACATGATAAAAGCTTTAGCACACAAGGGAGGGGTGAGGATAGGTAAGACACCTAAAAAAGGAACTTTAAAATATGTAAAATGCGATATTTATCTTACAGTAGAGAAGACCTTTCTAACCTTTCTAAGCTTAAAAACAAAGAAAAAACTAAGGAAAAGTGATATAAATGTTAATCAGAATTAAAAGACAAATGGGAAGCTAGTGCAAAACAGTTTAACTTGGTAAGTTTATTTCCTCTATCTATATATTCCACCGTGCTCAGTAGGAAATTGGGAAAAGGATTAAATAAGCAAGTTACAAATTTACTTCGTAAAAGATGTTTCAAAAAGGTCCACCTGGTTTGAGATGGCAGTGAAATATACTGCCTTTTTCTGAGACAAATATTTCTGTGAATTGGGTTCTCAACATTTGGCACTTCTTGATAGCTGGTAGATATATAAACTAATACATGCAGTTGTGTATGTTTATTTAAAAGACTTAAAGCTGTCACACCCTTGAAACCAGTAATTCTAATTCCAGAAGTAATCAGCTGGAGATGTAGCTCAATGGGAAAGTGTGCACAAGGCCCTGGGTCAAATCTCTGACACCAAAAAATAAAGAAAAGAAATAATCAGAACAGTGTATGATTTATGTTCAAAGATGTGTTTTGCTATTGTTATTTTAGTTAGAAGTCACCTTAATGTCTTTTTTTGTTGTTTTTTGTTGTTATTGTTTACCTTAATGTCTTAATTAGAAAAAGATTGTTAGATTAATTATTATACTTTTAGAGCATACTGTTGTTGGTGGGGTGGAGTCTGTGATCAGAAGACTTCCAAATTCTTTGTGCTGTATGGGGAAGAATCCATGGCAGGACATGTGGGTGTAAATGGAGTTTTTAAAAGTTAGGGAAGAGAAATACAGAAGGGAGCATGGTGGGGCCCAGGTGGAATCTGGGGGCAGAGAGTGTGCTTTTCTTCTTCAGGTGCTTTTAAAACTAACAGTAAACCAGGCGCCAGTGGCTCATGCCTGTAATCCTTGCTACTCAGGAGGTAGAGATCAGGAGGATCGCAGTTTGAAGCCAGCCCAGGCAAAATAGTTCATGAGAGACCCTATTTCAAAAAAAAAAAAAAAATAATCACAGAAAAGGGTTGGTGGAGTGGCTCAAGGTATAGGTTCTGAGTTCAAACCCCAGTACTGCAAAAAAAAAAAAAAAGAAAAGAAAAAACAACAACAACAAAAACCCTAATGCTTGATTCTTCCCATCTAATAATCAATGAGTACAGAGGGGCATGGAAGGTTCCTGGGCCAGGTGAGGGCAGTCCCTGAGCCAGAGTGTGGTCGATCTGAAATGCAGTATTTTTCTATGAGTCCTGAATTTTCCCTGATCCTAGCCTGCCTCATTTTCCCTCTGACAGACAGGATCCCAAAAAATCTTTTTGAGGTTGCTGAGGGGCTGGAGTTCTCTTTTTCTTTTGAATCCTCTTCATGCTGACAAGGTGCAGCAGACCCTACCTACAAGGTGTCTGAATTGTTGTCCAGCACAGTCAAGATGTCTCATGGAGATTTAGGTTATTTATGGAGATCTCATTCATCTGCAGAGATCAATAGCCCTGTTGGCTCATGATTTGGGTTCTAAAGGTTTTCACTCTGGAAGAAATAAATTTGGTTTAGAAGGCATGACCTGAACATGAACAATGGTAAGAGTATCAGAAGGAGCCCTGCCAGGTGTAGCAGGAAGAATAAAGAATCTTAACTTTTCATCTTGAAAAGTGACAAAGAGTCTTACTTTTTTTTTTTTATAGGTGTTTATACCTGTAGCTATTTTTAACCTTTAGAGGGCCCTCTGTTTGAACTGCCACTTTGTAGTGGACAGTGAAGGACTGATTGCTCATGGTAATATCTGTATGAGGAGCCAGGTGCACCAGGGAGCAGATGCCCATCCAAGTAGAGGGTAAACATCCACTAGCTCTACATAGAAGACTCTTGATGTTTCTAAGGAGGAGAGTAGAGTATGAGAGAGTACAAAGAACTGTAAGTACTATTAAAAGGACAGATCTGAAGCTGTTAGAGTATGAGAGAGTACAAAGAACTATAAGTACTATTAAAAGGACAGATCTGAAGCTGTTAGAAATGGGCACATCACCTTTACTTAAACAGAAGACCTTAACCAAAGACATGAGTTTGCCTTTTGCCAGAAGCCTAGAAGGCTTAAATCTTAGAGTCCATGCATAAGAGCCCCTTTTTAAAATCTCTCGGCTTTGGTTACTTTTAGAGGTCTGGCATAATTGACTTTATCTAGATCTGCAGAAGTCCCCTCATTTGTGTAGTTCTTTTGAACTGTAGTCTTTTTAAACTTTCTCTAAACAGTTGTCTCTTAAGATTTTGCCAATTTGACAGTTTTGTCCCTCGGAGCCAGGAGTAGCCTCTCCCAGAAACTCATAGCTTCTTTTACAAAGTCAGATTTTGTCCCATAGAGAAATAGAAGTAACACATCAAACAAACCAGAAGTCAGTGCCAGTATGACATTTTTGACCAAATTAAGCAACAAAGAGATTTATTTAAAAAATGGTTCTTAGGCTGAGCTTAATTAAATCTAATTATTTGTCCATAGAGGATATACTTAGACCTTTAAATTGTTGTGAAATGTCAACAGACAACAGTTGTAAAGCTTTACAAAGAAAATACAAAACAACCCCAATACTTAAGAATGTCTGTCCTTGTTGACAGATAAATACTTGTCAGAGTTATTTTCCATGGGTTTGTCTATAAATGTCCCATTAGGATTAAAACTGTAATGACAAAACTTAAAGTAACCATAGTTAACACTGTAGCAATCAACATAATAGTCTAATTACTTTTAATTGTATATAGTATTACTAAACCTCTCCTGTTACAATTAGGACCATATGCACATACTTGTAAAAGAAGCTAAGACACCAACTTGGTACGGTGTTTTTTTACAACTCTATCTTTAGAAGACCTATATGCTTGAATACAAATCACACCGAACATACCAAGGAACCAGCCTGTAGCAGCATCACAATTTAAACCTTGGATTTTGATTAGGTAAAGTATTAGGTTAGTAGTCAGCACTGTCATGCCAATGACTGAGAGATATGGCTTGGATGTTGATAAGAAGTCACATCCTAGACTGCTGATGTTAACTAACAGAATGTTATTTGTGACACAGAGCAGGGTTGTTGATCTACATGTAGCCCCTAATGCCCAAAAATAATAGGTTCAGACATTGAGAGTTAATTACATGCACAGCCCAGTGTTTTAGGATTAATCACCTTTTAGTAGACCCCAATAAAACATAAGGTTTCATCATCCCATCTGGAGGGTGAGCTTTTGTTTGGTTTTGGTAAAATTTTGTATCAGCCTGAAACACCAAAAATCCCTGACTGTCTGACCAGAAACCCACTTTTAAATACACCTTTGTACCTTAAATTTTGACCTCAGAAAACTCTCTAGGCAAATTTAAAACTATAGCCAACTCAAACTTACAAGGTTTAAGACCTTAATTTGTATCTTGAAACAACCTTTGTAAAAGCCCAAATTTAGATACAATAGTTTTTAATAAAACTCTTAGCAGCCTTATACCTTAAAAGACTCAGAAAGAAAAGTAAATTAAACTATCTTTTTTATAATAGCAATCTACAAGAACACATGGCTCAATAAGCCTAATTATGAAAGAGTAAAATGTAAATTACATTCACTATAGAATGAAATAGATAATTGTCCATTAATTTTCTTTTAGTACTAAGGCACAAGATAGTTAGGCATTGTTGGGATGAGAACTTTAGATAACTTTCCAAGTAACAGTTTTATGCATTAGCTTTATTAAAGTAGTTTAAGAATCATCCCAAAGACATTTAAACACACATACACACAGATGTTTTGACCCTAGCATGCCAAAAAAATGTTAATTTATGTGCACATGTATGAGCTCAAGAAAATAAAAATTCAGTGGCCACAATTGGTAGGAGACAAAGACATACACAGAAAACACACACAATGACACACAAAGGAGTCACATTCATTCAGAGTGTACTCTTAAGCAAAACACTTTTTGTTACTATTTTTAGTAGGTTAGCCAGCTAGATTATTAAGAATTTTTAACAGATCTTTAACACAAATTCCCTATTCTTTGTTCATTCTTTAACAGATTAATGTATTAAAACTATATTAATTTACAGAATTTAACAAGCTGTTACTATTTTTCTTGAGGATGCATTACGCATGAGTTTCCTATCCCTAGGGAATAGCAAGATGGTGCTGTACATGTGGTAGCTTTATCCTGATGGTGGCATTTCCTGTGACTACACGGTCTCTCCAAAGGGGCTTTCAAATGGAACATAAAGACATGTTATATGTAACATACAGGCTCAAAATAGCAATTTGTTATAGGGATAAAAGACATCTCTCCCTGAGAGACAGGTGTTACTGTCCATGTAAGTTAGTTATTTTTTTGTAGATTAACAGGATAAAAGCACTGCCAGAATTTAAGGTCAACCAAGTGAATATGTTGGCTTCCCGGAACTATGCTGGCTGGAGGGAGAGAGAGGGAGAGAGAAGGGGGAATTTTGGCCTTTGGGAGAGAGCGAAAGCTTCTTGACTCCATGAGGCTTCCTTAGATACCAAAAGTTTCTAACACAGATCCTTTATTCCTGGACCCATCAGATGTCTCTGGAGTGAAGGGGTCATCAGGGACCCCTGGCTTTCAGTCATCCATTCTCCTAAGGGCCCACCCTTTTCAAGAGGCTCCTGATTAGGATGCTAATCCTGAATGCTATCCTAATGAAGGAACAAAATAATTGAAGTAGACTAAGGTGGAATTTGAACTCATGACCTCACACTTGTTAAATAGGCATTCTACCATTTAAGCCATTCTGCCAGTCCTTGTTAGCATCCCTAAAGAAAGGAGATTTAGAAACTCTCTTTAGAAGTATGGCAAGTAATCCCATCAATCCCATCAGTGAAGGGTGCTAGCTGTTTACTGGCTGCCTGTCAGGGGAATGTGATTTCCATCTCCAGTGAGCATTTCTGTGACCCCTACAGACCATGTGGACAAGGAGAGCATAAGTGATAGTTGGGACAGGGTGCCCAAGGCAAACACAGGCATGGCGGACAAGAAAGAAAGCAATGGTGTGGACACAAGCCAACCACAGAAAAAAGGTGTCCAGCCTCTGGCCCGGTGCCACTAGACTCGTGTCTTTATTAGCTTCCCTGGGTGCTCACAGTGGTGCCTCTCCCTCTTTCCGCTGGCCACTTGCTCAGCTCAGCAGCCTGAGGATTCCTGTGGCAGCAAGCCAAAGATTGGGGTGGGGGTGGGGGGCCTGGGTTCATGGAGGCTCACGCTTTTTGTTTTTTCCCTGTGCCTGGCAGTTCTAAACTCTGGTGGGTGTGTGTCCCCAGCCCCCAGCCCCGGCCGGTCCAGAGGCAGTTTAAAGTATAGGGCCGGTTGGGTTGGGTAAGGCATGCCTCCCTGACAGCCCATAGCACTGGACAGATTAGGGGGTCAAGGATGGGTGGAGAGGGACCCCATCTGAGTGTGGCTGCCATGGGTGGCGTTGCCCAGGGCCCTGGGGTGGTCCTGATCCTCCCAGGCCACATGCTGTCTGGGCCAGGTGGCTAGAGACACTGGCACGTGCTCTCTGCACAGCAGCATTTTTGGGAGAGTGAGCCTATAGGGTGCCAGGTGCAGAGACCTGGAGCATGCACGCTGGTGCTGCTTTCATAGTGCAGGATGCGCTGGTGCTGCTTTCATAGTGCAGGATGCGGGGTGGGGGGTGGGAGGGGATGAGGGAGAAGTGGGGGGAGGATGAGGGAGAAAAGGGGTGAAGGGAAAAGGGCATCGTGGTTTTAAGACAGCCTGCTCCAAGGGAAACCGTGGGATCCAGGAACCTCAAGCATTAGCATTCTCCACAAACCCCAAGCTGTGGGGGGACCGGGTGTTGGACAGGCGAACACCTCCAAGTCCAGTGTCTCCCAACTGCATTTCCCGAGGGCAGAGCTTAGCCCGTTACCTATGGTTTTGGAGAAACAGAGGGAAGGGAGTAGAAATAGAGTCTGGGGGCTCACTGTTTGTCCTGACTGGCTTCCCCACATGTTGTCAGCAGAGTGGAGTCTGTGATCAGGAGACTTCCAAAATCTCTGTCCTGAGGGGAAGAATCCATGGCAGGACACGTGGGTGTATATGGAGTTTTAATTTTAAAAGGGAAGAGAAAAAAGGGAACTGTGGTGGGCCAGGTAGAGTCTGGGAGCAGGGAGCGGGCTTTTCTTCTTCAGGTGCTTTTAAAACTAAGGCTAATCTATGGGAAGGGAGGGCATGGGTGGTCCCTGAGCCAGAGCATGGTCGATCTGAAATGCAGTATTTTTCTGTGAGTCCTGTACTTTCCCTGATCCTAGCCTGCCTCAATACTACCTGTGCAATCATTCATTTAAGCCTGTGGAAAATACAGTATATAAAATGAAAAAGCAACTTACAAATTTGCTGATTATAAAGACACTTGTGCAGGTAGTATCTGGGAAGTGAAATTACAGGTGTAGTATCTATTACACTTTCAAAACATAATTTCTAGAATTTTTAAAGTGTACTTAAAGGGAGTTTAGGGCTGGGGATATAGCTCAGTGGTTTAGTGTTTGCCTCGTATGCATAAGGCCCTGAGTTCTATCGCCAGTACCACAAAAAAAAAAAAAAAAAAAAAAGAGTTTTTCTGGTACTAGTCAACTTAAAGGGAATTTGAAAAAATGGAATTCTTCTAGCTTGGCTTGAAGAAAAAAAACTACCTTTCTTTTTTTATTTCTCAGATGGAAAAACTGAGATCCAGAGAAAGTTTGTATTCCACAGCTTAGTAGCCACTTTCCCAGCTCCCAGCACAGTCCTTTCAAGTTTTTATCCTGCCTCTTCAGAACCTGACTATAGGTTAATGAAAAGTTTTTTACAGCTCGAGCTAATCCAAGATACAGTGTGCCATGTCACTTGCTGAAGGAAATGGATGCAGCCAACGTTGAACTGCAAATAAAAAGGTATTTTTAAGTTACTAGTGGGTTAGATAGTTTTTCTGGGGAATGCAGAGCTAATTTAGGCCTTTGGGCATTCAATAGTGAAAATTTATTAAAAAGAAAAAGATGGTCAACTAGCTAATTTAGCCTCTGTTTCGGTGGTAAATATTTATAATGAAGGTATTATTTACTTTAAAATTTATCTGTGAGAGTAAATAAATAATGACTTATGAAATGGTCGTTGCTAAGTAAGGATCAAAGCCTAAGAAAACAAGAGAAATTGCTGAGCACACAGTTGTGCTCATGAATTATATTCTGGCCTGAATAGATTATTCCATTGAGTACAAAGAGAGCTTTTTAAAACCACCCCTAGTTTTTAAGTGTTTGTGTTGAACTAACTTGTGACAGAAGACCAGAGGTAGGCCTATTTTCAAAGGAAACAAAATATGGTTTCTACAAACTATTGGGTACAGTTTCGGTCATAGACAAAATCATACAATGGATTCTTAAAGGAATGGCTCATGAGACCTTGATGATCTCAGTGTTCTCTTTGGGGCCTAATCTTGGATCCTGAGATATTGGTTCTTTGTTTGCTCTCCAACACAGTCACTAGGGTATTGGATTAAGGAAAAGGATATTTTCATATCCTGGTGGACGCAAGGTACAGATTATATGGTAGGGATGTGTTGGAACTGGAAGCAACAATAGCATATACATTGAATAACACATCAAGATCAAAAGGACTCTGAACAAAACCAAGACACTAAAAAGATAAACTTAACAAAGTGAAACATCTGAAGTGTAAAAAAATAACTTGCATGAGTAGTCTGGATTAGCAAGTGATACTTAAAAAAAAAGAAAAGAAAAACCTGATAGGTTGTACTCACCCAGTACTAAGGTCATCAAAAACAAAACAAAACAAAAAAAACTAATGCTGACATTGACCGTGTTAATAGAATTGTATCTGGAGTACTGACTCATGGTGATTGTCTCATTCCAACTCTACACCAGTCAGACTGCCTCAGGGAATGAGTTTGGCACCAGGGTTCAAGTTAGCTGAGTGGAGTCAGATACGAGCAGCCAGCATCACTCTGTTGCTAAGGACTTTGAGGCTGATGAATACACACTCAGGAGGATCTTGCTGGCTATTGCAGATGTCATTGGGAACACTTGAGGGGGCTAGTGGAAGTCAGGATGCTGTAGAAGTTAGTAGATCTGTCCGTAACTATAATGTGATCTCAGGATTACAAGATTCCAGGTGCCAGGCTTTGTCAGGAGAAGTGTGGTTAACATGGCACAGTCTACATGAAGCAGTTCTTTAGAATTCATGGGGCCATTTAGAGCCAAATGTTGGCTATGAATTGAAAAGCTAAAATGAATCGTTTTAGCAGATGCAGTTTTCTTCTAAGAAGTCTCCTAAGGTGGAGTGGAGATCTTATTTGTATTGTAAAGTACATACTTTTGGTGTGAGATAAAAAAACAGAGTATCTGTTAACAAAAAACTGGATTACCAGGTGCAGTGGCTCACAGCTGTAATCCCTGTTCTTCAGGAAGTGGAAATCAAGAGGACTGCGGTTCAAGGCCAGCCCAGGCAAAAAGTTAGCAAGACCCCATCTCAACAAATAAGCTGGGCATGATGGTTCATGCCCCTGTGATCCCAGCTGTGTGGGAGGCAAAAGTAGTAAAATAGGAGGATCACGGTCCAAGGCCGGCCCAGCAAAATACATGAGACCCTATGTGAAAAATAACCTAAAAAACTAAAAAGGGCTGGGGGCATGGCTCAAGTGGTAGAGTGCCTGCCAAACAAGTGCAAAGCCCTGAGTTCAAACCCCAGTATCACCACAAACACACACACACACACACACAGTATTTATGTATTTTTTGTCTCTTTAAAGGTCAGAATGTGATTCTGCAAACAATAATTTTGAATTGCATCTCCACCTGGGTCCTCATTATCATTTCTTCAATGGGGCCCTCCACCCAATAATCTCTCAGACAGACAGCGTGTGGGATTTGACTTTCAATAAAAGGAAAACTTTAGGTGATCTCCGGCAGTCAATATTCCAGGTAATTTACTTTTATTTCCTCTTACAACTTTTTTCAAAGCCATTAGGAAAATCCTACATCTGCCCATTCATCATTCATGGTATGCCCATTGTTCTTTTCTTACTTGTAAGTCTTTTTTTTTTTTTTTTTTTTTTTTCCCCTGAGATAGAGTCTTGCTATATTGCTCAGGCTGTTCCCAAACTCATCAATTCTTGCCTCAGCCTCCCGAGTGCTGGGATTACAGCTGTGTACCACCACACCCAGCACTTTTAAATCTTTTAGAGAGGTTTTTTTTTTTTTTTCTGCAGCTTTTCAAGTGGAGAATTGGGCCTGGTACATTTTATTTTGGGGGACAGAAAGAATATATAGTTTCATCTTATTTGAAAAACAGATGAAAGAGAATTGTTTTTCAAAGGGAATAAGAACATAAAGTTGAGCATATTGTATAAACCAAGAACCACTATAGAAGTAAAAGCAACTAGTTTTGTACCCTCTGGCATAGAGTCATATTTATTAATAATTTTCTTTTCTTTTTGCAGTTCTGGGAATTGAACTCGGGGTTTCACACATGCTAGGCAAGAACTGAGCTACACCTCAGTCCTAGTAAGATTCTTAAGTGAAGGAAAATACCCTCTCAGTCTATAGTAAAAGCAGACATTGTTGCAGTCAGTGTCTCCAATAATTTATCTAGCTGTGTTTCAGTGATAATGATAACAACTGTAGTACCCTCTACTTTACCTACAGTACTTTCACATTAATTATGTGATTTGCTGATTTGGTTCTTCAGCCTCCTGGGGATGCAGGGGCTCCATTTTGAAAATGGCACTGTGATTGAAAGAGACATAGTGGTCCCATGCTCCATAAATAGCTTATGGATTAAACAATTTTAGGGGTGCAGGAGGCTCACGCCCTGATCTCCCTCCTCTGCATCTGCTGTTCTTTCTGAGTCATAATTCTTCACCCCACATTACTTCCAGACAGAAAGTGTAACTCTTGAGGGTTGCCCCAAAAATAATTTAAATGAGTTTTCTTAAAAATTGTGTCCCTTGCTAAAACCAGTTTTCTTCTGGTATTTCTGAGCCACATTGCTGAGACAAGTGACAGGGATCTGAACTCGTCAAGGACTGCATTTCAAGTGGAAAGACCTTATTCTTGTTCATAAGTTTTAAATAGCTCCCATCTGTGCTTTCTGGTGTTCCCGTGTACATCTCAGCAAACTGTTGTCTTAGAAGTAAGCCACTGGCAAGAGGCTGTGAAATTGACATAATAAATGAATCTCTTGCAAACACAAATTTTTTTTTTGAGACAAGGTCTTGCTATGTAGCCCAGGCTGGCCTTGAACTCACTATCCTCCTACATTGGCCTCCCTAATGCTGGGATTGCAGGCATGTCCCTCCACATCTGGCTACGAAATTTCATTTTAATAGAACTACCTTATAGTATTGTGTAAAAAGACTAGGTAAGAATGACCTTTCTGAATAATATTATCTTAATAAAGTTATCATAGTCCCCAGACTCAGATTTACAAATTTAAATAATAAAACGCCTTATGACCTATTATTTAAGTGGTGTTTGTTTGTTTTGAGTTTTGTTTTTTTGCGGTGCTGGGGATTGAAATCTGGCCTCGTGTATACTAGGCAAGTGTTATCACTGAGCCACACCCCAGCCCAAGATGACACTTTTTTTAAATCCAGGTGGGAGGCCTTTTGGAGTAACTGGAATCTAGTGTGAGCTCGAGCCAGGGCTGCTTTTCCCCAGCAGTGCCCATTGAACAAATAAGGAAGTGTGGCTTTTTGAGGCAGAAGTTCCTAGGCTGGCCTGCTGAGCAGTTTGCTTTCTGGTAAAAGTGGTCTTCACATAAATTAACTAGAGTTGTTTAGATGATTGTTGTGTTGTTTGTGTATGCCAAAATTCTTCAGTCAGGAGTGATTGTGATTAACATCTTAGGGTTTGACTCATTGAATGTGATGTCTTACTTCCAAGTTTTTTGTTTTGGGTATGAGTATTCATTTGTATTGATATTGATCCTGGAAATGTGATATTCATATGTTACTTTTTATTCTTCTCTTTTCTGCACCAATATTCTTCAGCTGTTAGAATTTTGGGAAGGAGACATGGTTCTTAGTATTGCAAAGTATGTACCAGCAGGACTTCACATTTACCAGACCCTTACTGGTAAGATGGGTATGAAAACATAGCAACTCATTTTGAATACATGTGATTTTGTGGGGCTCACATGTGACTTTCCCTTTGTCAGTCCTTCCCACCTACAGTTTCTTAACTTCATAGGTTAGCATCACATTGTCAGCTTTCAAAAGGAAATATTTTATCCAATTGATGTAATACAACATGTGAGATCTTCCTAATGTGGAAATGTCTTATACTTTTAGAAACTAAAGCCACCTTTCTGCCACAAATTTTTTAAACACTTTAGATTTTTTTTTTAATATACTAGCACAAAACAGTGAGCAAAGTAGTTTAAAACCATTTGAATCTTATTTATATGGCTTGATTTTCTGCCCAATTCTCAGCTTCAGGTTTTGTAGCAGGACCAAGAAATGATTGAAAAATGCTTATTTCCTTGAACTAAGAACAAAACAGTGATAAAAACAGTAGCATTTATTTTGGGCTTCGATGTGCCAGACATTGTGGTAACTGTTTTATGTTAATTAATCTCGATTTGCAAAGTTCTTTTACCTCCACTTCATAAATGAGAAGACTGAAGTGGTGAGGCCTAAAGCTCACGAGCACACACAGCTGGGTAGTGGGAAGTGAGACCATTCAGAGCTAAGCCCATCCTGTCCAGGGTCGTGTGCCTGAATGCCCTGGCCTCTGTACTGACTCCTGTCCCACTGTCATGTTCATAAAGCTATGAAATGGCATTTTAAAGTAACATCAATATAATGAAGTAATTGCTGCTCATGATTTTCCTTAAAATGAAATGTCCCAACTCTTTGTTCACCTAAATTATTTCGGTCTCACTAACAGTCTCATCTTTCTAGGAGATGAACTGCCACTTTGTGAAGTTGAAATTGCTGATGGGGAAGACATCTTCGTATGGAATGGAGTGGAGGTAAGAAAAAAATTACTGAAGAAACACTCATGATCACTTCGAATTTTTTAAAATGTCATTGTAATGAAATTGTATTCAGCATACAATTAGCCATTAGAAAACTGCTGAAATGGTCAATATATTTTAGGTCCAGTCAGTGGGAGTTGTATGTTAAAGAGCTGTTTGTTGAGCACCTCCATTGTGCCAGGCTGTCACATGCTAGATACATAGGTAGGTCAGTCAGTCAGTCAGTGTCCTTCATTGTGTAGCTGCACATAGTGACTGTACATGGCACTGTGAAAGTTGAGAAGGGCATGGCCAGCACTGCCTTGGAGCAGAATGAGCACTGTCTGAGAAGTCACTCTGGCCATCCTTGGTCCTTCTGTATTTTCAAGGCCTCAGCACTACCACTGATAGCTCATAAGTCTCTGCCTAAAGTCCAGACTTCTCTTCCGAAAAAGAAAAGATGGATAAGAGAAACTTTCAAAAGAAAATCCAAAGTTGTTCCTCTGATATTTGTGAAAATTGTGTTTTCATTAGAGAAAAATGAGGCCTGTTCTACAAAGTCTTTTATTGTGTTATGATGTTGACTTGTTTTGGCAAATACAAACTACACCAGTGGTGGTCTTGATATTGCTGTAGGTTGGTGGAGTCCAGATTCAGACTGGTGTTGACTGCGAGCCTCTGCTGTTACATGTTCTTCATCTGGAAACAAGAGGAGAAGATGAAAAGTGTGGGCAGTTGGTAGAGACTCCGCTTGTCTTTCCAGCTAATGCGGAAGTGGGCACTGTGTTCACAGCCTTGGCGATGCCAGCAGGCGTCATCCTCATGAACAGGGCTGAGCCTGCAGATGACGAGTGCTGGACCGCTATTCCCCAGGAGGACGTGACAAAGACATTCAGAGAACAAGGTTTCAAAAATGGAAGTTCAGTTTTAATTCAGGATTCTAGTGATGATAACAGGTAACTTGCTAAAAAAGGGAAGAGGGGAGAATTTTTAAAGATATTTCAATTACACTACCAGCCAGTAGAACTCTAAAGCTTTATTTTAATGGTAAGAGTTAAATGTTGATTTATTTTTAGTTACTGTGTTCTAAATATTGTATATTTAGGAATGTTTTAAGTTACGTACCTTAGAGAAAGAATGTCCAGTTGCTTTTGGTTTTTTTTGGTAAAAGTGGTAATAAAATAATACAGGTATCTCTGGTTTTATAGATTAGATACAGCCTCATTTTGTTGGCTATAAAACAAAAATCTTATTAAATGAATTCTGATTGATACCCATTAAAATTAAAAACCCACTCTCACTGGGCACCGATGGCTCATGCCTATAATCCTAGCTACTCAAGAGGCAGAGATCAGGAGGATCTCAGTTCAAAGCCAGCCCTGGGCAAAGAGTTCAGGAAACCTTATCTGGAAAAAACCCATCACAAAAAAAGGGCTGGTGAAGTGGTTTAAATGGTAGAGTGGCTGCCTAGCAAGTGTGAGACCATGAGTTTCAAACCTCACTGCTGCCAAAAAAAGTTCTCACAAAGACAATTCCTGAAATTCTTCATGAGGAAGAACCAATTGTGTCTGGACATTTTGTTATGAGACATCAGACAATTCAGTTTTTCCTATGATCCTTTTATGGTTCTTGGGAGCCTCCTAGCTGCCCAAATGGCACAGTTACCTAGAGAATTATCCCTTTAGTCCTATAATCACATTTGAAGTTCAAAAGAACTGCACCTCCCACTTTTGTTACCCGTGTCTGTGACAGTACTTTTCAATAGTCAGAAATAGTACATTTCTATGAGCAGAGCCCTTGTGGCCTGTTTATTTTATATTACATTGATCACCTGTCTTTAGGACAGGTGTTTTATAGATACTTGTTTCTCCTTCTTGTTTATAAGGAATTTTATTGTATATTCCATTATAAAATCTATATTAGGACTTGAGAAATAAAGAAGCAAAGACAGAAGAGACCCAAAATATCAGCCCTCTACCAGCCATGCAGTGTTGGTCTCTGTTAGCATCTGGCAGCTTTCCTTTTCTTCTGAACTCAAGTCATTTTGAAGGTTCTTTTAGGCCAGGCATGGTGGCCCACTGCTATAATCCTAGCTACTCAGGAGGTAGAAATCAGGAGGACCAAGGTTCGAGACCAGCTCAGGTCAAGACCCTATCTCAATCAATAAGGCAAGTGTGGTGGTACATACCCAGTTACAGGGGAGGCTGTAGATGGGACGATCACAGTCTGAGGCCAACCCCAGGCAAAAATGCAAGAGGCTACTTGAAAAATAACTAAAGGAAAAGGGGCTGAGGGTGTGGCTTAAGTGGTAGAGTGCCTGCGGAGCAAATGCAAGGCCCTCAATTCAAAACCCCAGTACCAATAAGCAAAAAAAAAGGAAGAAAAGTGGAGATTTTTATCTTTTTAAGAATAATAATGATTTCTTGTAAATAAATATGTTGTATTCTGCATCCTGCTTTTCTCCCCCACATAAACCTCATTTGATGGCCCCTAATAATCAAAGTGGACAACTATGCTCCTGAGTGAGGCTGTGTAGTAAGGGCGAGGCCCTTGGGCCAGCGCCTGGGTTGTTCCCAGCTGTGTCACTTAGTGATCAGTGTGAGCTTGGACAAGTTATTTCATTTCGTTGCTCAGTTTTTTCTGTAAAATGGGGAAGAAAATTAGTACCAGCTTCACAGAGGTACAAGGATGGAAAGACCCAAGCGTTTCCACTGAGCAGGTGCTAAATGCATCAGTCATCATGAGCATCCAGCAGCCCACGACTTCAAGGCAGTCTTCAGGGAGCATTTTGTGCCTACATTTTGTTAATTTAGGATCGCTTACTTGAAGTGGGCTAGCAGAGTGGAATAATTGAAATAAAGAGCAGAATTGTGTTTTAGGGCTCTTGTAAGCACTCCCAAAAGGACTTGTGCTAACCCATTGTTTTTCTGCCTGAAGAAAGATTTTGTTAGCACAAGATACTCTGCTTCCAACTGCTGATGGTAGTATTGAAGAGGAAGATAGCCTTGAAACAGGTTGTAAATAGCCTTGAAACAGGGTCGTAAAACGTGGTAAACTGTCAATTAAAAGCTGTAACCTCAGACAGAGCTGTAAAGCATGAGGAATTGCCCATTAGAGCCATGGAAAAGTTCAGGACCGAGATGAAGGGTACCATGCAGAGATAAGCACCCATTCCCACCTTTCTTTGTCTCTACTTATAAATAAACTTTCCAAAGCAGGTCTCCCCTGCTGACCTTATCTAAACAACATTAGGTCCCTAGCTCACTACCAGCCCAGTTAACCTAAACAATCTCAGATCTCTAACTCACTGGTTAGAGCACCATAACCTGAGCACATTTTTGTAACCTGATGCCCTGCGCTGCCTTTTATATATCCTGTGAATCCTTTGTTCAGTGCTCAGATACAGGTACACATCTGAGCCTGCTGGCGTAAAAGTAAAATCTGAGTTCTCCACTCCTCCGAGTGTCGCTTGGCTTCTCGTCTGTCAAAGTATTCCCCAACAGTATAAAAAAAATAACTGTACCATGAAAATACGAATACATGGTGTGTGTGGTGATGTACATGATGTCCCTCAGGTGTGGCACTTCTGTGCCACAAATCTAAGGGGTAGTGCCCTTTACAGCTCCCCTGTGGGTTCCAGTGTGTAGGCAGAAGTCAATAGCTGACTGTTCACTTATAGCAGTTCCCCTTGAAAACTGGCACAAATTATTTGGGGTTTTGTTTGTTTGGTTTGTTTTTTTGGGCTGTACTGGACCTTGTGCTTTCTAGGCAGGCACTCTACCAGTTGAGCGAAGCCCCCAGCCCTGTCACAAATTATTTATGGAAGTCAAAGACCAGCCCAGCATCAGTGGCTCATACCTGTAAACAGAGATCAGGAGGATCCAGCTTGAAGTCAGCTCAGGCAAATAGTTCTTGAGACCCTGTCTTGAAAAAACTCAACACAAACCAGGGCTGACAAAGTATCTCAAGTAGGAAAGTACCTGCCTAGCAAGTGTGAGGCCCAGAGATAAAACCTCAGCACTGCAAAAACAAAAAAAAAGATCATTTGGAGTCATGAAAAATAGACTCCATGGACCACTACCTAACATCATCCTGAAAAGATAGCTAACATTCATAGGAAGTTCAACACAATGTCATTTTTTGTTAGTCACTTAATGGGCACATGCAGAGTTTTGGAAGTAATGCCTAAGGAAAAGTATTACTTTTCTGGTGCCTAAAAGTGCTGTGTAAAGACAGTTTTCTAGGTGTCTTATTTCCTTTACCTACAGTATGTTGCCCAGACAAGGAAAATGGATCACTGGTGTGAATGAGACTGACTGGCTACACATTAAAAATCTATGCCAATTAGAATCTGAAGAGAAGCAAGTGAAAATACCTGTGACTAGTAACAGTGTGAGTAGATGATCATTAGTTTGGCTGACTGTCTCTGTTAACAGGAATTTTATTTAGAAAGCACTATGTTAGTCTTTCAAACCAGTTGTCTCAATAGGCTTCTAAATCTTACGAAATCAACTGTTTATTTTTAACATTTGATTATTGCTCAATTACCTATATTGTATATTAGCCCTTGGCCCATTTCAAGAAAGTATGTGCCTTTTTTAAAAAACTCCAAGCCTCAAATAAGAATGTGGGAGTTACCTAGTCAGTTCATAGAATCCTCTGGCTTTGGTAACTATAAAATGCTGTTTTCAAGGATTTTGTTTGTATTTTTTTTTAACCAGATATATGCAGTGTAAATGTATGTGTTGTTTTTGTGCTGTGGGTGTTGTTTTTGTGTTTTAAGTTATGTGAATTGCTCTACATTACACACTGTTGTATGTAAAGCCAAGAGCTCTTAAAAGGGACTCCTCCAGTTTCATCTGGAGAAAGCAGTACTGACTTCCTTAAACATTATCTCAGGAAACATCTTTTTATACTTATTTAGTCCCAATATATTCAGCTTTTTTCTTCTGTAACAAGTAAAAAGAAACCTACTAGAATGTTTTTGTTTATATCAATATTATAATCCCTTAAGGTGCATTAATGTTTGTTGGTGCTCTTGGCATGGTGTCAGATCAGAGCACAAAGCTCGAGGGACTAGTCCCTGGGCCCAGAGTGGGAGGCTTTGGTGAAGTGCTTTGTTACTCCTGTCTGCTGCTTCTTGGCACCATGCGGGTACTTGTGGGAGGTTAGAGGAGATGATGTCTGACATTAGTTTGCCCCCTAAGTTTCCTTTTTATGCCCTGGAGGAAATCGGTCAAAACTAGGCTAAAGTGCTGGCAGAGTGACTCAAGTTCAAGTGGTAGAGCACCTGCGTAGCAAGCGTGAAGCCCGAGTTCAAACTTCAGTACCACAAAAAAAAAAAAAAAAAATCCCTAGACTAAAAAAGGAAACAATCTAAAATGATTTAGATAGACACTATAGTGGTCTTGGATTGCTGCTATGCATTTTTATACCACTTACACTGTGGGGACCTTGAGCCCGTCATTGTCCTAACATACGTAGGAATGGGATTGATGACGTTTCTTTGCTTTGCTCTCATCAGGAAGGTGAGTGCCTTGTCAGCTTATTGCTTTCTGGCTAGAACTGTTTCTTTATTATTCTTTAGGTGTCCTTTTTGTCCCAGTTGACATCAGTTTGGTAAATATTTAACTATTAAGATCTATCTTGAAGGTTTGCTTTTAGCTTTATAGAGGAATTTCAGGGATGGGGAAAGTGGTTCAAAACAGGTGTTGGGTAGTTAATGCTTCAGAAGGTCCATGAAAGGACCATGTGTGCACACTGACAGCTTCACTTTCATTTCCTCACACTCACTTACACATAGTCATTAGTTTATTTCTCTGTTTTAGGTGGTGTTTGATATTCGAATTAAAGCCATAAAGGAATTAAAATTAACGAAGGAACTAGGTAATCATTTACATTTGCTTTTTGGTTTTTGGTTTAATTTAGTTTGGGTTTCTTATTGAAAAAAAAATATGTGACTGTACAAAAAAATAATTTAAGAAAATCTCATGCACCTACCACCCAAAATGGACGTGTTAATATTTGTCACATGTTTGTTTTTGATTGAAATGTTCTAAATAAGATCCTCTGTATTCTCCTTCTCAGACCTATTCTGTCTTCCTCCCTCCCATGTGCAACCAGTATATCTTATTTGGGAGTATATCTGGTCTACATATTAACATTGTACTATATATTGTACTTATGTATGTGTGTATATGTATATATTTTTACCTTTATGTAAATTTTATACTGGATATTTGCAAACTCAGTATTCACTTAGCATTACATTTTTAACAGCTTTATTAAGATATAATTTAGACACCATAAAATTCACTCATCTTAAGTGTATAATTCAATAATTATCAGTAAATGTGAATGGTTGTATGCCATCACCACAATCCAGTTTTAGAACATTTCATCATTCCAGAAAGATCCTTGTACCTATTTGTATTCTGGGTTCCAAGTAACAACTAACCTACTTTTCATCTGTATGGACTTGACTTGCTGGACATCTCATATATATGGAAACATACAATATATCATCTTTTGTATCTGGCCTCCTTTACCTAACATGCCATTTTTTGAACTTTATCCACTATTTAACATTTATCAATAGTTTATTCCTTTTTATTGCTGACTAGTATTCAGTTGTTTGGGTATATCACATTTTGTTTGTTCACCAGCTGATGGATATTTGGATTGTTAACTCTTTTAGAACAGTGCTGCTACAAACATTTGCATAAAAATCTTTTTTTTTTCTTTTATTCATATATGCATACAATGTTCGGGTCATTTCTCCCCCCTTTGCATATAAGTCTTTGTATGGACATATGTTTTCGTTTCTCTTGGGTAGATATACAGGGTTAGAATCTCTGGGTCATGTGACAAGTTTATGTTTAACTGTATAAGAAACTGTCATACTATCTTCCAAAGTGACTGAACCACTTGCATTCCTACTAGCAATGTGTCAGGGTTGCAGTTTCTTCACAGACTTACCAATATTTGTGATTATACTTTATATCCATTCTAGTGAATATGAATTGGTATCTCATTGCTTAAGCTTAGCAAGAACTCAAAATCAGTATGCAGATATCCATTGTATTTTATCAACCAGCAACAAAACCAAAATGGACATTGAAATTAGGAAAACATTTTTTTTTTTTAGTGAAAGCTAGTTTTATTTTAAAATTAAGTGAATACCACTCAGCTAGTTCCATTGGTGTAAACTTTAACCATACCAACTATTTGCAGCTAACATCATACACAGATACATTTTGGTTTGCAGTCTGTACTTGAGTAGTGTTTATTTACTGGACTTTTGTGAAGCCCTTTATATATATATATATATATATATCATTAATCTCTTCACAATACACATATGATGGTCCAGTAATCTCAAAAACAAAACAAACTTGTAACAGCTAATCAATAAACAAAACAAAACCTACACAGTTCTCCCCTCCCCCAAAAGCTAACAGTTGTTGAATTGTATTTATATTGAAACCTAATGTTTTAAAGATAGTTCTGGTTCTCCAAGCACCCACCCCATTCCAGGTATGTAGCAATAGTAATCAATTGTTTTATCCTACCCCCCTAAAAAAGATTAATCCAGTGTTCTTTAGCTTTTTAAGATATAAATTGTGGAAGTGTTAATAAACTTTTTTTAAAAGTCATATTCTTCTATAACAAGAATTACATAAACCAATCAGGAAAGGCATTTGACAAGACATTAAATTACCACAGATTCTGGCTTTTGTTTCAAGTTAGAATCCTTACCCAATATCTTACATTCATAGCATTACTGAGGTAGTTACAATACTGAAAATTGGAATCCAGGTTTCTAGTTTCTATTGTGTAAGATACATTATTTTTTTAACCTACTTTCCCCCAAACTAAATCAAGTTTTTTAAGAAAACATTCATAATAGCATAAAATATCATGCAGTGTCAGGGAAATGTTTAGCAAAATATATGTAAGATTTGTACTCTGAAAACTAGAAAGTATGGTGTAAGAAATTAAAGAGGACCTGAGTAAATGGGGTACCATATTCATGTGTACCATATTCATGAACCAGAAGACACAGTATTGTTCATTCTCCCTAAGTTGATGTGTAGATTCAAGGTTCTTTCACTTGGAGGCCTAGCATGATTGTTTGCTTGTTTTAGAAATGGATACACTGGTTCTAAAATTTATATGGAAATGCAAAGAACCTAAAATAGCCACAACAACTTTGACATACACACAAAGGTTGGGAGAGTTACAGAATCTAATTTCAAGACTTACTCTAGCTAGTGTGTATTAGCATATGGGAAAACTTATAGAGCAGAGGGCACCAAAGTATGACCTACAAGCTATTTTTGTACAGCCACCAGTGACTAAAGAATACTTTTTGCACTTTTAAAAAGCTGTTTAAAGAAGAAGCTGGATGTGGTGGTTCATGCTGATAATCCTAGCACTCAGAAAATTGACGCAGGAGAAGGCCAGCCTGAGCTACATTGCAAAACACTGTCTCAAAATAAATAGAAGAGGGCTGGGTTATAGCTCAGTGGTAGAGTGTGTGCTTTTAAATACAAAACCCTGGGTTTGATCCCAGCACCACAAAAAACAAAGAATGTACAACAGAGATAATCTGACTAGAGAAGCCTAAAGTATTTACAACAGAACTAAAAAGAGGATGCAGAAATAGGAGCAAACACAGTCAGTGGACTTTCCACAAAGATGACAAGGTATTTCAGGTGGAAAAGTATATTTTCAACAAATCGTAGTAGATCATTTGGGTATCCATATGTACAAAAAGTCCTCAGTCTTTACCTCATATAATGTAAAATATTAACTCAAAATGGGTATAGAATGAAATGTTAAAACCTGAAACTGTAGAATCCATGGGAGAACATGTGAGAAAAATCTTTGTAGCTTAACTATAAGGAAAGGACTTTTTTTAAGACAAGACTCAAAAAACAGAAACCACGCAAGAAAAAAACTAGTAAGTTGGACTACATCAAAATGTAAAACTTCTACTTTTCAAAAGCATTTGAAAAAAGCAAGTTATGCACTGGGAAAAAATATTTTAGAAAACAGATATTTGATAGTAAACTTGTATACAGAATTCCCAACCTGAATTGGGAAGACTGAACAGACACTTTACAGAAGACCTGCTTGTGTGAGTGCAGGGAATGATGTACTTGCTATCATAACATACCACTGTTAAAATCCAAAAGACCAATAAAACCAAGTGTTATTGAAGATGTAGGGCAACTGGACTCCCCTGTACTGCTGGCGGAAGTGGAAATGGTACAGTCACTTTGGAAAAGTCAGGTTGTTTTTTTATAAACTTAAGCATTCACTTGCCAGTTGTACTTCTAGATATTCCCTGAAGAAAATTGAAAACATAAACCCTTACAAAGACATAAATGTTCATAACCAAAATGAGAAACAAGCTAAGTGTCCATGAGCAGATGAATGGATGGACAAACTGTGGTGTGGCCGGTCGATGGGATGCTGTTCATCTCTCCAAGCAGTGGCCTAGTTCCACCACTCACAAAACATGGGTGAATCTCAGAGTCATTTTGCCAAGTGAAGGAAAGTAGACACAAAAGACTACACACTGTGTGGTTCCATAAATTTAAGCTATAGTTACAGAAGGCAGATCAGGATCAGAGAGAAAGAATGACTGCAGTGTGGCTCAAGGAAATTTGGGGGCAATATAGCTTCTGTCTCAGTTTGCTGGTTTTGCGAGTACTTACATATTTATCAAACTCTGTGAACTGTACATTTGAACTGGATGTGTCTTACTATACCTCAGCAAAAGCTCATCAGAAGTGTATTGCTTATCAAAGTTAATGGATCGGAGGGCTGGAGGCATGGCTCAAATGCTAGTACATCCACCTAACAAGCACAAGGTCTTAAGTTCAAACTCCAGTATTGTCAAAAAATAATAAAAAATAAAAGTAATGACTCATTATCCTACCCTCAGGGTGGGTCCCCTTTTCCCTCTCTTCTTCCCCTCCAAACTGTCCTTCAGGTAGCAAGTGACCCTCTCTAAATGCACATAAGCCAGACCATGCCCTCCTCTGTTCAGACCTCTGTTCAGACCTGCATAATCCAGCCCCTGCCTACTGTGGCCTCATTGCCATCTATTCTTATACCTTTACACTTTCTCGGTGTGCTCTTGCCTATTCTGAGCCTTCCCTGTGCTCTAACCTCTCTAAACTTTCTTCCTGGATTGGAAGCATAGCTCAAGTACTAGACCGCCTGCTTTGCAAGCATGAAGCCCTGAGTTCAAACGCCAGTACCACAAAAAAAAAAAAACCTTTCTTCCCTTTACTCTTTTTTTTTTTTTTTTTGAGGTATTGAACTCAGGGTCTCACTTGCTGGGCAGGTGTTCTACCACTTGAGCCATGCCCCCAGCCTTTTTGCTTTAGTTTGTTTCAGATAAGGTCTTCTGCTTTTGCCCAAGACTGGCCTTAGACTACAGTCTTCCTACCTCCCGCTCCTCAGTAGCTGGGGTTATAGGCATGTACCACCTCGCCTGGCTTGATTTTTTTTTTTTTTGGGTGGTACTGGGGGTTGAACTCAGAGCTTCATGCTTGCTAGGTGGGCACTCTGCCACTTGAGCTACTCTGCCAGCCCTCTTTGTGTTGGGTATTTTCAAGATGGGTTCTCACAAACTGTTTTCCCAGGGCCAACTTCAAACTGTGATCCTCCTGATCTCTGCCTTCTGAATAGCTAGGATTACAGGTGTGGGCCATCAGCACCTGGCCTGGCTTGATTTTTTTTTTCTTTTTCTTTTATTATTCATATGTGCATACAAGGCTTGGTTCATTTCTCCCCGCTGCCCCCACCCCTGGCTTGATTTTTGAGATAGAGTCACACTAATTTTTTTCCACAGGCTGGCCTTGAACCACAATCCTTCTATCTCCACTTCCTGAGTAGCTGGGATTTTAGGCAAGTGCCACCACCTTCACTCTTTGCTAACAGCCATTCATTTGGGCTCAGCTGAAATGTTCCTTCTCCTTTTATCTCTGCCCACACAATCTTAGTTAATCTCTGTTTCACACTCATAATACCCCGTGCTTTTTCCTTATAGCACTTAGTGCTATAACTCCTTTTTTATTTGTGCCATTAAATCTATCTACCTCTCATATTAGACAAGACTGTGAGGGCAAAGTCCACAGCTGTGATTCTTAACCACTGTGTCACAACTTCTAGTATAGTGCTAATATATAGGAGATACCCAAGAAGTGCTTGTTCAGTGAAAACAAAAGGTTTTGGTTTTGGTTTTTGAGATGGAGGTGAGGAGACTATCTCACTATGTTGCCCAGGTTTCCTGGGTTCAAGTGCTCTCCTTGTCTTAGTCTCCCGAGTAGCTGAGACTACAGGCATACACCACCACACCCAGCTGAAAGTGAAAAGATTTTAAGGACATGGTATTTGAAATGCACCTTTTAAATAGACAAATTCCTTTTATAAACTGTTTGAGTTCACAAGATATGTATGTTAGAATTATGTTCTACCTTCATGTTACTGTGGTACATGATACTGAACTCAGGAATCGCACTAGGAGAGTCTGCTCTGTTCTTACAGAACTTACAGTCCTGTGGCATTCTTACCCACTGAGAATGTTTGATTCTCCTCCCCTTTCTAAATTCATGTCCTGCTTTGTTAGAATTCTGTTTGTACTGAAATCCTGATACTGCTCCTTCCCTCAGAGCATCTTCTAAACTAGCGCATGCTGGCTCTACTCCACTAACTAAGCATAACATCACCCAGTATAGTTTGAATATAGGCAGTCTGCTTTGCACACTGTGTAACACATGAATTGTAGTTACAATGGTTTAGTTATTTGACATTGGTCCTCCAGTCACACGGTTCAGATTTCAGCAACCACATATATTAACTGTGAGTAACTGAATAAAGCACACACATGCCTGCTAACTCTGTGCTCCGCAGACCAGTACATAAATAACAGATGTGCACCAAGGTGGCCCTTTCACGTCCTCTGGTGCGTGGCCACTGCAGGTCCTTATGCAGCTCAGTACACAAACAGCAAAGGGGTTATGTTGCCTCCTTTCTCCGCTGATAAACCTACCTGACATTTGCAATAATGTCATGGGAAGAGGGGCTGACAACAAAACGAAAGCGTCCAGAGACACAGGAATATGTGCAATTATAGAAGCAGCCCCAGCCCCAGAAGTGTTGACACTACTGTCACTTAAAAGGCTCTGCACGTGCAGCTGAGGACCTTGATGAAGGTGATCCTTACAACCCATGTGAGGAGGACAGTTGTGACAGAAAGGACTAAGACTTCCCAGAGGAAGTAACGCTGGTGAAAGTCATCACATTAAAGGATCTGTCAAAGTATTTCATGACTTTGAAAGCACAAAGTACGAAACACTGGAAGCTGTTCTGAACTCAGAAGAAGTAGGACCCCTTGCTGCAGTTAGAGAGGCTCGTGCCATGTCCTTGGCTGTCTGTGAGGAAAAGCTAGCTCTGTTTACGCTGCTCTTAACATGTATTTTGCAAAGACATAAAACATTTCAGTTCTCACTTTCTGGAGTTTTAAATAAATGTGTAAATAGCTTTTTTTAATTTTCCCATTTATGTATAGCCTCGGAGAGCTATGTTTTGACAAAAAATTTTAAGTTATGGACTAGTTGCAGTTCTTCCACTGGTTAAGATTGCTTGATGCCATTTTAGCCTGTATTTTTACAGCTTGTACATGGCTATGCAGTGAAGACTGTCCAAATGTTGGGGAGGGTTGTCTTGGTTGTTGGAGGGTTGTTGGGGTAAAGGGGGTATAGTTGTTTAGTTTTTTAGACACAGTCTCACTGTGTAGCCCAGACTAGCCTCAAACTCACAATCCTCTGCCTTACCCTTCTGAGTGCTGGGATTACAAGCATGCACCCACACTCAGCTGGTTTTGTGTTTTTTTTTTTTTTAGTTTTTTAGCCTATATAGCTTCCTGCTAATTAGAACAGTAGAGCATCTCTTTAGTTTCCTTTGTTTAGTGCACTAACTGGCTTCTTTTTTTATTTGTAGCTGAGAACAGTTGTTTGAGACCTATTGATAGGAACGGAAAACTCCTTTGTCCAGGTAAACCTTTTTGGAAGCTTTCAAAAGCTGACAAATGCTCAGACCATCCATCTATCTCTCTTAACGCTTTTACCTTAAATAGTGGTTTCCCAGTATTCTTAGATTATCTTCAGGAAGCTGATTTATAGGATACATTCCATTCAGGTATTACTCAGGTCTTACAGAAAACTTCACCACTTTGTTTTCTGTTTTCTGAAATGAAACACCTATCCTTCTGATGCTCCATCCTCATTTTAATCTGTTTTAATTTAACTGCTTTCTAGCTTTGTTTTCCAAGTTTCTTGCGTGATATGAGTTATCACCTCTGTAAACACCTCTTTTCATCAGAGCTGATAAGTCACGAACAGAGGCTGATCATTAACAGTATTCACCACACAGCCTTAAATGCTGAAGAAGCTAGTCCATCATGTGTGGACTGAATTTTCAACCTGAACAAACAACTCTTTGGCCAAGTCATTTTTATTAAGTATGAATCTTAAACATTCATAACTGCCTCTTACTTCATAGCATTATTGTACAGATAAGAATGATGTAGAGTGTGGAAACTGAAAATTAAACATAACCAAACTTAGTACATGTAATCCTTTTGCATGAAGTACAGCCCATTTTTTTCTTTAATAATATTTTGAGGGGTGATATATGAAAATTTATTACTAGTGTGGCAGTGCTTGGGATGGAACCCAGGGCCCTGCCTTGCACATGCTAAGCTTGCACTCTGCCACTGAGCTATGCTATAGCCCCACTTTCTTGGTTTTGTGGAGTTTTTTGTTGTTGTTCTTGTTTGTTTGGGGGGCAGGGGGTTAAGAAAGGGTTACGTTTTATATTGAGGCTGGCCTCAAACTCCCTGTGTATCCCAGGCTGACCTCAAACTCTCAGTCTTCTTGTTTCAGCCTCCCAAATTCTGGGATTACAGGCATGTATCACCACACCCAGTTTTGATCTTCCTGATTTTCAAAGAAAGTCTGACTTCAGTATATTATTTTGCTGAGAGACAGATTCAAAACATTAATCACATTACCAAATTTCGTCATAGTGCCAGACAGTTCCACTTTGAAGGAAGCAGAAGTAAAAATGGGGAGTTCATTGGGACTGTGTCTTGGAAAACCACCATCTTCCTCTCAGGTATGATGAGGTTGCCAGCAAAACAATTTACAATTTTGTAATGCTGCTTTTCTCTAAAAGTTATTTTCTTTCAAATTTCATTTTAGAAATTCATGCATGTCATTCTCTATGTTTAAATAAAAAATCTTGTGCTGAAGCATGTTTCTAAGGTTCCTTTTCTGTAAAAATATTGTGGGCAAGGGTTTTTTATAGCCAAGTAACGGTTTCAGTCACTGTTTCATAAATTCTGAACACTTCAACATCTATGAAATTAGGATGTAGTTAGAACTGGCAGTGTTTTCTCTTTTAAGTGACACAGAAGATAATGAGTTTTAACAATCAGTGAGTAACATTATAAATTTAAAGAAATATTGATTTTGAACTTAATATTACTTTCTGCAATAATATGATAGTTTCATAGCAACCCACCTTTCCCATGGCATTTATCACTATTCTTTGTCTATGTAAAATGCCATAAAGTTGATCATTACCAGAAGTCCTACCTAGTTAATAAACTTTTATTGCAGCCCAAAAGTTATGATACCCTTACTGTTGATACCCTGCTTCAAGGCAGTCTGGGTTCATATCCCAGATCCAGTCCATGTGTTTCCCAACCGCTGCCCTTTTAATCTGCTTTTCTAAACTCAAACAAAGTGCAGTGCGTGACAAGCTAGTAGGAAAACAAACATGACAAGTGAGGTTGGGTTAGAAAGGGAGTGTGGGGCTGTAAAGAACTGAATGAACAAAAGAACACATTTACATTTGTCTTGGGGATTATAATACATGGAATCACTATGCAGAAAATAATATCATAAGTTCAGTGTGGTACGTGCCCTTAATCCCAGCACTAGGGAGGGGGAGGCAGGAGGATCATGAATTAGAGTTCTAGCCCAGATTATATAGAGAGACCCTACTTCAATAAACAGGAAAAGAAAAGAAAATCCTAATCAAGTGGCTTGGAGAAAAGGCACAGTTAATGCTTATTGTGTGTAGCAATTGCAGATTCCTCCAGGGAGTGACTAAGTCAGAGATGGAGATCCTAGTCAAAGAAATAATGTCTATGAGAGACGTTTGTTAGGAGTAAGACTCTGATGAAGAAGCATCGTATATTTCTAAGTAGGTGAGATTATTGTTTAAATTGTATTATTAAATTACTCAACATAGTCTTGTTTTTACATAATTTAGGGATTTTGTTTTTTTACTGTTTATTTTTACAGCACAGGGGTTGAATCGAAGACCTTGAGCGTGCTAGGCAAGCACTCTTCCACTAAGCTAATTCCCAGCTCCCAGCTTTTTATTAATATTTCACGGACCCTTCATTTTACTTTTGTGGAAGTAAATAATACATTACAAATTTTTTAATTCAGGTTGAATTGCATTCATACTTGTCTTGCTCTTAGCTGTTCCTGTTTTTTGCTCTGGGAACTGATGTTCAACCTGGGACAGAAATGGAGGTCATAGTAGAAGAAACACTCTCTGTGAGAGATGTAAGTAATTTTACTCTTTGATGTGGGGAACTGTGAGTAATGGTGTGAGAGGCAGTGTTCCCTGGGCTAGGATTTAAAGATACTAAGACAGGGGTCTCCATGGCATACTTCCAACAGTTGCACATACTCAGGGAGCTTGAAAATTGGCAGATCAACTGGAATTTTTAAATAAGATTACTATTGTTATTTTTTCTCTTTTCTGAATATCAACAATACTTTTATTATGGAAATTTGGGATAGGCCAAAATGGATTAAAAGAAAAAACTAACACCCCTCATTATTACCCCACCAGTGTTAACATTTTGACTTACTTCTTTCTGTATTTTTACTTTGTATACACACAAAATCATACATATATACAGGGTTGAATGTTTGTATGTATGTATAGGTGTGTGAGAAAACAAAGGAATACCGTGTTGATGTCTGAGACTTTCAGATAAAATCAGTGTGGTTCAATAAAAACCTGAATTTAAATTAAAAGAGTCTAAATGAACTTCATCGATTTTTTTCTTAAAGCATTTTTTTTCTTGTGCTCTCTTCAGCAGCACATATACCAAAATTGCCCCTGAGCCAGGATGACACGTAAATTGGCCAAGTGTTCTGCAGTTTTAAACAGACATGCCTAATAAGTTTAATTTTTAAATTTTTTTTCTTGCCCTATTCTCTAATACAGCTTAGAAATGGTGACCATTTTGGTAGCAGCAAGCAGCCTTAGCACCCAGATTACAGTTACTGTTACCTTCCTAGTTCAGGAAATGACCAGATAAAGTCCAAGCCTCTGTGTCTGGCTACCATTTATAAGAAACTCAGAGGCAGTATAGGATGTTTAATGCACCACAGGTCTGCAGCCAGCAAAATCTGGATTGGCAAACTCTTCCTCAACAAATGAATTATAAGACCTAGGGGCACCTGTAGGACAAATAGCAATCCATTGCAATGCCTGGACTTTTATGTGGATCATGAGTCAAGCCAAGAGAATTTAGTAGTCATAACTGGAGATATAGTAAATTTGAATCTTGACTGGATGTTTGTTGATACTAGAATTCTTCATTTTTCAGATGCAGTCATTTTAGAGTTTTTTTTAAGAGAGTCCTTATCTCTCTTAAAAATACATACTGAATACACATAAATGGAATGATACGGGATCTGGCAGTGACTTTAGGGGAACCTGGTGAAGAATGGGGTGGTGGGTGTAGTATTGAAAAATAACCATGCCAGTCATGAGACTAAGTGAGACCGTTTTTACTGTTCTCTGAATTTGTTTGAAGTTTTCCGTGATAAACCTTTTTACTTATTTATTTTGAAGCAGGGTCTCCCAGCTGGCCTCAAACTCATAATCCTCTTGCCTGTCCAGCCTCCCGAGTGCTGGGATTCCAGGCATGTGACACCACACTCAGCAAAACATTTTTTACATAAACTTTTTTTTTTACCTTTTTTGTTACATTTTATAAATATTTTTCCAGACTTTCATTAGTTTTTTAACTTAGTGTTGTTTAATTTCAAAGAAAGAACCACAAAGCTTTTCAAAACAATGATAATACTTGATGTTCCTCTACTTTCTGACCCATTGCAGGATTCATTGCAGCTCTTATCAGGGTGTCAGTGGCCTACACATTGCTATGTCTAGTGAGCAGTGTTACTCTTCACCCTTTTGGCTCTGTCAGCAGTGCTTCACACAACTGCTGACTCTTACTTTTGGAACTTTGTCCCTTGGCTTCCAGAGACCACAGTTCCCAGGTTCTCCTTGCAGCTACCAGCTCCCTCTCAGTTTGCTCTCTCTTCCATTTCTCCCTACCTTCTGAACATTCTGCCACCTATTCTTAGATGGGACCTCACTCCAGAACATCCAGCTGCTACTTGGTTGTCTTGACAGCTGTCCCAAACTAGAATACATCCTTGATGGAACTGATCTCCTGAAACATAGGCTTTCCTCTACTTCAGCTAATAGCAGCTCCACTTTTCTATTTGGCTCAGGCCAAAACCCATGAAGTCCTCCTTAATTCTTCTCTTTCTTATTTCACATCCAGGACCTTTTGTCTGTACCATCACAGTGTATCTAGACACTGGTTGCCTCTCACTCCCTCCAGGGAAGTCCATCATCCTCTTGCCTGCCTTATTCCTAACCCTTTCCAGCTGTACCTCCCATTGTCTGTCCTTAAAAGAAAACTGAGTGATCCTTTTAGATGTAAGCAAGATTAACCACTAACCACCCCTGACCTCACAGGCCTCTAGTGGCTTCACATCTTAGATTAAGAACTGTAACCTTGGCCATTTCTACAAGGGCCTCTGTTCTGACCCTCTGATTTTTTTTTTTTTCTTTTTTTTGGTTTAGTTGCAAACCTCCAGCTACTCCCCACTTTTGTTCACTCTACTCTAGCTACACTGGCCTCCTTGCTGTTCTTACAGCAAGGTCTTTACACTGGCTGCTGTTTTCCCAAACTAGAACATAACTCAAATGAATGCTCCTTTATTTTTCTTAAATAGTGAAAGCCTTTAAGACTGCAGTTCTCTCTGAACACAGTTGTGGTCCCATTCCTCATGTTTCAGTATATTGTGTTCTCATTGGCATCATTTTCTAAACAGTCTGTAATTATATTTAAAATCTTCTTTATTTCTCTTTTAATTATACAGATAGCCATGAATTTATTCTCAATTTTTAAGCTTCACGGGGATTAAAAATTCCCATTAGTTACCAGCCTATTCTAATTCCTTCTCCAGACAGCACTGTTGTCATCAGATGGCATTATCTGTCCAGGTCAGCAGAGTCAGCAGAGTCAGCAGAGCTTCACCATGCATATGCCAGCATGTGGCTACATATGTACATTCAGAAAAGAAGAGCTTGCTTTGTCTGCTTTCTTTTCCAGTCATAAACAGGATCGTTACTGCATGCATGTTCTGGAACTTAACTTTCATTTAAAGTATTTTAAAGATCTTTTAAGACTAGCACATATAAATCTCATATTCTTTGAACTGCTTTAACACATTTTCTGTTTGTTTAAAAATGCTTCCCCATTAGTAGATATTTTTGTTGTCATTTTTCTCTTATTGCAGATAGTATGGCAGTGATTATCTTTGTTTTTGCTCCCTTTTGCTCTAAGATAGTATGAACTGAATTTTACTTACTCTTTTGCCCAAGATTTATTTAAGAGTATTTTTCTCTCAAGAAGTTGGGAATATTGATTATTATTTTGCTTCTCTTAAACTTTTGTAGCCATTGTCTCATTTTGCATTGTGCTGTGAGAGCACAGTTTCCACATTTATTTTCTGTGAGTTTATGTGTGGCATGATCCATTGTATTTCATGGGAACTAAAGAAAGGCTAATCTCCTTTTATAGAACTCAGTTTATTGTGTAGCTGTGAAATTAGCCTTATTAATCATATCTGATCAGATACACTCTGTTAATCATGGTTCAGATCTAGAAGCCAGTGAATGACATTGGACTAAGTCCTGTTTGCAGATGCCAAAACTGTTTTTCCCTAACTGAATTGGCCTGCTTAGCTCCTAGGAAGGAGAGCTGTCGTGTGGATTCTCTTCTTAATTCTGTACATCTTTTAACTACTCAAGAATGATTAAGTATAGTCAGACTTAAATTGGTCTAGGACTCAAAAAGGGAATTTCTCCTTGTAGTGTAACTCAGAAACAGAAAACTAATATTGGGCATAATTTTTTTTTTACAGTGTTTAAAAATAATGCTGGAGAAATCTGGTCAGTCAGGTGAGTTATTTACCACGATACTAGCTTGATCTTGTCCACATCCTTTACTTAAAATAAGTCTCTATAAGCCTAATGAAAGCTTTTCAAGGTTTTGTTTTGTTTTGTTTTGAGACAGGATTTCACTATGTAGCCCAGGCTGGCCTCGAACTCATGGTCTTCCTGCCTCAGTTTTCTAGTACTAGGACTCCACACTTGGCTACTTTTCAATTTTCTTCTTTCCCTAGGTTGTAGGGAAAATTATTGCAGACTGTGAAGAAGAAAAAAAAAAAAAAAGTAAATTTCTGTATGTACTAATGAATCCTCTCCTTGTACTTATTTGGAAACTAAAAGTTCCAAAAAGTTCAAGTAAAGATAACCTAGATAGGATTGGCTGTAAAAGAAATAAAGCTTATGATTTATACCACCTGGAATTACCGAGGTCTTTTTTTAAATCTCATTTATTCAGAAATCAGTGTATCCTGGTTCATGTCAATATTTTTGTGCTGTAAATTAGGGAATACAATATGATGAAAAAAATAAATCCAGGATAATTAAGATAGCAAGTGTCCATTCAGGTGATGAGGCACCATACTGCTTTCCATAGCTAGATCTGCTGCTCTCACACTTCATTAACATAGAAGCCCCTGGCTCATTATCAGAAAGGGAAGCTACCATGCCCTGGAAAGAACACATTCTTCTAGCAGTGTGCATGTAGTGTCGAGTTTAATCTCAACAGCAGTTCTACCAAGAGGGGTTCTTCAGCCATTGGTGGTTTACAGCTGAGGAAACAAAGGCTGAGTCTACAGCCATACCATCCCGAGCAAGCCAATCTCATCTGATCTCAGAAGCTAAGCACGGTTGGGCCTGGTTAGAACTTGGAAGAAGCAGAGGCTGAGAAAAGTCAGGTGGCTTGCTTGGGGATACAGCAAGCAGCTGGGTCTCTGTTTTCAAAATCCAGCTTCATGCCACCATGCTGTGCTGCAAAGTCACAGAGTTCACTTACAACATGAGGGTGATTGTTTAAGATACTTAAATCAATTTTTAAAATTAATATAAATCTTAGCATATTTAAAACTAGAACTAAGGACTAAAAAGGGGCTATACAGAAGGGTATTTGTAGGGATTCAAAGACAGTGGCCTGTGGAGGTAAATAAGAGTTCTGTTTGTTTATTTGCCTTGTTAGATGTTTTATTGTTTGTTCATAACCATGATTTTTTACCATACTCTTCAACTTTCTCCCTATGCCAAAAAACTTTAAAAAATGAAAAAAACTTACTTCATCAATATAGCAACTATACTGAAAAACAGAAATCTGATTAAAGTATATTTGACATTTGTAAGTACTCATTTATATGAACTTCATTAAAATGCTCTTTTGTAATTTCTGGCACTGTATTTTTGTTAGAGTCACTGCTAAGTGGGCAGGAATAATCTTCATGTGCACATCAGCAGTTGCTGAGCAGTGTTAGCATGTCCTTTCATCTGAGACAGTGAAATAAAACTCAGCTCCGAGGCTTTCAGAAGGGATTCGATACTTAGGCATATATGTACATAATGTATGCTGACATGTGATCTATATACATGTGTGTACATACTAAAGGTTCAAAATAAATATTGTATAATGAATGATTTTATTCACACTCATACACCTAAGTATAGTGTTTTTATTCACAAGTTCTTAACAGAGGAAAAAGCAAATTAACCAAATGTTCTGTAAGAGATAATTTGCTTACAAATAATCGAGGATTATTAACAGGGCAAGTCCCGTTTGATATTCATTTATCCAGAAGGGCCATTCCTGACAACTCTTAAAACTTACTGTCTTGGGGTCTTTCATCCTGATTTCTTATTCCCTCATAGGTGATACATGGCATTTACGAAAAATGGATTGGTGCTATGAAGCTGGGGAGCCTCTATGTGAAGAAGTAAGATTTTTTCTGTACATTTTACTCTTAAAAATAATTACGTTTATTTTATGTTTTCGTAAAAGCCATATGAAGAAATTCCAGAGAAAGTTTTCACTCTTTTTTAGAATACAGAAATCTATGAATGGGTCTATTTTCATTTTTTTCTGGCTGTTTTTCTGGGTGGAAGCATTTTTGACATATGATATACCCTTCCAATGAAAAAAACGTGTCCTAGGGTGTTCACTAGGAAGCAGAGAGCTTCAGGGAACAAACCACATTTGAATTCATGAAAGGATTTGAAGATACATTTTGTGACCCCTGAATATTTTCATATCCGAATTTCTCTATAAGTGAGTAATGACAGAATTCATCTTACCAACCAGTCACTTAGGCTCTAGTCCAAATTGTTGTTCAAGCCAAACTCTTAGAATAGTCCTAGAAACAATTTTTTATCACAGGATAGTTGTAATCCAGTTAATATTATTGTTGGTCCAAGTAGCATCAAACCTCCTAGTGCAAACCCATGGTCTTAGAAGGAAGCCAAATGAAGTTTTGTGAGAAAGCTTATATAGTTGTGGGCAGCCATCCTTTTCCCAGTCTACATCTGCCTTCTTTCTGTCCAGTAATGGACAGTGGCATTGAACATCAACAAATTGATAAACAGGTATACTAGGGCTTCCACTATAATACTCTTTCCCAAATACCAAGTCTGTTAGTCAACAAAAAAAAGCTCCTCTTAAATCTTAGCCAGAAGTTGACTGCCCAGAGTAAGAAGTGCCCCTTAAAGAATCTTCAGGACATACAGTCTTGGTATCAGAAGTATGTACTTACTCACATAGCTTCTGCATTTTCTCTAATTTTTTTTATGTTTTGTGACAGGCTCTTACTAGTGTAACCCAGGCTGATCTTGAACTTATGATCCTCCTCCCTAGTGCTGAGACTTCAGATGTGTGCCACCTTATCGTACTATTTTCTTCACAATTAATTCCCAAATCAGTATCAAACAGTTTATCTAAAAGCAAACTCATCCTCAAAACTAGCCTCCCTTCCCAGATTTGCCATCTTTCTCGTCCTAGTCTTTTCAGACTAAAATATGACTTACCCTACTTCTTTCTTCAGATTTAGTCTCAACCTTGAAGGGCCTGCTAGCTTTTCCATCCCTTCCCTGACCATTTCTCCTGTTGGCCTACTTCAAGCCTCTGTTTGACTCTTACAAAATTATTGCAGCAGCTTTCCTGGACCCAGACAGATGTTCCCACTTCAACATTTCATACATGTAGCAGCCAGTTTGATCTTTTAGTGGTTCCCTTTTTTCTGTTCCATATCCCTTTGGTTTGTGCTCTTCCAGTCTAGTTTCATTTCCTGTTACTCTCCACCTGGTGCTTCCCACTCTAATTGTCCCAGCCTCTTAGCTCTTAGCCAAGACAAGCCAAGCTTTTTGTCAATCTTGTTCTTTTTTTCTGAATCTCCCTCTCCCTCTCCTGTTGGCCTACTTCAATAGCAGTTGAAGTAGGTCAATAGGTTTGAACTTCAGCCATGCCTCCTTTCCCATTCTTTATTTCCTCTAGCTTTTAAATCCAGTGCTTCTCATATCTGTAAAGTTTCATCTTCTAAAAGTTAGTCTCTTATCCTTTCTCATCTCAGCTCTCTCCCTTTCCTCAGATCTTCTATGATACTTACTTGTACCCAGAGTTTAATACATGACGCTATTCTCATTTTATTTTCTTAGCTTGTTTCCTATGTCTTCAGTTACCTGCTTTATTCATTTATTCCTTGAGAAGGCAATAGAAGTACAAAAAAAGATGCAATGGTCTTTTTGTTCCTTTCAGAAGTCATAAGTGACAAAAAAGAATTTCTGTATTCCCAGGATGCAACACTGAAAGAGCTTATGATATGTTCTGGAGATACTTTGCTTTTAATTGAAGGAAAACTTCTTCCTCCGGTAAGATTTTGCTTCTAAATAGACATTTTGTATGTAACAGTTACTGTTTTCTGATTACAAAGACAATCTATCCTACAGTCACAAAAAGAATAAAGAACTTTCCCCAAAATCCTGCCTACCAAACGTGTTTCCTTCTTTTTATATTTAACATTTTAACCTTATCATAAAATCCAGACATAATCATTATATCCAAGATAATGATTTACTGTGGCTTAATTCACCTATATTCCTAATGTTGGAAATTTAGCTTGTTTTTAACTTCATTCTTACAATTAGTACTTAACTATAACTCCTTCTAACTTAGAATTACCAAATCAAAAGGCATGAACTTTGTAAAGACTTGTTGTATAACTTGTTTTTCCAGCAAGTTATCCCAAGTTTATAGTCATAGTAGCAGAATGTGATACAGCTCACTTCACATTTTTATTGCATGTCACTACTTTTTAAACACAATATTTATTAGTTTTTTTCAGTGCCAAAAAATGTAAAGATAAAAACAAAAATGTCTGAAAATTCTGGTATTCAGAAAACATTTACTTGTGATTAGAAAATTCAGATAGCACAGAAGGAGATACATGTTAACATATTTTTATGCCAAGAGCTAATGTGTGCCTATCTTCATATCTCGACATTGTTTTAACCTTGTTCTGTTAGTATTTGTTTATCATCTCTTAATATATCTTAGAGAGCTCCTCATATATCAGACCTAAAGTTTTCTTTTTCATTGCTTCATAGAGCTCTATTGTATTTTGTACAATGATCTTTCAAGTTAATTCTTGAATAGGTAGTACTCATGGAACAAAGTTCCAAGTATATAAAAAGCTGAGGCAGGAAAACTTAGTATCCCTCCTTTTCTTCCTGGCCCCAGCCACCCAGTGTCATCTCCTTACGGGCAGTCAGTCAGCTTCCTCTGTAGCCCTCCAGAGGTAGACTTTTTGATATACATGCACTCAAGAATAAACATTTGTATGTGTACCCAGCACAGATGTATATGCATCAACAAGTGCTTCCTTTTTTTTTTTCTTTTCACAAAAGAGTATATGCTAGAACACCTATTTGCAGTGGTTAGGATTAAACCCAGGGCCTTGTGTTTGCCAAGCTAGCACTCAACCACTGAGCTACATCCTGTTGCCCATGATTCATTTAACCAGCCTCTGTTCAAAGAGCACTGTAAGCACGTGTGCTTGTGGATGTGTTGCTGTTTTGCAAATAAATATCTACAGGATAAATTCCTAGAAATGTAATTCCTCTATCAAAACTTATGTCCTACCCTAACATTACCACTTTCTAAAGAGGTGCCTTAAAGTTGGATCATGGTTTTTGCGGCCGTAAACAATTTTAAAGGACTATCTCTGCATCTTATGACTACCAATACATATACATGTCAGAAAGTAAATTTCTAAATGTGGACTGTCTGGATTAGAGACCTTGAACATTTTACTTTATTGTTTTAATAAGTTCATTTTTTTTCAGTACTGGGATTTTGAACTCAGGACCTTGTGCTTCTGCCACTTGAGCCACACCTCTATACCTGAACATTTTAAATTTTCACAGATATGTCCAAATTACTCTCCAAAAACCTTGTAGTAGTTTATATTTCTGCCCCAGCTTACGAGAGTTCAAATTTAATTATGTTGTCACCAACACACACACACAATAGTTTTTGGACTTTCTGGTTTCTGACATCCTGCTAGATAAAAAAAAAAAAAAAAGGAATTTTTTTATTTTAATTTACATGTATTCAATTGAATTGACGTTGAGTTTTTGTTAATCTTCACTAACTTGGTAAACAGAAAAATATTGTAATGTGAGTTTTTGGAAAATGTTTTTAAATTATTTTACATGGCTATTTTTCATACACTCATCTTCCATTAGAAATTGTGCATTGTAACTGTAACACCTTTTATTTCTTAATAAATCTGTTGAATTTCTTTAGTAAAAAGAAAGAGATGGGAAGAACTAGCTAAATTAGTAAAAGTGAAATTTTATGGTGTGTATAAGGCAGTGGGTTTATTTTGTATCGTTTATATACAGGAAGCCAACCTGGGTGGGGAGGCTGCAACTCCCTGGTAGTCTACCAAGCCACTATGACTGGAGCATTGTGCCAGCAGTGCTCTCTCAGGGTCTGGAAGTAGTGTCTGATGTGTCTGCAAAGCACTTTCTTATCATTCATGCTTCACATTTGTTTATCTACAAAGATACTTCTATGCAAAGAACATTTAGTCCTGTTATTCTAAAGGCTGGTTTTTACAATGAATAGTATAATTTATGGTGGTAAATAAGTCTAGAAGGAAAAATATAGATTCAAGAACATTTTTATATCATTGAGACAGCTCTCTGTATGGATGTGAAAGTGAAGATTTCACTTCATCTTCATATGTCACAGCAGTTTAAAGTGCTCTGTTTTTCAGGGTTTCCTGAAGGTGCCCATCTGGTGGTACCAGCCTCAGGGACCCTCAGGACATTGGGACAATCAGGACCTACCCAACTGCACCCCTTCTCAAGGAAGCAGCAGCTGGAGAGCCACCCCTACCCAAGGTGAGGACAGAGTGGAATTACAGCAGGCAGTGTGCTAAAGTAAAGTGCCTGCCTCTGTCTGAGTCAACTGAAATACTTACATGCAAAATGGAAGGCTAAAAATCAAAACCTGTTTATTCCTTTATAATAAGTCATTGTGTAAGAATCCTGCCATTCTGTGCCATGCTTTGTAACTTCTGTAAAGCACTGTAGATCTTATTACTGGCTTCAGTATTATATCAATAGATGATACTTTTTCGGAGACCTCTTAGGTGTCAGCTGTCAATATCCTCAGGGCAGTAGAGGCCCCATTTATTATCCTGTGCCAGGATACGTCCACTAGGGTAGAAGCCGGTGTGTCTCGGGTCTGTCTCTCCACCCAGTGCCCTAGGAGCTTCTTCTGGGTGTCTGGCATCATCTCACTGGTTTCTGAGGAGAAGTACAGAGTTCAAGTATGTTGGCTCATTCAAAGTGCTGCACACAGATTGCAGTGGGCACAGTCCCTGGCGATATGTTGAGTTACATTTGTACAAAGTGAAATTCTACCTCATAATGACAACACATTTTTTTTTGCTTTTATAATAATTTAATGTATTATAAGAAATAGTCTAAAAATGACACACCACCGGTGATAGAAAAATTTTGGAATTTGTGAATGCTAACTATATTGCCATTTGACAATCTTTTTTATACAGTAGATGAAAACATCTACATGCTACTATGAAGAAATATTGAGAAAACTTACAGTTAATCAGTTGGGATTAGTAGAACAAGTTTTAAAGTAAATCTATAGCTGAAACACACACACACATTTCAGAGAATTATTTCTTTTTTTTTATTTTTTATTTTATTATTCATATGTAAATGAAGCCTTGCATACAAGGCTTGGGTCATTTCTCCCCCCTGCCCCCACCCCCTCCCTTACCACCCACTCCACCCCCTCTCTCTCCCCCCCACCCCCTCAATACCCAGCAGAAACTATTTTGCCCTTATCTCTAATTTTGTTGAGGAGAGAGTATAAGCCATAATAGGAAGGAACAAGGGTTTTTGCTGGTTGAGATAAGGATAGCTATACAGGGAGTTGACTCCCATTAATTTCCTGTGCGTGTGTTACCTTCTAGGTTAATTCTTTTTGATCTCACCTTTTCTCTAGTTCCTGGTCCCCTTCTCCTATTGGCCTCGGTTGCTTTTAAGGTATCTGCTTTAGTTTCTCTGCGTTGAGGGCAACAAATGCTAGCTAGTTTTTTAGGTGTCTTACCTATCCTCACCCCTCCCTTGTGTGCTCTCGCTTTTATCATGTGCTCATAGTCCAATCCCATTGTTGTGTTTGCCCTTGATCTAATGTCCACATATGAGGGAGAACATACGATTTTTGGTCTTTTGGGCCAGGCTAACCTCACTCAGAATGATGTTCTCCAATTCCATCCATTTACCAGCGAATGATGACATTTCGTTCTTCTTCATGGCTGCATAAAATTCCATTGTGTATAGATACCACATTTTCGTAATCCATTCGTCAGTGCTGGGGCATCTTGACCGTTTCCATAACTTGGCTATCGTGAAAAGTGCCGCAATAAACATGGGTGTGCAGGTGCCTCTGGAGTAACAGTCTTTTGGGTATATCCCCAAGAGTGGTATTGCTGGATCAAATGGTAGATCGATGTCCAGCTTTTTAAGTAGCCTCCAAATTTTTTTCCAGAGTGGTTGTACTAGTCTACATTCCCACCAACAGTGTAAGAGGGTTCCTTTTTCCCCGCATCCTCGCCAACACCTGCTGTTGGTGGTGTTGCTGATGATGGCTATTCTAACAGGGGTGAGGTGGAATCTTAGCGTGGTTTTAATTTGCATTTCCTTTATTGCTAGAGATGGTGAACATTTTTTCATGTGTTTTCTAGCCATTTGAATTTCTTCTTTTGAGAAAGTTCTGTTTAGTTCACGTGCCCATTTCTTTATTGGTTATTAGTTTTGGGAGAATTTAGTTTTTAAGTTCCCTGTATATTCTGGTTACCAGTCTTTGTCTGATGTAAGTTGGCAAATATTTTCTCCCACTCTGTGGGTGTTCTCTTCAGTTTAAGACCATTTCTTTTGATGAACAGAAGCTTTTTAGTTTTATGAGGTCCCATTTATCTATGCTATCTCTTAGTTGCTGTGCTGCTGGGGTTTCATTGAGAAAGTTCTTACCTATACCTACTAACTCCAGAGTATTTCCTTACTCTTTCTGTATCAACTTAAGAGTTTGTGGTCTGATATTAAGATCCTTGATCCATTTTGAGTTAATCTTGGTATAGGGTGATATACATGGATCTAGTTTCAGTTTTTTGCAGACTGCTAACCAGTTTTCCCAGCAGTTTTTGTTGAAGAGGTTGCTTTTCTCCATCGTATATTTTTAGCTCCTTTGTCAAAGATAAGTTGCTCATAGTTGTGTGGCTTCATATCTGGGTCCTCTATTCTGTTCCACTGGTCTTCATGTCTGTTTTTGTGCCAGCACCATGCTGTTTTTATTGTTATTGCTTTGTAATATAGTTTGAAGTCAGGTATTGTGATACCTCCTGCATGTTCTTTTACTGAGTATTGCCTTGGCTATTCGTGGCCTCTTGTATTTCCATATAAATTTAACAGTAGATTTTTCAATCTCTTTAATGAATGTCATTGGAATTTTGATGGAATTGCATTAAACATGTAGATTACTTTGGGAGTATCGACATTTTTACTATGTTGATTCTACCAATCCATGAGCATGGGAGATCTCTCCACTTTCTATAGTCTTCCTCAATCTCTTTCTTGAGAAGTGTATAGTTTTCCTTGTAGAGGTCTTTCACATCTTTGTTAGGTTTACACGTAGGTATTTGATTTTTTTGAGGCTATTGTAAATGGAATTGTTTTCATACAGTCTTTTTCCGTTTGTCATTGTTAGTGTATAGAAATGCTAATGATTTTTCTATGTTGATTTTATATCCTGCTACCTTGCTGTAGCTATTGATGATGTCTAGAAGCTTCTGAGTAGAGTTTTTTGGGTCTTTAAGGTATAGGATCATGTCGTCTGCAAATAGGGATATTTTGACAGTTTCTTTACCTATTTGTATTCCTTTTATTCCTTCTTCTTGCCTAATTGCTCTGGCTAGGAATTCCAGTACTATGTTGAATAGGAGTGGAGATAGTGGCATCCTTGTCTGGTTCCTGATTTTAGAGGGAATGGTTTTAATTTTTCTCCGTTAAGTATAATGCTGGCGTGTAGTTTGTCATATATAGCTTTATAATGTTGAGGTACTTTCCTTCTATTCCTAGTTTTCTTAGAGCTTTTATCATGAAATGATGTTGGATCTTATCAAAGGCTTTTTCTGCATCTATTGAGATGATCGAGTGGTTTTTGTCTTTGCTTCTGTTAATGTGGTTTATTACGTTTATTGATTTTCGTATGTTGAACCACCCCTGCATCCCTGGGATGAAGCCTACTTGGTCGTGGTGAATAATCTTTTTGATGTGTTGCTGAATTCGGTTTTGCCATTATTTTGTTGAGGATTTTTGCATCAATGTTCATTAAGGAGATTGGCCTATAGTTCTCCTTTTTGGAGGTGTCTTTGCCTGGTTTTGGGATAAATGTGATACTGGCTTCATAAAATGTGTTTTGCAGTTTTCCTTCCCTTTCTATTTCGTGGAACAGTTTAAGGAGGATTGGTATCAGTTCTTCTTTAAAGGTCTGATAGAATTCAGTAGAGAATCCATCAGGTCCTGGACTTTTCTTTTTGGGGAGACTCTTGATTGCTGCTTCAATTTCATTTTGTGTTATAGGTCTATTCAGGTGATTAATTTCCTCCCCAAGAGTGGTATTGCTGGATCAAATGGTAGATCAAGGTTTAGCTTTTTAAGTAGCCTCCAAATTTTTTTCCAGAGTGGTTGTACTAGTTTACATTCCCACCAACAGTGTAAGAGGGTTCCTTTTTCCCCGCATCCTCGCCAACACCTGTTGTTGGTGGTGTATGACAACATATTTAATCTTTTTTATAAAGGTACACAAAGAGAATAATTTAGTAGGGTCAACTCTTTAGATATATTTTTTCTTTTTATCATGTTTTACTTAATTCTTTAGCTTTTTTTAGTGCCTTGAAGTACTACCTTATGTGCTATATCTCTTTTTTATCTTTTAAACCTCAGTAATGAAATTAATGAAAATGAGTCACATTCTTCTCTCCTTATCATTAAAGTTAAAACTATACATATAGAATAATAAAATATGTTAAATCAGCTGTGGCACTGGCATAGTTATTTTAATTGGGTTATTTTAGTTTGTGTTAAATAATTGTTTTGTAAAAAGGCTTGGATGATGGAAATAATGGTCCCATGTAGAGTTGCATGCAAATATAAAAGGTACACTAATCACCATTTCTCTGTCAATGAAAAGGGGAAGGGTCATTTTCAGTAGGACTTCTGCATCAAGTAGAATCCTCTCAAAGTGGATTTCAAGTATTGCCAACCCATGGTTTCCTTGACACATAGAACCATTCTTGAAAAGAGCATCTTTACTTAATTTAGATATAGTCAACCTATAATATTAGCTGTGTGTTCTGCAATGAACATAGTATTTAATTAAAGAAAAAATGAGTGAAAATACTACAAATTTAAAATTCAGTTAGCAACTTTCATATCCAGAGTTTTCAATGAGGGAGTGCTTTTTTTTTTTTTTTTTTGGAACTTGAACTCTTGTTCTCTAACACTTGAGCCACTCCATCAGCCCTGTTTGTTCCTTTTCTTTTTTTTCTTTCTTTAAGCATACTTGGGAAGACCTTCCTACCCCTCACGAAAATCCTGTTCTTTTGAGTAGGCTTATTAAATGTGTGGACACTGAAAAGCATACAAAAGAGTAGCAGGTTGGGGTGAGTGTGATGAGAAAGAAAAAGGAAAAGAGATACTCTAAGACAGATTATCCTATCCACAAAATCTTGTCTGAGGAAGGAAAGAACATTCTAGGTACACAGCACAGGCCTCATGGCATACTGCCGACCCCACGCTCCCTGACTACTGGTTCTGCAGGCAGTGAGGTCTTGAGCAAACTGATGCACAGGACCCAGAGACTCAGAGGCTTTTTTATTTTTATCAGCAGCACTGGGGTTTGAACTGAGGGCCTGCGCTTGCTAGGCAGGCGCTCTCCCACTTGACCCACACCTCCAGCCCCAAATTCAAAAGTTCTTGAATGGCATTTGATAAATCTATTTACAGTATTAAAATGTATTATAATATCAGTATCAAAGCATGGCAGAGTATTTCAGAAATAGGAAGTAAATAAGTTTAAAGTTCCTCGCAAACACACAGCTCTGTCCTCTTAAAGGTGCTCCTGGCCACATGCCTGCACGAGTTTCTCTCCTCTACTTGGGAGACATAGAAATCTCAGAAGATGCTGCATTGGTGGAGCTGAAGGCGCAGGTCAGGCTTCTTCCTGCAGCGTACCTCAGTGGTGATATGGCTTCTTCCAGTGAGATATTAATACGCTCTTCTATTTCCTTTTCCCTCAATTACAGTCTGTTCTGATATGGCATTTGTTATATGCCATGGTCAGGGGTAAGTACCAGCAGGCAGCCCGCCCACCCCCCGGCCCACACAACTCCTGTATCTGTTCATGCCATGGTCCTCGTGGCTTCCACTTACCAGCTCCCACAGGCATGCTGTGCTTGTGTTTGAGTCTGTCCAGCAACTTGCAGTTGATGTTTGTTCTTATTTCTCAGGGAAACATGGCTTCTGAAATATTTGTAAAGCATTCATTTTACTCCTTTATTGACATTGTTTTGTACCATTGTGATCCATATGTTAAGTGCTGATGGTCATAAGCTGTGTTTTGTCAGCTTCCTGTGAGGTTAGGTGATCTTCTGTGTTAGGATGCTGAAGTGGAGGTAGTAGTATTTTCTGTCCATTGGCTTTCTCAGAGGAGGAGGGCTTTGTCCAAATGGGAAGGCTGGTGAAGAAGCAACGTGCTATTGTTGGACTGAAATAAACATTGCTTCTTTTACTAAAAGGAAAAATGTGGGCCCTATACCTGCACTTAGTGTCTGGACTTTGTGTGTCCTCAGTGGATGAATGAAATGACTTTCCTCATGAAAGCAAATGGCTCAGTTCCCATGAGAACAAGTGGGAAGACACTTTTTTCCCTTTTATTAGGTTTCTGGTTTTAATTGCTGGATGCATTTTGACCACTTCACATGCTTCAGCCTAAATACACATAGGTACTTATCTACTCCTACAGAATTAGAGCAATCAGTTTGCACCTCCTGGTTGGAAATTTTGAAATATTTCAGAACCAAAAGTCCTGCCACTGGCAGAGCAAACATGGGGAGACTTGTGACAGCATGGGTGAGTGGGAAAGGAGCCCCTGCTTTATCAGAGCAGACTCTGTTCTTGTAAATCTGAGTCACATCGAATAGGTTCTGAAGTGTCATTTTTAAAAACCTGATTAAAAAGGAGTCTGAGCGGAGTGTGGTGGTAGACACCTGTAGTCCCAGCATTTAGGACTGAGGCAGTAGGATCACAAGCCCCATGCTAGCCTGGGCTACACAATGAGTCCCTGTCTCAAGTAAATGATAATAATAATGAGCTTTTGGCTCAGATCAAAAATAGGAAATTCACTTATTTTTCTTGCCAGTTTCAGGGAAAAGAATAGGAAAATTATCAGGATTAACTTCACTTTAGCCAGAGAAATTTCCTGGAGTTTTCTTTATAAACTTTAATTGTTACTTGAGGTGCTCTTTCCCTCAGCTATCATTGTATATTGGTCCTTCATTCACTGTTTTTGAATGCTTTTAAAAATCAGTGGAGAAATGTCTATTTCTTCATCTAGGCCATGGCCTTGCCCTCTGCCTCGGAGCTCACTGTCCGGTCTCCAGCCCTCCTCAGAGCCTGGACAGTGGAGAGCAAGCGCCCCTGCAGGCTCTTACGCACCGACCGGTGGCAGCTCAGGTAGGTGTCTCAAGGGACTTGGTCATCCCTTCCACTGCCACTGCAAGGCAGGGTAGCAAAACAGACTGGAGAGAAGCAGTTCTCTGAGCCAGGTTATAGCAAAAAGCCCATTCCTGGCAAACTCCACGTTTGTGAGTTGGGTGAACTAGTCATGAGTTAACAATTTCAACTTTCCATACTAAGTATAAATTTAGTTTTGTGTGTTTTTTCTGTGCTCTGGAGACTGACTGACAGGTCAAATTTGGGGTGAGGTGGAAGTTAGGAAGTGTTTGATCAATCCAGCCAGTCTGGAACTTTGAGCTTAACAAGCGTGTTTGGGGCAGAGTTTCTAAGTTTACTTTGCAAAAGAAAAATAGCCCTAAGGGTTTCTTTCACATATATTCTGATCACCACCCAAAAAGCAACAGTATGGCCAGGCAGAGAAACATTTCTTTTATAATTTGCCATGTTTACAGAGCCAGAATTCCATGTGTAGTAAGAAATGACCCAAGTATCTGAGTGAGTGATAACCAGTGTTCTCCTTTTCCAAAAGCTTGAGTGTTCTAATACAGCGTTCAGAAAGCAATCTTTTTCTTAAGGATAAAGCTTCAAAACCTGAAATGACATGTTACTCAGGGTTATTCTGCTTTACTCATTGTCAGGGAATATAAACTAGGACGGAGAGCTGAGATCTGCCTAGAGCTCCTTCAGAAAGAAGAAAACTTGGGGTAAGAAATTCTACTGCATACATAAAGCTATGCACACAAATCTTGCCAGAGTGGGTAGTCTCTTTAAAAGTTTAACATCCTAATCAATAACATCATATTCGTTTCACTACTTCTAAGTAGTCCAGCAACTTAAAACAGGCTGTGTTCTAGAAATTATGTCTGGTGTCTTTCCCATAACTCATTTTCCCGTAAAAACAGTGAGAACTCACTTTCACAGTGCCCAAGGAGTTGTGAGCCAGTACTAGTCTCACGTGTGAGGAAAATGCTCGTCCGTGGCTCTAGGCAGTCATGTGGCCGTACTGCTGTAGGATTGATTTATAGAGAAGCCATCCCACCTCTTCTTCCTAATGTCTCCTGACATACTAGGTATACTGACTGTTTATTTGCTGTAAGCTTTATTCATTGCTATGTCCCTGGGGCCTGGAATAGGGCTTGTGACATACTACTAATTGAACAAAAGAAGCACCCCCAAAAAAAAAAACAGTTGGACCTTGTGTCATATTTGTTGTAAGCAGGGTCTTCCTTATACCATCACTGCCCTTTTACTGAGAGCCATGGCCTTCCTCGGGCCAGATCCCTTGCACTCTACTGCCACTGCCTCTGACAGGGGCCGCTACCACAGACTCAGGATGGGGTCTTCATCTCCATTCTTGGTCAGTGTTGAAGGAGATCCAGGTGGAGAATAAAAGTCTCCCATTAGTGTTTGGGAGCTAGAGAAGGTATCTCCTGACAAAACCCAGAAGGACTGCAGGGGAAGCTACCTGTCCTGTTTCTGTTCTGTGCTTTATTCCTCGGGTCCTGTTGTTCTCTGTCGCAGCCCCCAGGACATGCTGCTGAGGACACAGATGCGCATCCCTGGAGAGAGGGCTTACAGCCTGGCTGTGGACTTGGTGTGGGACACTGCCCGAGGCTGGACTGCCGGCTCCCTAAGGCAGAGAGTGGCCGATTTCTACTCTCTACCTGTGGAAAAAATTGAAATTGCCAAATACTTTCCTGAAAAGTTTGAGTGGCTTCCAGTATCTAGCTGGGTAAGTTGTGGTGCTTCCTGAGAAACATCAGGGCTGACTGGCGTAATGGTTAGGTTAGCAACAATCTTTCACCATTGAAGAATTTATTAAGAAGTTGAGGTTGAGTTTTGTTTATTTACAATGTTTGATTTTCCTGTAGAATCAGCAAATTGCCAAGAAGAAAAAGAAGAAAAAGCAAGATAATTTGCAAGGAGCACCGTATTACCTGAGAGATGGCGACACCATTGGCGTCAAGGTGGGTTGTTTAATAGCACATTTACCTCTGGCACGGCACATGAGGATGAAATGATGTTATAGACAAGTTTTGTCAGACAATCCCAAATCATTTAGAGAATGGATGGGAAAGGAAAGCCAGACAGTTTGTTTTATGAGGGCACAGGACCTCAAGAGCAACACTGCCCAGGACAGTGAAAGAAAGTGTAGAGCAATTTCATTATCACCAAAATGGAAACACCCAAATAAAATACCAGCAAACAAACCTAGCTAGGGTTTTTCAGTAACACTGCCATATAACAACAAAGTAGTTCTACCCAAAGAATGTAAGGATGGCAGTGCACGGATGTATTGTGAAGGGAAGGGAAAAGGAGCAGGGGGGAGGGGGTAAGAAAGAAGTTGGGTGTGGTGTGCACACCTGTAATCCCAGCTACTTGGGAGGCAAGGCAGGACGATTATGAGTTTTGGGCCAGCCTGGACAAAGTTAGCAAAACCCTATATCAAAAACAAAAGTGCTGGTGGCATAGCTCAAGTAGTAGAGCAAGTGAGGTCCTGGGGTTCAGTCCCCAGTACCACAAAAAACAGTAATGGAGGGATGAATACGATCGAAGTATAGATGTGCGTGTATGGAATTGTCAGAATGAAACTCCTTGCTTTGTATAATATCCACTAATTTAAAAGGAATATTCTCCTTCTTTTATCTGCCCTAAGAGCATGGGTTTCTGACCCATTATTTGTGTTTTTTTATTTTGTAGTGTTTCACAATTTTTTAAATATATATTGTGCACAACTTTTATTGGAAATTACATTTGCTATGTCAATTTATTGAAATAGAAGTTATATTTGTTGCAATGTGTTTCTCAACCAAGGCAGTGCGCCAGACATTGCTGAAACTCTTTGCAGAGTTAGTGTCTTAAGTCACTGACAGGTACAAGGTATTATGTTCCTAGAGCCAATGTTCCCACATCCATACAGGACCAGCAAACCCTCATACTTGCTCTTTGCCTTCCCTCCAAGGTGTGTTCTCGTCAGTTGCTCTCACAGAGGCCCCTCTGTGGGTGGCAAGAGTAGAGGCCAGGATTTGCCATGGAAAATACACATAAAACTGACTGCGGGCTTGGGAACTGAGGGAGACTGGCCACTTGTTAGGATGTAGTAAGCATCCTGCATTTGGAAGGCCCTGCTGTGAAGGCCCAAGGCAGTTCCAAGGAATCCTCAGATGACCTAAAGCTCCCAGAGAAGCTGTATAAACACCTGTGACAGAATTTATAAAACAGCCGTTTCAGGCAGAAGGCCTAGAGAGCTGTTGTGGTCAACGGGCATGGATTCCGTGCTGCATGGTCTTAACTTACGCCACTTGAAAGCCCCTTTTGTTTGGTCTAATCCCATTTCTAGTAGAAGGCAAAGGTCAGGTGGCTGAAAACTAATTTCCTTTATGAAGCTCTTTCTGTACCGCCCCCCCGAATTTTTCATTGTGAACTAGAATGGTTTTTGTCACTTACTAATCTAGTTGATCTAAGTATCTCTTGTCAATTTAGATAAGTTTTTTTAAACCTGTCTTTTAAATGCAAGCTAAACTGGTGTCTGAAAAAATTGCTCATTAATTATTTTGAAATGTAGAATCTCCTGGTTGATGACGATGATGACTTCAGTACAGTCAGAGATGACATTGGGAAAGAAAACCAGAAACAGCTGGCTCTGGGGAAAAAGAAGAGGTAACTCTTAAGAGCTGCCCCACTGGGCGCCGGTGGCTCACACCTGTAATCCTAGCTACTCAGGAGGCAGAGATCAGGAGGATGGTGGTTCAAAGCCAGCCCAGGCGAATAGTTCGTGAGACCCTATCTTGAAAAAAACCTTCACAAAAAAGGACTGGTGGCATGGCTTATGGAGTAGAATCTAAGTTCAAACCCCAGTACTCCAAAAAAAAAAGAGCTGGCCTTACGCACCATGGGCAGGTCCCACCTGAAACTTCTGCTTTTGGTTACTTATGCTTCAAAACTACTAATTGGCCTGGCACTGTACCCAAAACTGCACTGTGCACACAGTGTGTGGATTCTCTGTGCCCACATCTGTGTGTCTTCTGTAGATCACTTCCTCTTAGAGCCGTCTGCAGAGCCTGTAAAGAAAATGCGGACAAAGAAGTCCTGAGGAGAGCTGCCTGTGCTCTAGCCATGTCCTCTTCTGCCTCAGAGCTGGTCCACCTTCCTCTCTCCCCATGGACCACCTCACCCATGGGTCATTTGGCTCAGATACACCCTCAGCCTCCACCGTGGCAATTTCTGAGCCCTGAGCCCACATCCCACCCAGCGCTTCCACTCTTCTACTGTCTGCCCCAGCCTCGATGCTCTTCTGCACACTACTAGAGGTTCCCGAAGCCTGACCACTCCTTTGCACTGCTCAGCTATGCTGATCCCTTCCGGCACAGCACCCCCTGCCCTGTGGCCAGGGCCTCCTCCCCTCATCCTTCCACACATGCTGGTGTCCTGCATGCCCTTTGCTCACTGCACATTCTCTGGAATCCTTCCTGCCTTGGGGAGATGTGTACTTCCTCTCATGGTGAGCCATAAATCCCTCCTGGCTTCCTGGCTGTCCAGGATCTCTACTGGAATAGTCTGAGGTACTGCAGTTCAGTTCACTTTGCTGAACCCAACTCCACCATGCCCATGGTGCCACCTCCGCACGAGGTCCATGGGTGTCCTCAGAAACTCTTTCCCTCAAGGCAGCCTGATTTCTTCTTCCTTGTTGGGTTTTATCTTTTAAACCCCAATCTACCAACCTGATCTGGCCCTGTTTACTCCTATTCTTCCTTCTACTCACAATACTTTGGTGTTGATATCCAGGCATGTGTGCCTACAGAGAGCAAGGCTTATCCTTTGTTGCTGGAGGCATCTGACCAGAGGTCCAAGATGGAGGTGGCAAAGCTGGAGAGGTCTATGCGGCTGTGCTTTAGAGTGTAGAATCTGAGTATGGTCAAAGGCTGTTGGAGGGTTTGAAGTAAGGGGTGTTATAATCTGAATTTCAGTTTTATTTATGTATTTTGGCAGTACTGGGGTTTGAACTCGGGGCCTCACGCTTTCTAGGCAGGTGTTCTACCACTTAAGCCTCTTCATCAGCCCTGAATTTCAGTTGTAAAGATCACTTTGGCTGCTGTATGATGAATGAGTTGCCAGGGAAAGCGTGGTATCAGAGGCTGGTGAGAACGGCACTCTAGCTAAGTGAAGATGATGTCTGGTCCGGTAGTAAAAGTGGAAAGGTGTAGAATGTGAGCTTCATGAGCAGAGGGGGTTTTCCTCTCTTCCTCTAGGCTGTGTTCCTAGTACCTAGAATATTGCTGTGTAGATGCTTGGTCACCTATGCTTCTAGGCTGCAGAGTCATCTGTGCTGTAGTATCTAGGGCCATAATGCTGTTTCCTGTGCCCCTCTCCTCCAGGGGCTCCTCTAGGTCCCCTTGACCCAAGTGCTTCTTACTCCCTGCTCTCTTTGTGCCCTGGGGTGATTCTTGGGCACCATTTTCCCCATTACGTCCTTTCTACCTCAGGTAGGCAGAGGATACACATCTTCACTCCGTTCCCAGCAATGCCCATTGCAAGGCCTGGTGCCCCACAGCAGCCTGGATGGCAGTGAGCCAGGATCACAGGCTGTGGTTGCTTGGGCCTCTTCTACCTAAAAGTCACACATACACATGTGAAATCACATAAAACTCAGTACCTAACATAGTACACGAACATTACCAAACTCCTTGTCACATTTCTCACCTGCATTAGCTGTCACCAAGGCTATTATCTGTGTCATCCAGCAGTTTTCCAGACCCTGTTGCCATTTCCATGTGTGTTGAGATGGAGCATTTTAAAATTTGCTTGGCTGCCACTGCATCTTGGGCTCAGCCTGGCATGTCCCATTTGCCAAATAACTGAACAGTCGTGTCCTCAGCAGACCCACAATGGGCCCGCTGACCATACTGCTTTCCATTTATCTTCACTTTTTCCTTTTGAAAAAAAAAGTCCAAATGCTTCCACAGGGGCTCACTGTCAAGTCTCTGCACACACACATACCTCCATCAGACAGCCCCCCAGGAGGGACCAGCACAACCATCACCAACACATCCTTTTAGAGAGCTTGCTCTTCTTCACTAGCACAGCAGGTGTGTGCCCATCACATGGTGGGGGCATAGCACTCTCCTGCACAGTGCAAGGGTGGACCAGGGAGGGGGGTGGCTCAAGTGATAAAAGATATGCAAGGCTCTGTGTTCAGTCCCAGCTATGGGGAAAAAAATGATGAATTAAAGAAAAAACAAGCATAATAGCATGAACCTGTAATCCCAGCACTTGAGAGGTACAGACAGGATTATGGGTTTGAGGTGTCTGTAACTCAGAACACATGTTGGTGGATCTGTCGGACGCATTTCTCAAGTGGGACAGCTGGGCCAGGGGGTATGGCTGCTGGTAATTCTGGAAACATACTCACAAATAAGTGAAAAGAACAATAAGCCAATAAAAATAGGGTAAAAGGTATAAACAGTTCACAGGAAAGGAAGTGCAAATTGCTTGCCAGCATACAAAAAATGGTCAGCCAAGTTCATGCATCATTAAAGAAATGTCAACCCAAACCACTACCAACCCACCAGTATTGTGAAACGAAATGGGCCAATGATGCCAGCCTGGCAAGGACACAGAGTGTATGGGACAGTGTCCCCTGCCGGTGGTTGTGGAACTGGAAGCACCGCCTTGGAAAAGGACACAGCATCTCCTGTACTGGGGTGTGCACTTCCCCCGACGCCCAGCAGTCTCTTTGAAGCACACACACACCCCAGAAAATACACAGCAGCTTTACTCACATGGCCTGATCCCAAGCATGGCCAAGATGCCACTCAGCAGCAGGAAGGGTCCTGCAGTGGGCACTGTGCATCATACACGTGCGCACGCACACGCACACAGGTTGGGCAAAGGAACCCGGATACAGAGCACCCATGGTACGTGATTGGTGTGGGGATGTCACAGACAGTGAAAAACTAATCTTCCAGCTAGGAGTTAGAATGTTGGTTCTATTGGGACAGGGACCAAAGAAGCAGAAGGAGCTGCCTGAGCTGTCACGTAACATGTACATTTGTGACAGTTCATGGAGCTGTGCATGATCCGTTTGTGTGGACTATGAATATTATACTTCAGTGTAGAAGTGGGGGGAAAAGGTTATTCTGCTGTGAGACAGTTGCTCTGTGACAGGCCAGATGGTCAGTGTGGGGAACTCACTCTCCTAGCATGAGGGTAAGCCTGCGTCTTCTGGGGCAATTTGGAAATGTCTGTCCATATTGCAAACACTTTTCTGCCTTGAACCCTATCATGTGGAGTTCCTTTGGGATTCATTCTACACTCTTCAGCCCAGAGGGGATCAGTGACTACAAATCAGTGACAGGCTTTTGTCTCCTGCAGCCGAGAAGCCCTTCGTGCACGCAGCAGTGATACCGTCTCCAGTGCAGAGATGCCCACCCAGTTCCGTGGACCAGAAGCTTCTCTGTCTATCCATGTTGGGAGCTTCAGATAGCCCTGGCAATAGGACGTCTTCCAGCACAGCGTCCAGGCTCTGCTTCACATACTGCTGTCCCGTCAGACCATGACAGTGGCTTGTTGGTTTGTGGATGGATGAGTTGGTTGTCTGTGCACATGTGGATCCCAAGTCCTCAGTTTCATCACAGGCAAAGGACACAACTCCTCTCGGGCCAGGCAAGTGTACTTGATCACTCAGCTATGCAACACACATCAGCCCACGCGAGCTGGCCCAGACCCAGAAAAGTGCAGGTGCAAATTGATGCTGACCTCCCAACACACTTGACCCCGGTGGCCTTTTTCCACAAAGTGTACTCCTTATGCTTTAACCACAGGTCTAGACACAATAGCATGTTGTCAAATTGGACAAATCTGTGTAAAATACACGTTAAATTGCTTCCTACACTATCGAGATGACACCTGCTTTGACACAGGTTCCAACGTGTCATCTCCTGCTGCAGGGTGACCAAGGTCATTTAAACTGTATGGAAAGGGTATCTTCCCCTTCCCCCTCTCTGACTTCCTACTACATGCTTCCCCGGTGGGCTGAGATAAAACTCATTCTGATATGGTAGCACTCCTCCAAAGTGAAGTGACTCTGCTAAGGAGAAGAAAGAGCCAGGTGTGGCCAGCTGCCTTCAGGGCTTGTCTGCCCTTGGGGTGTGTAACGGTGTTCCTGCCATGGCCTGCAGCCTGTCTTCCTGTTGGAAGCTTGGTGAGAGGCAGGGCCATTGCAGACAAGCCTGGCACAAGTCTGAGCTCCAAGTTGTTTCTGGGGGAACACTTTTTTTTCTCGTAATTCAATATAGGTAACTATCAAATTTAAAAAGCTTAATTAGTATTCATGTACTGTAAGTACTACAAATATAACATCTCTGTTACTGAATGGACTGGCAGGTCACTGGGGTTACTACCTTAGTCTAAGGCGGCATTCCTAAGACACACTACCTTCTTACTCTGGTTGTTAGGACCTCATGGCTTCTCAGCAGTCCTTATCACAATCGACAGACCTGAGGCAGTGGGACAGGAGATAAACAACACTGTGGCATGAGCCTTAGCTGCTCCCTGGATAAAGGCTCTTCACTTCCTGGCATAACTGTGCTGCTTTTCCCTAGAACTGACACTCAGCAGGTGGTCTTGCCTTTCCTTCTCTGTCCACTTGTCTTGAGAGATTCTGTGTCATAAATGACATATCATCAGTTTTTTGTTGAAGCACTTGCACCGTAAGACATTGGACTTGGACTGGTGAGCCTCTCTCTGGTTCTCAAACCTGAATCGGTGTCGGGAGCTTCGCACAGGGCCTTTAGACTGCATCCTCATAGCTGTACACTGAGGGCCTGAGCCCCGCACTGGACGCATTAATTACGGCAGCTCAACCCTTCTGTGTACGGGCTGGTTTTTACTTTAACTGACATATTTCCCCAGTGGGTCCTTTTATCTCATCTGAAGGTAATAACTGAAACACTTTGCTGTCAAGCAGTGGCTTCATGGACCCTCCCCAAGTACCTGGACCAGCATGGGTGGGCATGCCTCCGGTGCTGGCCAACGGGGTGCCCGTCACATCCTGTGCTTGCTGGCTTATCTTTTCAGTTATTATTATTCTAATTTGGGAATAGAGTGGGTGAACAGTGAGAAAGCTCTAAGATTTTATTAAAGAAAAAATAGACCACCTTTACAGTTGTCCTCAGTTCCTGCCGTGTTAACTGCTTACATTCTACTTGCTTGAGAAGGATTTTTGTGGCCGTTCTCCCAGCATACTTCAGATGCTAAACAAACATAGCTTATATTTAGAAATACCATATACATACTGCTTTGGAAAGAACAGGTATGTTTTTGTTTTAAATAAATAAATCCAGACTCATGGGAAAAGCTGGAGGAAGCCAGGTGTTGTCTGGTTCTCTTCCTTCTAGGAACAGGACTGGCAATGGAGTCCAAATGGAAATAGATTTCTTCAACTCAAGATAGTTTTCTGGCAAAATCAGGGAGGGAGAAAGAATTCCTGATAATCCAAAATTGTGGCTTCACAGACACTGGAACAAACTTAACTGTGAAGAACCCAACAGTGATGCACCCGTGACCTTAAATGGCGGAGCCCTCTGTCACTGTTAATGATTACACACCCATCCAGAGCATGGCTGTACACCAAGTGTCATGGTATGTTTGATCTGGAGTTCACTGCACTTCGGGGAGAAAAGTGAAGTAGGGGCCTCAAGATACATGTCTGAGAATCTCAGCACAACTCAGGGTTCTATCTCCTGGCTGAGTTTTCAGTCCAGCAGACCAGAGGCCCTGTACCCTAAAAAACATGGCTTTCTATTTGGCTTTTCAGCCACCAATTCACCCTATTTCTAGAGCAGCTGAGAAAGACTATGTAGTCAGTTTGGCAACCAATATTTTAAGTCAGAACACCAAGAATGATGACAAGGACTCTTGACCATTGAAGATCAAAAACAGGCTTGTTTTATTTATACACAGAAGAACTTATTTACAACTCTCCGATGTGGATTATGTACAGAACAATACAGGAGGCATCTGCTCCCAGGTGGTTGCTGTATAAATTAAGATTATAAATATGAGGGTAGGCCCCACCTGTGGGCACAAAACCTTTTCTCCAAGATCTCAGAGACCCTGCCTTCCTTCCCTCTCCACAGATAGAACCATGACTGCGGGGCTCTGGAACTCTGAGGAACCACCACAGGGAACTTGGGGCAGGGTGGCGATGGCCAGGGCACCATGGACTACAGGCCCATGGCCACCTGGTAGGTTCCTCCAGCATTCACACTGGTTCTTTCACCTGACTTCTGAGAACGCGAAGTGATTTTACATCAACAGTGCTGCTTTCGCCACTGACAACACTGACTTTTAACAACATGCCAACCCAATCCCAGTGCTTTCCCAAAAGGTTGACACTAAGGACTTGAGGGAGCCCTGGTGCCTCCATCAGCTGCTTCTCATCCTCATGTGTCCTGCTCTCCTCAGTTTCAACCTGTTTCAGGGTTTGCTCTTACAGAGCACAGGCTTGCGCCACCTCGTCTGTTAGCCTGTCTGAAAACCAAGTGACTTCTGTGCTAGGTGATTCCGTCCTTTGCATCCCTCTGTCTTAAACAACTATCCGATGGGAGACAGACCCCAGACAGAAAAAGTGACAACTACTCCCACTCCATATTGCTTCCAGTGAGATGGTAAATGCATGTACAGAGCAGTAGTTCCTAACACCAACTCTTCACTCAGGGAATCCTAGGCCTGGGGTCGGGAAGGGGAGGAGGGCAAGGCCAGGCCAGGAAATGTGTTGTCTGCCTCTCCACACTACTACAGGACTTGGTGGAACTAGCCCCTAACAAGACCACCAGAGCAGGGCACCAGTAAAGGGAAACTGACCACAAGGTCTACAGAGTGAGTGGCAGGTGAAGCACTGGAACTGCCAACCACTCAGAGCCTGGACACTCCCCACCCCCTCCACACTGGGGGAACCCAGCTCTGAAGATGCCCTTGGACAATGCCCTTAGCAGCCTTCCACTAAGGGAGGCCTGCCAGGTCAGGTGGGGCAGTACTACAGATGTTCCACACTGCCCCTCTACGAGTCACAGTCTGGCAGCCCTTCCTAGGTCAGAGGCTAGGTTATATAAACCCCTTTCCAGGAGGGGATGACCATCTTTAAAAGGAGAAAAAAGGGCAAGGTCAGTCGCAGTGAGGACCAGGGTGTCCCCCACCTGGGGACTGCTGCCCACAGGATGCAGCACTGCTTGTAAACTCCCCACCCACTAGCACTGCCATCTGCTGGTTCAGAGCCAGCCATGCCCAGGGGCTGGGGCTGGAACTGAGCCAGAAGCAATGCAAGCTACCAAGTCAGACTCCCCATAGACGCCCCCAGGGATACCAGGCATGGCAGCAGCAGACACAACAGCACAAGGCCAGAAACTCTGGGCTACCCAGAGGAAGAGGGGCATAGAATGCCCTGCTTACCCAAGGAACCTGGTCATTCTCCCACAGAACAGGAGATTTTCCCAGAGCCCTGGATGCTTTCTCTCCACAGGAAGACTGAACTAATACAAGCCCACACCCTTATATCTGTCCCAAGCTGGAGTCCAGAGGCCTATGGAGACAGAAGGAACGTCCCATGCCCACAGCTCAGAGGAGGACAAGGGTTGAAGGCCCTGAAGCCAATGGAATGCCAGCTAGCTCAACAAGAGAGCGACCTGCTGACCTGGCCTCAGCAGGAGCTTTCCTTCCTTTTTCTTCTATCAGATGAAAACAAACAGGACTATAAATACATCTATGCCACTTTCAAACCAGGAAAGTGCATGACCTCTGTTTAAAAAGAAAAAACACCTTATGAGTAAACAGGACGACAGCAGTGGGTGGCCTTGCGGGGCTGCTGTGAAGAACCACGGGGTGGTTGTCAGGCACAGAGAACGTTCTGGTGGGGGCTAGGCCCCACCCATGCTCTTAGAGCCAGCAGGGGCAGAGATAGCACTACCCCTCTGAGGACACCCAGAGAGGAACCCACAGGACAAGCTGAGAGAGCCTAGGCAGTTTTTCTGCTGGAGCGCCTGGTGCCCAGAAAGCCAGACTTCACCACATTCCCTGTGCCCCACATTGCAGGTCAGCCAGGGCTGAGAGTGGGCATCACACAGTTTGCCCCAAATGGCTCCAGCTGGGAAAGGTGTTATTTCAAAGGTAGCTATGTTGGTATGTTCAAAACCCAGAGCTGTTACCACCAGGCGTCAGAGAGGCTTCCTGTCACTAACAAGGGAATAGCACCATGAGAAAGGCCAGGGGCTGCGGGGCAGCAGGGTCCACCCCGGGCCTCAGTCGCGGGAGGAGCGAAGGATACAGGCGGAGAAGGCAGAGGCTAGGCCTCGGCGGCAGGAGAGCTCCGGCTCAGCTCCTTGATTCCACACAGGATCCTCTTCATGTGGCCCACTTTGGTCACCCCAAGGTCCTGGAACAGAGGAGACAGCCACTGTGGGTGCTGCGAAGAGGGCTTTACAAACAGCTCTTTCCACTTCACTTATTTAACACAAATGAGGGCAGAAGTGACAAAACCATGAAACAAGATGGAAAACAGCACACAAAATGACAATCCTGCAGATGCTGAACTATGGTTCCTTTTTCCTACAGTCACCACTGTCAAGGACAATCCAACAAGACAAAGACAAAACACAAGCCTAACAGCAAATGGATGATGGCAGGTGATTTTGGACTGCTGCTGTCCAGGAGGCCCCTCGATGACCTTTGCACTCTCAGGACACAATGAGAAACAATGCCCAAAAGGCAGCTACTACGACCAAATGGGCCAGGGTTCCATCTAACCACGCATGCCAGGGCTGGATGGGTGGAGCCACTTGGCCACCCCTCCCCCTCCACGTTAAGGGAAGGGTGCAGTGTCCGCCCCACGGCAGCACGGAGAAGCCACGTGTGATGACTCTAGAAGGACGGGAGTCACTACCCTTCTTTCACTATGCACCCGGAGGAGCCCCATGTGCCACTGTGAATCAGGGCTCTTCAGTCACACCTGGGAGCACAGGGATGTGTTCCCTAATGGGGTTTCTAATGTTAGGACAGTCCCTTGCCAAGGTGGCTAAGAAAACTTAAGGCTTCTGTCCTGTCTGCTCCTGGCCTCCCTTGGCTACAGCAGGCAGAACCATCACTGCCAAGGTGAAGGGCCACTGTCACCCCAAGATACCCACAAAGGCCTGAGAAAAACTGAAAAGACTTGTGATGCTGGGACATGGCCAAGTCTTGGGACAGACAGAGCCGAAAGGAGCCATGTGGAAGCCAAGGTGCAGGTTCTGGGAAGATGCCCATGGAAGTACCTTGAGGTCCCTCCGCTCCAGGTGCAGGAGCTCAGAGCCCCGGATGTCGTGTCGCATGAAGGTGTCCTTATACTCACAGAGACTGAGGTGCTCCAGCCAGGCAGCAACCTCCTCTGTCCCCCAAAGGTGAACTGTCAGAGATGGAAAAGCACGAGTGCAGTGAGTGCCCAGAGCCCAGCACCAGGCAGGCGACAGTGAGCACCCAAAACACCCAGCAGTGGCACCCAAGATGTTTCCAGCAGGTAGCACCCATCACCCAGCCCTAAGTCGTGCCCTCCCACAGTGCAGAAGAGACAGGAAGCTGAGCCACCAGCTCGAGGAGCGTGAGCTCCAGCAGTGCTGGTACATGTCTGTACCGCTAGCCTTCTGGACAGCTCTATGTCCCAGGAGGGATTAAACACCACCAAACAGAAAAGGAACATCTCTAAAGTCAGCATTTCCTGTGGCTTCTCAAGGAGTTAATGCCCTGCTGGGCCACTGTAGGAAGACAGACAAGCAGAGAGCTAGGTTTCATGTTCTCAGAGCCCATCATTAACAGAAACCCAAACATGCAAAGAAGAGCAAAAGGAGTTGCCCTGAGTGGTGGCAAATGCCACCCCCAAAATCCAGGCTTGAGAGCCTGTCCAGCACCCAGAGGAGCTAGACACAGCTTGGGTGCACAGGGCCAACCTTTCAGACAGACTTTAACCCCAATTTACTGCCCCAAAGGAAAAATGTCCTGTGGCACCATTTCTGTTGATTTCTTCACCCACAATCATTGGTAGCCTGAAGTTCCAGCCATAGGGGTCTTGATTAATGAATCAGTAAGTCAGCAGCCCGTCAGAGGAGCAGGCACAGAGGACCCCAGCAGAGTCTGAGTCCAGAGTTTTGTGTCTCAAGTTTGTCTTGTCATTGCTGCAGTCCTCCCCACCTCAACCCCTCACTCCCAATTCGGGGCAGTCAAGGTCAGCTGGGTGGCCCATCGCCCCAGTCTCCACAGAGAACACATTAGATCAGGGTGTGACAATGGCCAGCACCCAGACAGAAGGAAAGCAAGCAAGGGTATGGTTTGTGGCTACAGACTAGTGCAGCTGTGTGACGGAAAGTCACAGCATGGGGACCAAGGGGAAAGAGCTACAAGACCAGGGCAGAAAGCAGAGACCAGGAGAACCAGACCAGGACAGCTGGCATCAACAGCCAGAAACACACGCAGGCCCAGGGCAGGTACCAGGGGCTCCCAGGCTACTGTAAGCTTCCTTGTTCTTATTGTTTTTCTCCTTTTTAAACTTGGTCACAAGGCGGAATTTGCCACTGCGGCTGCGCTTAGAAAGATCCAGCATCACATTCTGTTGGGGAGAAAAAGAAACACTGAGAATTAGACCTCAATTTGTTCAGGTCTCATTTATATCTGTATCAGAGAAGGGGGTGGGATGCTTTGCTCTTTAAATAAACATTTATTGTTTATTCCCTCATTTGTTCTTCCATGTATTGTTGACATTAATGCCTTTTAAACATAGTTTGATTTATTTATACTTCAATGGACAGACAGACAACCCAGGCTGGCCTTGAACTCAAGATCCTTCTGCTTTTACCACCCCACCCCCATCCTAGATTACAGGCCACCACACCTTAGCATGGCATCTATTTTTATAGCCTAGTTATTTTCACTATATAACAGGGGCACTGCTCATGTGATTAAATAATGCTTTACAAAGGAAAATTTTTAATATTATATGAAGATTATTAAAATAGGTTATCTAGCCAATCTCCTAGTGTTTGAGATCCTAGTATTATAAATTATCCAACTATATTTTGCATTCTTTCCTTGGGACATCCTCCATGTGGTAGAAGAGTGGAACAGAGGAACACAGTCCTTGCTCTTGGTGGCAAGCAACAGCTGTCACCTCTCCACAGAAACACAAGTCCCTCTCTCCCAGGGACACATGTAGGTTACAACACATTAGTACATCGTGATGTGCTATTTATAAGAGATACACCCTAAATAAAGCTTGAAAGTATGAGAAAGGATATTCCAATCAAGTAGATTTGAAGGTAAGAATTACTTAATGACAAAAAGGTCATTACATAATAAAACCTATGTGTACCCAATAAGGGCTCAAAGCACAAAGATACAGAACCACAAAGAAAAACAGACATCTATAATCCTAGCTTAAAAAAAAAAAAGTTAAATAATAGTTGACAGATGGAAGAAAAAATTTTTCAGTAGGGTCTTTTTGTGGTACTGGGTTTTGAACTTAAGGCTTTGCATTTGCTAGGCAGGCACTTTACTGTTTGAGCTGTGCCTCCAGCCAAAAGGGTCTTAATGTAAAGAACCAGTACATACAAGGTGAATTTACAAAAACAAGTTGCAATTAATTTCAAAGAAATAGTAACATAATGTCTTAGAGCACAGTGAAATTAAACTAAGAATTAATGAGAAGATAATCTGAAAAATCCCATACAATGGAAAACAAAAGGCATACTTTCAAAGAACTTATTAAGATACTTATTTGACGCACAATTTTATGATACTGTAACTGTGGTAAGCTTGTGCCTCCACATAGTAACATTACTATATTTTTCCCAATATAAAGGACTCCTCTTTTTACCATGAAGTATGCAGATGGTCCCTAATTTATGATGATTCAATGTAGAGGTTTTCAACTTTATGAAGGTGCAAAAGTGTGCCTGTGCAACCATTCTGGTTTTCACTCAGTTACAGTATTCAATACATTTCATGAGATATTTAACACTTAACTACAGGAGACTTTGTCAGAGTGTTGGCACATTAAGGCAGACTAGGCTGAGCCGCAGTGCTTGGTAGAGCAGGTGTGTTAAAAGCATTTCAACTCACAATATTTTCATTTTACTGTGAGAAGACATAACCCCATAATAAATCAAGGAACACATGTATTGTTACTTTATGTTTTTTTATTTTTAATCTTTCTGTTCTTATTTCCTATAGGGAAAAATAAACAGCTCTTGTGACCAGTAGATGGTTAGGTTTTGGGGGGTTTTGCTTGTTTGTTTAACACAGATTGAGAATAACTGGCTTTTAAGAGGGAAGACATGTCATTTTTTTCTGCCATTACCTATATTCTTTGCCAATCCCTTACTTTCTTATACAAATTTTACAGTATATTTTATTTTTGTCTTGTGTAATTATCTAGAAAGACAAAAATGTTTTTCATTCTATTAGAAACTACTTTTAAGGCTTTTTTAAAAAATTACATTTCTCTAAGCTATCAAAGAACAAAGTTTTAAACTGTATTCCACCTTAGGGCTATGTTACTGTTACATCTGTTGAACAGTTCATATAATTTATCTTAGTAATTTAAACTCAAAACTTTTATTACATTTGCAATTAAAAATTCTTTTTTTCTTTCGGCAGTACTTGGGTTTGAACTCAGGGCCTCACACTTGCAGACAGGTGCTCTACCACTCGAGCCACTCTGCCAGCATTTTGCACACTGGCTCTAAGGCCTGGGTCAGTTCCCCACAGAAGGCTGCACGTGACCACGACCTGCTGCTGCCCACTCTGCACCCCCAACATGCCAGCAGCCAAATGTTCCAACAGGCTAGGCTGGGCAGAGGTGCCTGTCTTGCCCAAGGTGACCTTTTTCCTCCTGACCCCTTCTGTTCCACCCCGCAAGAAGCAGGAAGCCCAGAGGCAGCTCAGGACTTGCCCTCAGCCAGATACTGCCCTCTCCTGGCTCTGTCTGCCTGCTGTCCCGACCACAGAGGTGACTCCATCCAAGATACAATATGCCCTGGAGGCCTATCACAATTATTAGATTTGTGGCAAGCTGGAGTTTCTAAGCACACATAGAAAGAAAGTGTGAGTGGGGAGTGGACACAAGGACTCTATACTTATCAAAACAAGCTCTCACAAAGCTGCCATTTATTTTGACCTAATACCACACTGCGGGCCATAGTGTTGGGCTCTGCCTTCTTCCCCCCTTTCCTGGCCAGTCCTGCTGTTCTGTTCCAAATGACAGCATGTGCCCAGTCTTCAGTGGTCTCTCTCAATCCCAGTCCCCAACTCCTTCCTCCATGAGGTAGGTAGTTTCTCCCTACCTCAAAGGGCATTTGAACAGAGAAGTCTCAATGCTGAAGCCATCTCAATCCCAAAGCCCAGGGGGTGCCACATCCAATCCCTGCACCACATACCTCTTCTTCGCCAGGCTCTGTGGGCTGGCATAGCCAGGGGGTGTCTGCCAGTTTCCCGAGCTGCCGGTCCATCTCAGCGAGGGCAGCCCCAAGCCGCTCCTTCTGAGGGGGGTCCAACTGCTGCTCCAGGTGAGGGGGGAGAGACAGGGCTACTGACTGCAGTGAGGTGACAGAGCCAGCCACACCTGAGCAGGTAAGGGCTGCTGCCTCAGGCTGAGCTCCTTGGAGCTCTAATAACTTCCCAGGAATGAGGTTCCCCATAAGGGGCTAAGCCCAGAACCTCCCCTCCTCAGTGCACTGGGTCGGGGATGGCCTCTGTTCTGACCATCAAGCCCCACATGACAGGGCTGGCACCTGGTCACTACAGTCCCCTCTGTCACTAAGGGCACAAGCCATGCTCCTACAGGAATGCTACAAGGCAGCAAAGGCAGCCGCTGGGACACTAGGAGCAGTATCCCATCTGGAGTAAGGAGTGGACACAGTGCCATGAGACCAGGGGACCCCAGCAAGGCCCTTCAGGGTCCTCCTTTTATACCAGGCAGTCTCTCTGGATTAGAACCTTGCCCTGTGTTGCCTCCAGGGCTGACCCATGGACAGGTGACAGCACAGCACACCTGAGAATATAAATATACTCCAGGCTCAGCTCCATACCTGAGGGCCTCTGGCCCCTTCCTCAAGACCATGAAAAGTAATGTCATGGCAATTTTATAAATGTTTTCTTCTGATTTTTATCAGAGTAAGAAAATAATCCTATTATTGATTTAAAAAAAACAGGAACCCTGGACTAAAAAGTGCTGCCCTCAGTGCCCAGCACCTGGTGACAAGGGTCACCCCAAACACAGCCAGAGCTTGCTGCCCCCACAGCGCCATACCAGGGCCATCTTCCCAGCCAGCAGCAGTTCCGTCTCACTGCGCAGAGCTCTGATGTTATTCACCATTTCCAGGACGAAGCTGTAATTCAGTCCCTAGGAGAAACCAAAATGTGCATCCATGTGAGAGAGGTCAAGGGCTGCAGAAGCCAAGAAGGAGCCAAACCAGAAAAGACTGGATACCTCTGCAGCTCTGGGCTTGCCATATACTCGGTCCATAGCCTTGGAGCTAGCATTGACAGCATGAGCGAGTTCCTGTTCCATGTCTCGATGGGACTGAGCTATTTCCCGGATGCTAGAAAGACAGAAACAGAGGTTTGCATCAAGGCAATGGAAAGGCACTCTGGCACATCAAGTATGTAAACACAGCCTGGGTGCCACCCAGAGGGCAAATGCACAGGGGCTGGTCCAACAGGCCAGTGGGATTGGTGGCTTAGCCGTGATGACCACTCAAAGTCAGGACCACTAGCATAGGATGACCTTGCAGATCATTTTCTGATGAACAGCAGATAGAGGAGGGTTTACATGGGAAATTAAACATCAAAAGCCTAGTTTTTCCACGGAGGAAGGTACACAAAACACAGTGTATGTGTTAGCATACGGAAAGCAGGCAAGCAGCCCTGCCTGCAGGCCCACTGCAGAAACTCCTGCAGTGAAACTTTGTTGGATCCAGAGGGCAGAAACTCCTGCAGTGAAACTTTGTTGGATCCAGAGGGCAGAATCTATAAGCCCTCCTGGAACATGCATCTGGCCCCTCCTCTGAAGGGAATGATCTTGGTGTGATCAGTTCTGAGCCAGACCCTGGCACATGGCCCAGGGAGCAGCCCTGTGGGGAAACAGTACAAATCCAGCCCAGCAGAACAGAGAAGCTGGGCAGGTTGAGCTGGAGTGGGGCCAGGAGTGGAGCAGAGCCTAGAAGTCACTTGCCCCACCCATAGAAAGCACAGTTGCTGACAGAGCAGGATTGAGAGCCTGAGCCATGGCAAGTGCACCTTCCAGGCAGGCTTCCCAAGCCACACTTAAATACAAAAAGTTATCTAGATCCACGACTGACTGGGGGGATATGGGTTAGGGAAGAATGGGAGGCAGCAGGCTAGCGACCAAGGAGAGAAGGCAGTGCAGCATGGACTAGAAATGCCCACAGGGACCAGAGAGAAACCAACCAGAGAACCTGTTGTAGGAAGCACTGTGAGTGTTGAGCACTGTACACAGTGCCTCCAGGAACTGCTTATCAAAGATAGCCAACTGAAGTAAAGGCCTTGGGCACTTACTTATTTTTAACCAATATGAAAGCAGAGTGCAAACCTGCTCTCCAGGGTAGAGGGAAGAAGACAGATAGGGACTGTCCTCAGAAATCCAGGATGCCTTTCATTTTTGTTTTTTGGGGACACAGTCACACTATGCAGCACAGACTGGCTTCCAACTCATGATCTTCCTGGAGGCCTGAGTCTCTTAAGTACTGGGATTACAGGTGCATGCTACCACGCTTAGCTAATTAAACTTTTTTTTTCTTCTCAGGGTTGGGGGGCAGGGGTGCTGGGTGGAACCCAGGGCCTTGTGCATGCTAGGCAAGTGCTCCACCACTGAGCTCCATCCCCAACCCCAGGACGAGTTTTTCAGTTTGTGAGTGGCTCTGAAAATTCCTCAGTTTTAGGTTTTCCATCTGTGCAAACCACAAGCAATCTCTGAAAGATGACTAGGGGTATAAACTGAGCCAAGGGTGAGCAGAGATTGGCTGGGTACCTGGGTGATACAAACCCAGCAACCAGAACCCAAAGAAGCTCCATGGCCAGAGAGACAGCCATCAAAGAGGCTCCCTGGAGTGAGTGGGGCCAACCTGTGAATGAGGACCCCTGCAGCCTGCCCAAACTGGTCCATCTGGGTGGCCTCCTCTTCAGACAGGATCTCTGGGTGCAGTGAGAAAGACGGTGGGCGGGGCAGCTCGCACTTCTGCTTGTCCTCCCAGGACTTCAAGGTGCTCTCAAAGGCCTAGAAATGGGAACAGAATTAGACCTTCTACTGTACCCTCAAGAGGGCAAGCACATACCTGACCATGGCAAGCCCTACAGGGCATCGACAAGCCAGTAACTAGGAAAAGGGTAAACAATTTTTTTACAGGGGTGGGGCAGGGGGTTGGGAGGAACAATAATCTTTCCATATTAAGATAATCTTTGTATCTTAAGAAAAATTCTAGAACAAAACATGAAACACTCTGGCACCCCTTTTAAGAATGCACAGGTGAGCCCATGAATAAGCCACAGGTGAGTCCTAGGACCCTGCCCCAAGTCCCTGATGGCAGTCATTCTTACCCTGTCTCTGGTTAGTGTTTGTGCCCGGTTCTTGTGGACAATCCGAATATACCCTGGTGGCTGAATCCAGGCCTCTCCGTCCACTTGCACAGGTACGCCCTCGTCCCCCAGGATGGAGATCTTCACCGTTCGACACTGAGTAAACATCACAGCTGTCACTGTGTGCCAAGCCACAACTTCTAAAGGGCTTTAAGGTACCATTGGACCTTCCTGCTCCACACACTGTGCACTGCTCCTCAAGGGTGCCAGCTACCACCTCTGCGGGAGCTGTGCCCACAGCTGACCACTGTGCTGTCAGGACCCCAGAATCTGCTACTACACTGCCCACTGCACCCTCCCCAGCACATGGGCTCAGTTGATGCAAGAGACCTTGGTGTGTGGATATGTTTGTGGGGGGTAGGGAAGTCATGGGCCCCCACCCAGTGCAGACATCCTAGAACAAAGTCCAGCAAGCAGATGATGAGGCCCTGTTCTTCTCAACAAAAATGCTGCCAAAAGCAAAACAAAAACTTCAAGCAGCCTACTGCTGGGGACAGAGTGCAGGAAGACACCAGCAAATCCCGGCATGGGGTTCAGGCCAGTGGGTTTTTATCAGCACCTTACCCCAACTCTGTGCATAAGAAGCCCACAGGCAGGCAGACACTTCCCAGCCCATTTCCACTTGTCAGAATTAAGTCACCAGCTGGGTGCCTGCAATCCTAGCTACTTGGGAGGCTGAGATGGGGAAGACGGAGGTGCAAGGCATCCCTGGCAAACAGTTTGCAAGAACCCCATCTCCAAAATAACCAGAACAAAATGGACTGGAGGTGTAACTCAAGTAGAGCACCTGCTTTGCAAGCACAAAGCCCTGAGTTCAAACCCCAATCCCACCAAAAAAAAAAAAAAAAAGTCACCAGTAATCCGCCACCATCTCTCCACCCGAGCTGGGCCTCAGAGCAGTGTGTGAGGTCCCAGGATGGCTTCACCCGCTGAACACAACAGAGACTTGGGCTCCATTCCCACAGTTCACTGCTACAGCAGCCACAAGATAGAGCTCAGCCTGGGTCTGTTCCACCCATCAAGATACAGAGGGCTCAGGTGGGAATCAAAATTTTGAAAGTCTTTTTGAGAATTTAACCTAAATACAGCCTGTGGGAAGGGTTTCAACCCACAAGCCAGGGCCAAGGGTTGTGCAGAGCCTGCCTTGAGGTTGCAGGAGGCACCCTCTCTCCTGGGCTCCATGTGCTAGGAGCAAATCCAGGCCCCACCTCTCCAAACAGGTACGGGCCCCAGGAGGGGGGCAGCACAACCCCTGAAGGATAGTGGTCCATACCTGGGCAATTCGGTGATGCTGCAGCTTAATTACACGAGACACGGCCATCTGCATACTGCCAAACACAGCAACCACTTCCAAAATCTTATCGTCGAATGATGGAGCTGCAAAAGTCTGAAAGGGCCAGTAAGAGAGCCGATCTCTGCATACTGCACCCCCATACACACACACGCGCGCACACACGCACACACAGGGACCCTGTTCCCTGGCAGCTGCTGCGCTGATGAGACAGAGAGATCCCCAGTCTCACATGGTACAGCAGCTGTTGGGCAGTCTGTTACAAACCCAGAATCCCACATTTGCCCATTACTATCCGGGAACTGGGCAAATCACTTAATGCTCTCTTCCTCAGTTTCCTTCTCTATCAGTGGAAATTTCTCACATGCTTCCCAAGAGGCTGCCACGAGGATGGGAACTGCAGAACACTTACAACAGTGGCCGTACACACACTAAGTCTGCAGTAGGCGCTGGCTGTCTTGTGAGTTATGTATGAAGAGGCCCTGCCCCTTGTTAAGCCTATCAATGCCGTCCCTCAGTTCTTAGCATGATCTCCAGACTTCTTCCGATTTCCACAGCCCTGTGCAATCCAGGCCTTTGCAGAGCTCTCATTTCTCTGTACTCACCTGCTGCACGCTGCAATAGGGGATCTTCCTCCACATCCTACATCCACCCATCTCATCTTGCCTCTGAGCTTCCTTGAATGCTACTCCCCCTGCCTGGTACTGCCTCCCACCCCCCCGCCCACCGGACTTGGCCAACCCCAATTCCTCCTTCAGGCCTCAGGCCACCCCTCAATGATCATATGTGTGAAGAGACCCTGGGCCAGGGCCCACTGTGCCCACTGCCAAGACCATGCAGGTGCTTGATCCATCAAGTCATAAAAGAGCACCTCAATACCCTCCCTGAGGCCAGCCCACCCGCCCCCCACTCTGTACGTACATCATCTTCCTTGGTACCCCCCCAGAAGTTGGTTCCTCCGGCATAGCTGGGAATGTTGAGGACGGCAATTCCCTGAAGACTGGGGAGGGGGATCGGTCGCCCATCACACTAAGTGGCAGAAATGCAGGTAGAGAGAAAAGAGAAATGCTTAGCACGAGCCAGACTCCACCACCTGTGGAGGATGCATGGTATGGCTTGAGCTCTGCAGCAGGAGCCCACACAGCACAGCAATGGCCAACAGCCAAGCGGAGAGACCACTGACAGCACCACTCACCTCCAGCAAGACCTTCTGCTCCAGATTCTTGTAGGTTCTGTGCAGCAGCTCTTTGGTGCCAAGGACGCCATACCACATCATGTTCTTGGTCCGACTCCTAGAAAACATAGCAAAGCCTTGGGGTGGGTGAGGTCCTGAGTCACTGCTATGAACCCTGGGAAGGCCCGGGTCACAGATCAGCCACACTCAGCAACTGTTTGCAGCAAGAATGCCTGAAGACAGGATACACACACAGGAAATTTCCAACAGGAAATTTTGCTGAAAAGTGACATTTGGTCAAAAAAGCAACTGCACCCTGAAAGGCAAATAAATAAACCTCACAAAAATTTTATACATCATGACTTTCTTCTGTCTATAAAGTTATACTTACAATAGAAAATCTGGAAAATGCAGAAAAGCAGAGGAAACAGACAATGCAGAAAACCAAAAGGAGAAAATAACCTTCAGATCTTCTGTGTATCCCCAACAAGTTAACGATGGTAAGTGGGAGGAGGGCTGAAAGTGTTGCTGACAAACACAGTCCTCCTTCCCCACAGACAGGGACTTTCTTAGCACACTGTCATCTGCTGCCATTTCAGCATCACCAACTCTAGCCAATTCCAATTCACGGCTTCCTGGTGTTCAGTCTGCCTGGCCTGACCAACCCTAGGGGTAGAACCCTCTTCCAAGTTGGCTTCCTGACCTGCCACCTGCTCCCCTGTCTCTGGGGAAGCACCCCTACTTCTGCCAGGGAGGTACTCTGCATGTTCTTTACCCCGCTGACCCCAGGGCCTGCTCTCTGAAGGATGGGGCTCCCAAGGCCGCGCCTACCTGCATTTCTCTGGGTGCTCATCACGTTTGTTGTTGAAGTCCAGCGATATCTTTGCATCCAGACCAATGCCGAAATAGTTGTTCATGACACACTTCTCTGTGTAGTACTCTCTGCAAAAGTGAGTTCTACTTATTTTTTTATTGTTGTGCTGGGTGGAGGGACATTGTGACATTTACAAAAGTTCTTACAATACATCATACATGAATTCATGCCCTCCACCATTCTCTACTATTTTTTCTTTTTGGTGGCACTGGGGTTTGAACTCAGGACCTCACACTTGTAAGACAGTGCTCTTACCACTTAAGCCACTCCACCAGCCCCACAGGTTAGTTTTAAATCAATTACAACAGTCATGAGCAGCAGGTTTGTTTCAGATCCCCAACACTTGGTATTTCTCCCTTAGAGCAAAACTGTCTTTTTCTTTTTCCATGTTCTCTGCTTTGGTTTTTCTATACTGGGATTCAAACCCAGGGCCCTGAGTCAATTTTGTTTTGTTTTGTTTTGTTTTGTTTTTTTCTTATTTTGTTGATTTTTTTATTTTTCTTCTTTTTTTGGTAAGAACTTTACTGACATATAATTTATGTGCCATATAATTAAAAAAAACAATTCCTTCTTTCAGAAGGAAGCAACATTAAAAGCATCCGGAATCAGGATGAGTGGGAAACCATCCCACATTTTGGATATACAGTGTTTGTCTTAACTGCTAGGAAGCTCCTGCCCCAGGCATTCAGGGGCAACCAGAAAAGTGGAGTACTAGAGTCATTTGGGACAAGTGGCTAAGTATTTAAAAAGTCCATTTAGGATATTTTATCCCCCTAGACTCACTTGGTAAATCTTGAGCCTGACTTAAAAATTGGGATGCTATACAAAGGGGATCTTTACTTCCACTTATGTTTTCTTAGTATTAAGAACCTGACTGTTAATCTTTACAACATAATCTAACACTGCTTTAATAAAAAAACTTGTTCATAGTCCTTTAAAAAAATAATAACCAAAGCAAAAGGGGTTGGGGGTGTGGCTCAAGTGGTAAAACACCTGCCTGACAAGCATAAGGCCCTGAGTTCAACCCCAAGTACTGCCTCCCCCCCCAAAAAAAGCCCATACCCTTTAGCCACTGGTCCCCAACCCCTGGGAAACCACTAATTCACTCTGTTGCTGTGAATGTGCCTGTCCTGGACAGCTCATAATACATGAAATCACATAATATGTAACCCTTGTGATCTGGCTCCTTTCTCTAAGCATGTTGTTTGAATGTTCATCCATGTTGTAGCACCTGTCTGCAGCACAGAACCCATGGGACACATGGAGACTCTGGTTTGCCCTTCTAAGGAACAGCCTGCCTGTTTCCCAGCTGCACCAGCAGTCTCAAAACAAGGTCTTTACAGCACACACAACTGAACTCTGGGTCTGAAAACACTTCTCAAACAATTCTAGACTTGCCAAAGCTACCTCTAAATTAAAAAGGAAAGTGACCTGAAAATGCCCACCATGGCCCTGGGGCCACAAAGCCTCCCTTCCCAGGAGCACAGGTGGTACAGCTCCTCTCACTCCTCCCTCTGGCAGCCCTGCCTCAGTGCTCACTCATAGCCTCCCACCCCTTAGCAGGCTGAGCCACCTCCACAGACAACAGCTGGGGCAAGACACTGAGTGGAGGATGAGTTGTGGAAGTTCCCACAGACACTGAGCAGGGAGAGGGACTCGGGAACACTTCTTGGACAGAATTCTGATACACTCTAAATTAACAAGTTTCTACAACCTGATCGCAGAACCAATCTCCACACTAAGTGTCCTGATTATGCGTCTAATACAAGTGACTAGCAGCTGGCCAAAAGCTAAGCTCTGGAACAAAGCAGTTTCTAAGCTGCAGACCACATGGCCAGCAGTGTTTAAAGGTCCTGGGAAAGACAGTCAATCCAGAACAAAGGGCTCAAGAACAAGGGAAGAAGGGGAGGCTAGGTGCAGGAGCCTGAGGAGTTTGGAAGCTGCCTATGCAGGCTGACAGCCCCACACACAGAATCCACATTGTGCCGCCCACACGCTATGGTGGGGAATAGAGGACATAGCTGTGTCTCCCCAGGAGAAAGAAAGAGAAGACTTAGCTACAGAGATGGGACCTCGATGATCTAGGATGAGGGGAACAAAGGAAGAATCCTGTCAGGGGCTCCTGTGGGCACTGCTCCCAGAAGAGCTGCAACTCTGGCTCTGGTGAGGAGAGAGATATCCAAAAGGCTCAGATCACAAAGACAAGACAAGGCCCAGGAACCAGAAGTCCCATGTGCTACCAGGCCAACACCTGAAAGTAAGGCACTACCTTTCCAAAGCCACAGAGCCTCTGCAAATCACAGCTGCCCCTGCCACTGTCCCCCACCACTCCAGACACTAAGGGTTCACAACTTGTAGCCAACTGCCAACAGCCCCTCACTGCCTAGAACCTGCCACCAGCCAGCAGAAAGAAAAACACCTAGAAGATTTGGGTTTCTTTAGTTTGGGAAATATCATCTATTTCTGCAATGGACAAGATGGGTTCAAGGGACAGAGGATCAGAAGACTCCATTAAACTGCTATGTTAGCATCCTCGCTGCCTTAGGCATGGGTAGAGGAAGTCTATGTCCCCGAAGAGATAGCAAACACAGCACAAGGAGCACAGAGCAGCACCCAGACCTCTTCCCTTAAAAGCCTCAACAACCCAGGAAATCAAAAATCTGCATCGCAGACAAAATAGCAGGAGTCATGGGAAGGTGAGAAAGAAGGGAAGGGAGAGAGAAAGCAATGAGGGAAGTGTCAGCAATGGGCCAGCAAGGTTACCAGAGCCAGACACCTGGAGGTGACAACAAAGGACAAGTACAAAGTCAGTTTCTGGATGTAGTTTGAGGCCCTGCCGAAAGCCTCAGAAAATGAGGTGTCTTGTGGGGCTGGAGGCAGGAGCACAAGGAGCCCTGCCCTCTGCTTGCCTGCAGCAGGCCTGTAGGGATGGTTTTCAGCTCGTTCCCCAAGCCAAGTCTTCACCATAATGAGGGTTTCCTCAAAGCAGCAGCTGGAAAAGGACCTGCTAGTCAACTGTCCTCTAACTTCTCTATGTAATTTCTAATCAAAAGCTTCTGTGCTCCAGCATTGTTTTAACAAAATGCCTCACTGGTGTAGCCTCATACTCACAGGTTTTCAGGTTCAGCATTAAATGGATCAGCATTTATTAATAAGCGACTGATGACTGAGCCCCCGGGCAAGGAGCCAGACATCCCAGCCCGAACACCTGAAAAGAGGAGAAAGGAGGGGTGTTGGCCAAAAGCTCTAGATCAGAGCAACTTGAGGTTGATGGATGGATACATACTCTGCAGAAAGTCACTATTACTCATAATTTCTAAAATAGTATGTCTAATCTCCAACAATTAATAGTTCAAAAATCACCATCATCATCCCATACCTATGGCAAAGTAAATGTGTTGGGCAGTAGAAACCACTATCAGAGACACATAAAAAACATCTCCCTAGGCTACCTGCGCATTCTGCAGGCCTTTTATTGAAAAGGCCCCTTCCATTCAGCCATATGAACTTTTAAAGTTCTGCAGATCTTTCCATGGGCCTGTAAGCGCTCCAAAGGCAGAGATGCTGTCCTACTCACTCCAGCAGACCTAACAGCCAGGAAGCAGCCGCGCCATGCTGGTTCCCCAGGTGGACGGAGGCAAGGGCACTCACTTGGATATAGGATCTTGGTATTCAGTGCAGGCAGGCCATCCCGACTTCCCGTCTGAGGAGGGAGAGAGGCAGAGCTGCCCAGGGACAGAACTCCTTTGCTCATCAGCTTTTCACACGGGGATCTGGATGCTGTAAAACAGGACCATACACTTCAGACTCTCTACAGTAGAATGCAGCTGAAATCCTGGAGGACCATGAGCAGGAGATTACAAACCACCAGTCAGCCCAGCAGAAAGTGTGCAAGATGAAGAAAGACAGTCGTAAGGAAGAGGAGGAGGTACAAGGCACTCACACAACATCCTAAGGGCCTGGATTCATCTTAAGAGGGACACAGACCACAGGTGACAGCGCAGGGATGGAGGGGTTTACCCTAGTCACAGCCTGGGTGCAGAAGGTGCCATCACACACAAGCAGAGTGCTGAGCACAAGTGGTGAGCAGATCCCCCAGTGGCAGGACAGGGTGGTGGGTCCTGCTCCACTTGAAGAACCTGTGCTGGGGTCTGCTCCAGAAGAGGCAGGTCATATCCCTACCACACACAGTCCCATCTAAGCAGCTCTGTGGGCCATCCGAGGCTCTGAGGACCACCAGGAAGAATGGATGCCAGTTGCCCCTGAGCCAGGCAGAGCCTCTCCCTGCCCCCTGCAGGTCCTGCCAGTGTCCCTAAGACCAAACACACACCCTTCCGGCACACACACAGATAGCGTAAATACAGGCCTGGAATTTGGATTCATCTAAGTGACCAAATCAATTGTGAGAAAAAAGCACCCTAAAGTTTTCCATGGCAAGCTCACCAAGAATCACCAAAACCACAGCCCAGCCACAGCATGGCCATACCTTTGCGGTGGCTCCTCCCTTTTACCACTCCACAGCTCTCACTGTGGGAGGTCGGTGGGCACACCCTATTGTCCATCTTCAGGTCCTTCTTCTCATCTGACTCGGAGAGGCCTAGGACAAAACCCTGCTGCTCCTGGGTCTGGGCGTTCTGCTCATCGACCGCTGGCAGGGAGAAAAGAGCCTGAGCCTGAGCAGTGAGGTTGAGAGTGCCAGAAGCCTACAGGCCCCAACTCCCTTCAAATGTCCTCCACCTGAAAGCTTGGACCCAAAGCCCCCGCCATACCCACCCTCTGCCCAGTGCCCTAGCACAGTCAGTGTGACGCACCTGGGAATTCTTGCCAGTAAGATAGGAAGGAGGACACTGGGGGAGGAGGAAGCAAGGGAAAGAGGGCCCATCCAGACAGAGCCACTGGTGTAAGTGGCATCACGCACAGGCAGAGTTCTGAGCGCTATGGGTGATGGGGTCCATTCACCACCGAGATCTTACTGAGGTGAGAAGCAGGTGAAGCTACTCAATGAAAACAGGGAGGTCAGGAAGGAATGTGAAGCAAGGGAAATGTGTGAAGTGGTTTCTGAGGGCTGTTCCAGAGAGACAATGTGAGGATAAGAGGCTTGCTAAGGAGAAAGGAAGAGGAATGCTGTGTGAGGGTGGAGATGGGCCAATGTGGTTGTTTCAAGCTACCCCTTTTGGTCTATCACCATGCTCAGGCACTCAGTAAGTGCCTGAAGAAAGCCACCTGGTTACTGAGACCCATTACCTTTTTCAGTGTGTTCTATAATTTGGCGAATGGCTTTCTTCAGGCTGTTTGCTCTCAACATGAGCTGTTCACGAGGCCGGAAGATCTGTGGTCGAGAGGGGCACACAGAGCCCACAGGGCGGTCCCCTGTGGAGCCACAGATGCTGCCAGACCCATCGCCATCTTCAGCCTCCTCAGCAATGGTGGGAGGTGGGTTGGGCAGAGAGGACGATGCCTGGGATTCATCATCCAAGGTCTTGAGGAGAGAGTCCAGCTTTTCCTTCAGGACAGAGCACTGGATGGGGGATGAAATGGCATGAAGAATGTGCTCCTCGGCATCTAGACAACCCTCCCACCCATACCCAGGAACAAACCTTCTTAGCCATGACCTCTGACTCCCCTGAGCTCTCTGTCGTCTTTTCGTAGGCTTTGCCTACCCGAGCCACAAAGTCCTTCACAGTCTCACAGAGCACTCTGTGAGGAACAGAAATGCAGCTGGGCTGGGACCCGCGCACCACACCTGACTACAGTCCTGAATCCCCAAGGCTGAGGCACTCACTTGGCTGATGAGATAACTACCGAGTGCTGGTCTGATGTCAGAATTTTAGAAAGATGGGCTGCAACCGAGTCTTCATAGAAGAGAATTTGCTGCACCTACAATCATCCCAAGACAGGGGAACTGTCAGTTTCTGTAGTCAACTTCGAACTCCATCTGTGGTCCTGGGTCCCAGGGATTTCCTCATCTATCCCTGGTAGTGCAGGTCTAGAAAGGCAACTTCTTCTGACAGACCTCACCCTACCAACTAAAGCTTCACTCTCTGCCAGTGCTAATCAGGGCTGGCCAAAGTTTCATCAAGCTGCATACAGACTGAGAAGATGGGTTTAAACAAGAGAGCCTGTCAAAACAGATAGACAACTCCTGCCTTTTTAATCTGAGATTACAGGACTAGCTTACGGGGCCTTGTCTGTAATCCATTCCTATGCTCAGTGTGGTGTTGGAGGGTGGCTCCTTAGTTTGGGTCCATTCAGAGCAGATGTCACATTTTCTATCTGGTTGTGAATTCTCTCTCACTAGGATATAAATCAACCTTTTTTGCTGCTCGCCTCTGCCCACTGACATGGGAGGCTCCACCAGTGTGGTGACTGTTCACTGGCCCTGCCTTCAGCCAACAGGCTTTAGCAGGCTTTGCACACATACTCTTCCTCTCAAAAAAAAAAAAAATACAAACCATTCTTAGTTCAGAGGCCATGCCAAAGCAGACCAGCACTTTGGCCTGCAGGGCAATTGGCTGATCACTGCCCTGGTCCTGATAAAAGTTCATGTCTTTCTACTGTCCTTGGCCCTCTTGCCTGACAAAACATCCTGGGGCAGAGAACTAATGCTCAGCTAGTGACCAGTCACCCAGTGAGTTGAGCACAGCCACGTGCCCAGTACTTAAAACAAATGACAGAGTCTATACCCTTAGGGAACTGAGAGTTAAATCACAACAGTAACCACCAATCACAAAGAGGAACTCCACTGAAGCACAGGAAGCTAAGTCAAAGAGTGGCACAGGCACCAGAGAGGGAGAGTGGGTTGAGAGCAGGAGCAGGGGGGCTGCCAAGAGGAGGCAGGAAGGGCTGGGTGGTCCAGGCAGGGCACAGCCACAGCAGGAGAAGGAACAGCAAGACTATGCAGAGGTGCTGAGGAGCTGACAGACACAGCGGACAGCAGGAAATAGCAGGGGAATGTCACTGGGCAGTCCCTCAAATCCTGGCAATAACTGCAGGAAACTCCCAGGCGGTCACAAACCCAAGGTTTGAACCTGCCTAGCCTCCAGCTCAGCCTTGGATTCACCCTGCACCCCACCAAGGCTCACAGACCCATCACCAGAGAGGTGAGGAGGCAATGTGAAACACTGAAGATAACGTAAGATCACACAGGTGGGGCTTAAAGATGGGTTGGCTGGGGTGCAGCTCATGGCAGAATATAAGGTCCTGGATTCCATACCCAGCACTGCAGAGAGAGAGAGAGAAGAGAGAGGAAGAAGGAGGCGGGGGAGGGGGAGGGGAAGGGAGGAAGAGAAAGGAGAAGCGCATAGGCAGTACCTCAGAGTCCTCACTGAAGTCTTCAGTGACAGTGGAGGAGGAGACCTGCCGAGGGAGTTTGGTCTCATATGCCATGACACTCCACCTGCAGAGACATAAGGTCATCTTAGACCCTGGCCACTCACCAGTGCCTAGGGACATGCAGAACCTCCTGAGAGAAGATCCTTGTGCTCCCTCCCATTTTGTAGCCTGGCACCTTGATCTTTGCTCTGCTTCTGACTTCATCTTTCAACTGTTTGTCTTGACTACATCTGTAACTTGGCTCATCGCATGCCTAAGATCAATGTCTTCTCTCCACAACTAACTGCGCACTGTTGCTCCCTTGGAAGAATTGAAACAGGTCCCATAAATGGCTGCCCTGAGCGCAGGTGTGGCTTGTGGGAGAAATATACTTCCTGAACATACAGAAATGTACTGCTCAGCTAGCCATCAGCTTTGCCATCAAGCTCACCTGGTAGCTTCTGATGGGGCACACAAACCTTCCTCACCAAGAGGACCCAGAATGGGAGGCACCTCAAAATCACTCTTGTACCCAGGTCCTGGAGCAACTTGGAACATCTTCATCAATACCAAGTTGCATAGGTATGTGATCAGGGAAGGCCATCCATGTAGCTGAGAACTTGAACATCCACTCAAGGAAGCCAAGGTACCACTATGCACTAGAGGATAACTATCCCATACTCGTTCTGGGATCAGAATGCAGGAACTGTTCCAAGTACACAATGAGAATAATTTGCCAATACTCATTAGACCCTGAGCCAAGATGGTCAAAGACTGTAGGCCCCTTCTGTGCAGGCCTGACAGATGCAGGTGTGGCCTCATGAGAAGACCTAATGTTTTAGGGCACACTTCCTCTTCTTTTGAAGGCACTCAGGGCCTCACACTTGCAAGGCAAGCACTCTACCACTTGAGCCACTCCACCAGTCCTAGGAGACACTTAACTCGTTTGTTTTCATAATCTGACCAAAATCTAAAACTATCAGTAAAGGAATATATACTTAGGTCAAACTTCTACAAATAATGTCAGGGATCTATGGTCTCCCCAGACCTTGGAATAAAAATACTGGTCCTAGCGAAAGCTTCTCAGAATAGCTTCTACTCATATGGCCCTGACTGCCCCACTCACCTGTCCAGCATCTTAGTGCTGGCCCTCTCCAACTTTGCCAAGATCTGGGGGAGCTGGGTGTCATCATCGCAGGCCGAGCCCCAGCCGAGCACACGGGCCAGGTCATTCCCCGTTCCCAGAGGCAGCACTCCCAGCTGACACTGAGAGGAAACAGCAGGGAACACATGCTCTCAAGTACCTGATGTCTGCCTGTGGCCCACACCTTCAGATGGTCTTTGTGATCGACAGCAGACACCAGGGTCATCGACCCTCCTCTCCACAGGCTGAACTCAGTTGTTCACATATCTTAACAGTCAAACCTTAGGACCTCTGTTTTCTAAAACTACTTCCTTCCCACATGCACTGTTGTGACCATACCTGAAGGGTCAGTCTGTAACTCACCCCCTGTCTCTCCCTCCACTACAGCACCTTACTCACTGATGTTAGTTCATTTTCCAAAAATCAGCACTAAAATCATTCCACACCTCTAAAAACATCCCTGTCCTATCAAAAACTGTGCCAGGACTATCCACAGTCTGGACATCCCTGCACCTGGCATGCCCATCCAGAGCCCCCATCAATGCCCCTCTGTGCTTGCTCATTGCTTAGAGAGCCCCCAAATTGCTGGCTGCCCCAGAGCTCTCCTGCTGTCAACTGTCATGACAGACTGACCAGTCAGGAGTCATCAAGGCCTGAAGTGCAGCTTGTAACAAGTTTGGAAGCCAGGACCATACCCTGCCCTCCCTATGTATGGCACTGTCACAGCCCCCTGTTCATCCCAAGAGCACAATCTGGAGGTGCAGGAGACTAAAGTAAGCAAGGACACACAGACAAAGAAGCTGGCAATGAAGGGCCCAAGAAGGGCAGGAGGTTTCCTGGAGCCTCACAGGAAAGCAGCACACCCAATAAGGGGCAAGTCGAAGCTCAACCATAAGGAGGGCAGCAAGGGAAGGAGGAGGCAGAGAAAAAGAGGGAGCAAATGAGGGCCCTGGTAAGCTCTGCTGTCAGCAGCATTTCGCCCAGCAGAGGCTGAGGGAGGACACATGGAAACAAATGCCCTGGGGACAGGGTGGCCCAGACTGAGGAGACACAGGGGTGGGGACAATGGGGGAAGACTGCACCCACTAAACAGCTAGTAGTGGGGAGGGAGGACCAAGGAGTCAGGAAGAGCTGTCAGTTTTCTGAGCAGACCCTGATGGACATGGCTTCAGACTCCAAGGAAGGTAAATGGGTGGGTAGGGGCTTAGCAATAGCTGGGGTTGGCACTGAGACACTACAGGCCCAAGGTGGACATGGCAGCAGGCCCCTGAGAGTCGCTATGCCTTTAAGGAGGAGCATGAAGGAAGAGGAGAGGCCCTACAAGTTTCTGACCACACGGCATATGACAGAAGCCAAGAGGAGGAAAGCACCAAGTGGTGTGGGGTCCAAGGAAGTCAGCGAGGTATCAGGTAGTGGCCAGAGCACTCGGCCATGGAGAAATCAGAGGAGATAAGCATTTGCAGAGCTCACCCCAATGGATGAAAACAAACCACAAGTTTCACTCTATAACAGTGAATTTGTCAATCAGTGATCCCCAGTCACCAACACTAAGTGGACTACTCTAATCCCATCACTAGGAGGTGCTATTTCTCCTTCCTGAGAAACTCAAGAGCCTGACAGTGCATGGACCTGTAGCAGACCCACCTTGCTCCAGGGCCATCATCACTCTGGAGTTAAATACTGACAGCACAAACACCACTCACTGTTAAGTACCAAGGTGAGTGGGACTGGCCAGAGGATACAAAACCACTGTCCAGTCACAGAGATGCTTTACAAAAATTTTGAAGAACCATAATAAGCCTAGTGTAAGGCCATGTAAGGCCATATAGGTTAATATTTTCATAATCTTGGTGTGGGCATAGGTGTCTCAAAGTGACAGGAGTGACAAAAAATGAAAGACAAGAAAAAGTACATTGATAACAAAATAACAAGGAAAACATCTGGAAGCACAGACAAGTTCTTATAACAATACTTAGACATCATTTTTTTGAAGAGTGAATACTGCAATAGAAAAATGAGGTAAAAAACATGAGCAGGTGATTCAATCAAAACTTCACAGTTGCCAGGAGCCAGTGGCTCATGCCTGTAATCCTAGCTCTACTTGGGGGGCTGAGATTGGGAGGACTGCAGTTTGAGGGTAGCCTGATCGAATAGACCCCTTCTCCAAAATAACCAGAGAAAAATGAACTGGAGGTGTAACTCAAGCCCTAGAGCACCTGCTTTACAAACATGAAGCCCCAAGTTCAAACCCCAGTCCCACAAAAAACAAAAAAAACACTTCACAGTCAATTGAAGCAATGTTTCACTTCAACAAAAATTTAAATAAATAAAAAAAAGACCTTTTGTTTATATAGTTGCGCAAAATTGGATGAGCCACCTGGGAAAGCACAGTTTTATGCCACATGAGGTATGACAGTCCTGAGGGAAAGCAGTGTGGCAATACATCCCAATATTCACACCAGGGGCTCCTTGAGAGAGAGAATACTTGAGGTAGGCCCATGACCTCACCAGGGACAGCTCTAAGCCACTTCAGCTCCACGCATGTGGGAGGAGGGCCAACCTGGCCCTCAGCTCTATCTAGTGGAAACTATCCACATAGCTGTATGCTGGGCAGAGTGCAGGGCCCACTACATATTACTGACGTCAAAAGCACAGTATCAGACTGGCAAGGTAACATAAATCCATTTAAAACTGCATTACTTTCCCACTATGCACACTTGGATAGAAGTCTGAGAGATCAGTCTGGAAATGATGGCTAATTACTTGGGAGGAGTGGGTGAGAATAAAAATTAATACAGTGAAGATTTTCTTAGTAAACAATCAGGAAAATCTTACTTTTATTCTAATTTAAAAAAAAAAAAAACAGTTCAGTGAACCATAACTGAATTCTTCCCCTCTTCCCAAGCCAGAAGCTTCAAGCAGTTAAGTCAAATCACCTCTCAGTGAAGAACCAGGGTACAGGAGGACAAGGGCTCCAGACCCGCTCCCCACCTGAGACCTGAAGCAATGTTCTTTTTGTGGCTCCCTTTACCTAATTAAATTTCTCACTCATCCATCATGACAGAGCCCCAGTCCCAACGCAGCCACCAGGTTCTTGCCTGCCCGCCCCCCCAACACCTGTGTTGGGGCCTGTGGGGCGCAGGCACTACAAAATGGCAGAGCTGAGATCTCACAGCCAATCTCTGATTTCAGCATCAGCACCCCTTCCTGAGATGGGGCTCCCTCACATCCAGGTACCTGTTTGTGAAGGTTGAGGCTGTCAATTTCAGAGAGGACCCAGCCAACACTGCCATCTCCACCACAAACGAGAATCCGGAAGGTGTCAAATTTCTGGAATAACCGTAAACTGCAGAGAAAAGAGAGTTGATGAAAAAAAGTGTGCTCTATAGGCCAAATGATGGGCTTGTCAGTCCTGGGCTGGGGAAAGCAGCCTGCTCTTTGTGGCTGACCAGGTATACACACACACAGGTTTTGTCAGGTAACATGGCCCTCTGCTCAGGACGGCGGTAACACTGGGTCCTAACCAGCCCCTCCAGCTGGGACCAGTTTTCAAGAGGCATGAGACAAAACAGCACTGGTAAGCTATGGGTTTCTGAACAAATGCCACACACCCATGAAGCATTGCCACCACTTTGTGTCACTCAGATACCAGCTCCTGCCAAGTGTCTGTCACAGACAGACACAGTCTTCCACAGCCCCAGCCCTCCATCACATCCCTCCCCGGCCCCATCCACATGCTGCCCTGCCGACCCACCCAGTGGGCCCTCTCAGCTGTCTGGCACCCCAGGGGGTCTGCAGTTGGGTCTCTGCCCAGAGTTAGCCTAGTTCCTCCAAGAGTCCTAAGGCGACAGATCTGCCAGCATGATGCTTTTCTCCATAGTATTATGTTGAGCCCTAGGTCCTCCTGGCAATGGGACCCAGGAGGGTCCCACTCTAACCTGTCTCCTTCCCCTCCCATACAAGCTCCTCACTCAGGACACCACAGCTGCCTTCTGCACACTCCTCACCCTACTCCTCCACAACCTCGCCCATGCTTTGGCTTTAAGGAATCAACACTCCCAGGTCACTCAAGCCCCACACTTGCACCACCTTGATGTCCCAAGGCACCTCCAGCAGGACATGTCCCTCCTCGAGAAACAACAGCACACTCCCCACCCAATTTATGGGCCAGCCCCCCACACACACACACACACTCCCACTATGTCCAGCTGGGCTCAACCTCTATTGAGGCTCTCATGAAGCCTCTAGGAGCCTAACACATGTGCTCCAGCAAGGCCTTTCTTCAAATACCAGTCTTGTCCAGTGTCTTGCTTTAAGAGGCTGCCCCTCTTTTTCAGGAATGGGGTCCAACTTCACGACCAACACCCACAGCATCCCCTGACTAGCATCTGCCCACCAGGCCTGGCCCAGCCCCTCCACAGTAGTGCGGAGGAGATGAAGGTAAAAGCACAGAGCAGAAACACTGGCACTCCTCAAAGACTAGCACAGCAAGACGGTGGGATACCAACTTGATTTAGGTGCCCCATCTGAGATGCCAAAAAATCTGTGCCCCGTGGAAGTGATAGATGACCCACCACATGACAGGACTGCCTTGCAACCTAGGGGCCTTGCAAACCCTGCCTCGAGCAGAGTGGGCCCCAGAGTAAGTGCTCACAAAACAGGCTAGGATGGGCAATGAGCCACTAACTCAGGTCTCAACGCAAGTTCTGCACCTGACTTTTGGGTGACAAGAGAAATGTCCAGGTGTATTCTTTGAACCTGACCACTATGAGGCCCCTGCTCTTTAACAAGCACAGTAAGTCAAGGCCAGGACTTGGGAAGAGGAAGCAGTAAGTCTAGGTCCTGTTACCTGGGTCAGGTGTATCCCAGGAAGTGAGAATATCAATTGCCATGCTGTTTCCATAGGGGCTTCCTATATTGCCTCACCTCACACTTACCTCCAACTGCAACTCTGGGAGCTCTGCACACATGCCAAAATTAGTACCTTTTTATTCTCAAGTTCTACTGCACAGCCAGCCCCACCCAGGCAAAACGCTCATGCAACACCCCTGCTGGCACATTTAGCAGCCACCTGAGCCTCCTCAGTGTAGTGCAGCCAGGGGTGTAGTATGCCTCCACTTGCCCAATGCTGAACTAAAAACCTTCTTCACTAACCTCAAAGTGAAAGGGATCAGCATCCTTCAAAAAAGAAGTGTATCTGCAGAACTAGGGAAGTGCTGCCTTTGAGCAGACAGGCCAAGGGCTGTCGTCGGTGACTCTTCTCCCAGCAGGCTGTACCACTGGGAAGATCAGCTCACAAGACCCCCACACCAAGAAACGACAGTCAGCGTGTACCCACCGTGGCATGCCAGCCAAGGACACACAGTCAGCCTAGGCTCATATAATATCAGCACCTGGCTCCAAAAACAACATCCTCCCAAAACTGCACAGGACAGTGGGGACCCCAAGCACTTTCCACAAAATCCCTCAATGCTAGCACGTATTGTCACAGCACTACCTGAACTGATGCTTCCAAGTGGGTAAGGGATTAGCACAAGTGGCAAAACTTACTGAAGCAAACATTTCCTACAAATCTGTGAAAAGCACAAAACTGAAAAGAACACACACAGGCTCCCCGACTAGCAGAGGAGAGGCCCCTGAGCCCTCGTGCATCTCACGCCTCGCTGCACTTGCACCTCAGTGCCTCTTATGCCTCCGAGATGGAAGAGTCTCCTTGGCCGCACTGGAGAAAAGCTTCTTCCTAGAAAGTGGGCCACCAGTGAAGTCAGGAAGGCAAATCTGTGAGTGCTGATATGGAAACACATGATGTGGGATCCCAATAGTTTAGAAGGTGCATGTGTGTATGTGCGTGTGTATGCTGGCAGTAGAAGGTGGAAGGACACACACCTCCAGCAACTATTATGAACAGTCCCTCTACAAGTGGAATTTGGGGAGGGCAAGTTCAGGAAAAACAACTTTCCTATTTAAAAATTTCTGTATTTTTGATCTTTTTAAAATAGGCACACCTTATCTACAAAACATTAACAAATAAAACTCCAAGAAAGACACATTTCGCAAGCTTCCTACCCGAGGTGCGGTCCTCCGTTCATGAGGTCAAAGACCTGGGCGGGGTTCAGCAGCTGCTTGAATCTTCTGAGGAACTTCACACCCTGATTGTCCCCACTTTTGGAATTGACAAAGACCAACAAGGGGCTTGTGCAAGACGGGGGGCAGGTGGCCTTCCAAAACCCTGGATGTGAGAGTAGAAGAGGACAGAGAACCTTTATAGACCGTGAAGGTGCTTAGAGCACTGCTGACCAAACAAGCAGCAGCAGACTGTGTGGAGAACACAGAACTCACACACACCAGTTAGTCGGCAGAGACAAGCAAGTGTACATCCACTTCGCCACCCCCAACAAGAGAAAGAAGTGAGCCCCATGCAGCCTGAATGCTTATAGGGATTCCACATATCACCTCGCTGTGCTGTCTTCACCTCCTGTCTCCAACCTGGTAGAGCTATTTCCTCTGAACCATGTACTCCAGGGACCCTCTTCACTAAATTTGTCAACAGGTGTCACCTGGTGACAGCCAGACAAGTGAAAACGGCTCTGAGCCGGCATGCTAGTGTCTGCCACAGACAGGGGCAAGGATGAGTACAACCCTCACCCGCCTCCCCCAGCTCCCGGCAGACAGGACGGCCTTTGACTCAGTTTCTACTCAAGAGCCACCTGAGCCAGTCACCTTTCTAGGCAAGTGCCAGCCTCGAGTTGTGAATAATACCAGTCACTGACAACACACACCTCCACCCAGCCTCTTACTGACCACATCTCAAAGTCTCCAAGACAGCAGAGCTGTTAGTGTGCGGCAGCGCAGAGAAGGGGCATATGGACATAAGCAAGGACAGTGATTGGGGACACCCACCATCTGAGTCGATGCTGTTGAGCGCTGTAGGAGGGATGACTGACACCTTGCACAGGCCAAGTGGGCACTTGGTCAACAAGGACTCTTTACACGCCGTGTGAACCTGAAACAAGAATCCATGTGTCATGGGGGCCACCACCTCCTCACACACACCAGAAAGCTCCCTGGTCCTGAGCTAGTTAAATGGCCACAGGAGGGAGGGGTTCTGTCAGGGAGGCACCCCATGTCCTCACCTTGCACCTAAACATGCAACAAGAGCCAGTCATGGAGCCCAGACCCAGCAAAGGGCCCCTCCAACACAGCCATCTTTAACTTTCAGAGCCAGATTTAGGGCTCCTGGGCCACGCACCTTCATGTGTAGACCAGTGCCTGGGGCCTCCTCCTGGCCAGTCAGGTGCTCCAACAAGGTAGTTACAGGAATCACAGCTACCTAGCAGCAGACCTGGCAATGAGCACTCCCTCACCTCTCCTTGGAAAGGCATCTCACTCCACAAGGCAATGACCATACTCAGGACCCAACGTGCAAGGTGAGCACTGAAACTGTTGCTCCAGAGCAAACCCCTCTCAGAAGACCCCTGACAGTGTTCCTACTCTCACACTGCAGAAAAGGTCAGAGAACCTGTCCTGAACAATCCCTTTATTACCTAGCTGAGGTTCCCTGTAAGGCAGGTAGATGTTTTGTACTTAAAAGGCAGTATAAAAGTCAAAGGAAAGCAACACACACACAAAAAAAAATAGTCAAGAATGAGAATGATCACCATGTCTGGGGGTTGGTACCAATGAACGTAGTGGAAATATTATATATTAGTATATGAAAACAGAAAAATGAGACCTACTAAAACTACTCCAGGAATGGGGGTGGGGAATAAAGGAGAATGATGGAGGGGGTAAATTCAACTATGATATATTATAAGAACTTTTATAAATATCACAATGCACCCCTAGTATAAAAAACAAATAATAAAAAAAGAATGAGAATAACCAAACACAATGAGAAACTCAAGTCACTGGACAGTCCAAAACCAAAGGCTCTCAGAGCTGGGGGAAGACACTGAGGTGAGCAACAAGGATTTGTCAGAGGGAAGGACAGAGCCCCAGGCCCCAGTACAACTCCAAACACTCGTGGACAGGGCGGCTGGGAGGCCATGCTAGACCGACTCACCATGGCCTTGCACCACAGGCAGCGCCAGTCCTGCAGACGTAGCACACTGCCACAGGTCTTGTCGCATACTGTGCACTTGGCACTCACGGGAAGGTTTCCCTCTAGCCACTGGTGGGGCATAGCGATCTGCAGACCAAGCAGGGACATGTTAGGGACATCCCAGAACTCCAGCCCTAAGCAATCTGGGAGGCCTGGGACAAAAGTGCTCTTTGTAAGCTCAGCCAAGACATCCTTTACACAAGCCTTTCCCTGATGGCCATTGTGGGGCGGGGATAGAACAGGACCTACCAGGTGCCATCCATACCACAGCACCTACTTGGCCAGGGTAAAACTGGACTCCCAGGCATCAGGACAGAGCTGGGAGGCACAGTCACCTACAAACTGTTGGCTGGGACACTGACCCCAGTGTGACCCTCTCAAAAAATATGTATGGGGGGTGAGGACACAGGATGAGGGCATGGTGCAAGGGGGAAGTTGTGCAGGTTGACCCCATAGGTACAATCCCTGCAGGCATACCCCATCCTCATCCTCGATGATGTCCTTCCCGATTGAGGCCAGCGTGGTCCACTTGCAGTTATTGGTTGCACGCACAGCACACCGTTTATGGGCCTTAAATTTGCACACTGCGAGAGAAGAACACATAAACCTACAAGCTACATCCATGACAGGTGCCTCCTATATGGGGCAGACATCTGCTTAGGAAAACTGGGGAAGGAACAAGGAGCTCTCCCAAGTGGTCAGGGCCCCACCACAACATCACAAGTCTATGACAGTGGAGCATGGGCAGAGATAGAGAGAATCAGGAGTGAGCAACTGAGGTTCACAGGCCATGAACACCACAGTCATAACTACTCAGCTCGGCACAAAGGCAAGCAGCGACAGACGACACTGTGGTCATTGAAATCTGAAGCCCACTTAACTTCCATGTGTAACCAAATACTCTTCTTTTGGATTTTTTTTCAAGAAAAAAAAATTTTTTTAATGTAAAACTACAGTCACACAGGCAAGTTATATAAAATAAGCAGCAGGAAGCACCTGGCCATGAGCCATATGGCTTAGCTGCCAACCTAGGCACCCTGCACACCCTCAGCCCCAACCTTGCTCTCTGTGACACATTTTTCATCCCCGTCTATGGAACCTGACCCACACAAAGTGCAGGCACACTCTGTGCTTGCAGCCTTGACCTTGTTTCCCTTTATTACCACTTCCCTCCTTTCACTCTGTTCAGAGCACTCCAACAACTGACTTATCAAACACTTCTCTGTAGGTAAAATCAACAGGAATTATAGTGAAAATCATTACCAGTGACTGATTACAAAGGTGGCAATGACTTACTTATAGTGACGGTGTCTGTATTTCCAGGGCTTTTATCCAGGAAAACCTCAAGCTACCTTTCTCAGCAGAGTAACAAATGCAGTTTTCATACCTTCACAGGACAGCCCGTGGGACGTGACCCCAGACAGAGCCTCACGACACACGTTGCAGTAAGTTGGCCTTGCATGGGAACAGGCGTACCAGTTGTGCATCCCTGAGAAATGGTCCATGCTGTACTGGGTAGGCTGGAAGAACAAAATAAAGATGGCAAAGATAAACTGGCCCTGTGAACTTCTAACTGCAGCAACCTGAACAGAATTACATGCTGTAATGCAAGACAGGAGGAGGGAAGTCTGTGACGGACAGGATCTGCCAAAAGCATGAGCAATAGGCCTTAATTTTACAAAGCACATGTTGTGAGTGTGTGTTCCAGAACTGCTGGTCCATGCGTGAGAGACACTCAGATGGCAGGATGTTGGGGCGAGGGCAAAAGAGGCCACAACAGGCACCAAAAACAGGCACATGTAGCACAGAAGGATGTTTTTCTCTTTTAACCTCAAAATGCTCCCTGTTCTGGACGGTCTTGAGTGCTGCAATCCAGTCTTCCATTTCTTTTCTGTTATCAGCACACAAGATGAGCTTCCTACATGGAGTGATGACCTGGAGGAAGAACATGTTCAATGTACCCATGAGCAAGGGCAAGACTGACTGCTACAGAAACAGTCTAAAACATATCTGTAAAAAAAAAAAAAAAAAGAAAAAAAGTGTGTGTGTGTGTGTGCAGTCATCCATATATATATATATGTTTGTTGTTGCTGTTGTTCAGGCATTAATACTGAACAGAACATAAAAGTGGCTATCAAGGGTTACTATACATCAAGAACAATCCCAAACCAAAGAGCTAATCAAATTTGTCTATATTCATCAGCAATCAACCTAAGTGGGCGTTTATAACTACTTACTGCTTAGACATAAGTAAGAACTCCGAGGAAACTTTTTAAAATAAATAAATGAGAAGCAAACACAGGGAAGCAGATGCAATGCTCCAGAGAACCCACGAACTGATGCCTAGCCCTTGGATGATGGAGGGAAGTCTGGTCTAGTTATTCTAGACAATACGAGTATGTATCACATGTATGACAACAGAATAACAACCAGTTACTACGCAAAGGTCTGAACAACATACCAGAAATTATGTCATAAACTTGGTAACAATCAACAAATTGAAAGTGATATTTACAACACAGAGGATCTTTATAAGTCAATACAAAAAAAAAACCTTTCTGGTATAAAAAAGGCTATGCAACTGAATTTCACAATGGAAATACAAAATGGCTCATAAGTGAATTTTGTACAAAGCTGCTTAATCACTTGCATCATTCAGAATGAAAACAGCAATCTACTCTTGCCTATCAAATTGGTCCAGAGTTGGCAAAGGTATGGGACAAATGAGTTTTCAAGTATTCCTAGAAAAGTAAATAGGGTACAAACTTTTTTAGAGAAAAATTTGATAAAGTTTATCGAACTTTTCAAAGGTCATAAGCATCTATTGAATTTTTTTCTTAATTATATAAAATTTCTAAATGGTTCCAAAGTCATATCTATAAAACAAATCTGGTAATAAGCCTGGCTTTTCTCTCTCCTCTTCTAGCTTGAAGAGGAGATAGGTAGCTTGAAAAGAATGTATGGCTTACTCCTCCATTTTTAGGCTATATGCAAATACATATATACAGTTACTCTCTCTTTTCAAAAGGTAGCATGTCATAGAAACTTCTTCCCACCTTGCTTTGACTATACGTCCTGGCTATTGCTCCATACCTGCACCCTGCATCTCCTTACTCTTTCCGACAGCAGCACAGCACACCACTATATAGAAGAACCAACTGCTGTTTAACCAGTGCTCTAGTTACCAGTGAGAATTTTCCATTGTTTAAAGTCCTTTGGTAAGTCATATAGTACCACAGTGAATGGATCTTTTCCTAGTTTTACAGTATATATTTGATACAAATTCCTGGAAGTGGGACTGCCCTGACAAAGAGTAAATGCATATGCAATTTTGCTAGCTGTTGCCAAAGTCTCCTCCACAGGAGTTGTACCATTTTATATTCCCAACAATTTTTTTGTAAAATTATGATAAAATGTTATTTACCTTTTGGATTTCTGCCCATCTTACAGCTTAACTTACATTAAGAAGATCCAACTTAGGAATACCCGATCATGTTTTAGGCTCAGAAACATGAAAGCAGTGCTTTACAGCTGATTCCCTCTCCAGTGATGACGCTTCATCACAGAGGCAGATGAACTGAACTGAGTCTCCAATGAAAGCCTTGTTCACTCTCACATAACTCAGGGTTCTGGAAAAAGGAATCCTGGGGGCACAGCAGGAAGAGCCAGGAGTGTGCAGAAGCAAAACAGAGTACCCAGGCTAAGGAATGCTGCCTTCCTGAGGCTGAAGAGAGGAGTGCGGTGAACAACATGGGGCCCTCCATCCCACCACCACCCCCATGGGCTCTGCAAGCTCTTCCTGAGTGTCTATTCTAAACCTGGGGTTCAAGGAACTGGACGGGCAAGGTTTCCACCCAGATGGAATTCACACTGGGGAGACAGATAGAGAAGACAATCACGTCAGACACCAACCAGGCCATGAGGACAGCACAGTAGGACACAGAGGTAGGGCTAGTGGTGCATCAAGCATGGTCAGGGAAGACTACAGGGAGCTGAGACCCAAGGGCCAGAGCCAGGTACTGCCTGAGCCAATACCTCCTTAATGATTCACTCTGGAGCAACTATAATATTTGAACATTTTTACCAGCAAAATAAATGCAGTAAAACAAAGAACATCTACTCAACACTGTGTAACTGAGGGATTCTAGTGCTAGAGGATTCTTACGGAGGAAAGCAATTACATTTTTATTGGGAGGGGAGGTTGGGAGTGCGGTACTGGGGTTTGAACTCAAGGCTTCTTGTCTGCTAGGCAGGCAGCCTACCTCTTGAGCCACACCTCCAGCCTGGGACTTTTTTTTTTCCTTAAACTTGTGCCTTATCTGTAGTGAAGAAGCCTGAGTCAGACGCAGATCTAAATCCCACCTGGCCCCTGACTGGCTGAATGTGGGCGGTCTGGTTCTCTTCTGAAGGAAAAACGGGGTGGTCAAGACCCCAGCAGGGGTGGGATCTAACAGGACTAACATTCTGTTTGAGACCCCTGGGTTTGAAGCCCTCACTAGCTGTAGGTGTTTCTCTGTCCTGTGCCTCCATTTCCCCATCTGAAAACTGGGGCTGCTGACCAGTTCATCATAGGCTGCAGGGGCAGTGAGACTTCACAAAGATTACAACAGCAACATTGCACACACCCTCCCACGGGGTCACGGTCAGCACTACCTGGGCTCAAAGTAAGTCCTCCATCCTCAGTACTATCCATGTAATATAACCAAGAGACACTGCCCCATGTCTTCCTTGAGATGGCTCTAATACCAGCAATTCATCCAACCAAATCATGAAAATCGTCACTGAAGAGTCCTGCCAGATCAGGCTCCTACTTCTCTCCAATCAGTCCTCCTACCTTAGGGAACTGGTATGTTTGAGTTGACCACAGACAGTCCTGGTTCCATGCTGCCCAGACCCTCATATACACTCATGACTTTTCATGCTCCCATGCACCACACCTGGCCCTGCCCTGAGTCTCCATCTCCCTGGAGTACCCCTCCCGGCTACTTCTTATACACCCTTCACAGCCCCCACAGTCAGCCAGCAGGTACTGTACAAATGACCAGGCGTTTTTCAGGCAGGAACCCTGCCTTTTCCTTTCCATTGTTCCCCTCATACCAGCCTCAATGACACCTGGTGGGGATGAGGGTGTTCTCTTCCAGAGACTGACTCTGAGAAGTTTCTGAAGAACCCCATGATTTGGGACTGCGTGAGCAGGAAGTTCTCTTGAGAGTAAGAGAACTTTAAAAATCAATAAGAAAAAAGGAAGCCAGCTGAAAGAAAAGTGGGCAAAGACTCCAACGGTTACTTCATAAATGGCAGGTAGAACGCGTGTGTGACCAGGTGCCCAGCTGCACGTCACCAGAGCAGTAGAAACTACAGCCCCATGTGATGCGTCTTCTCCTAGGGGCTGAACTGAAGTGACAGCATCCAGTGTGTGGAGGCAACTTGGTGCCATTGCCCTGGAAAACAGCTGAGCTTGTATGTATCCCATGACTCAGCAACTTCACCCACGCCCCCAACAGGAACACAGGCATGTGTGTCACCAAGACACGCAAGGATGTTTGCTACACCACTACTCTCCACAGGCCCACCCAGACACAACCCAAATACCAAGCACGGGCAGAAGAAACAGTCTGTGCTTGTTGATTCAAAGGATTTGGAGCAATAAGCATGAGCCCTGCTGCTATAGGCAATAGTGTGGCAGATCCTACAATACTGAAAGAAGCCAGGCACCAAAAAGTGCACACTGTGCAATTTCTTTATCTATCATATGAAGTTTTAAAGACAGGCAAAATTAACCCAGTGTCAAATGTTAGCTGCTTCTAGCAGTTGGTCTTGGGGAAGGGGCGCCCAGGGTCTTTCATCAAGCCGCACACTTGTAAGAAGGGCACTTTCTCCATACTCATGCTAAGTTTCAGTAAAAAGGATACAGAACATGGGATGGTCAAAAACATAAAACCAACCAGGTAAACTCTAAAGAAAAATGAGCATAGCTGACAAGCCTCTGATAAAAATCTGGTTAGAAAAGGACATATAAAGAGCCTGTAATCCTAAATAAGGAGACAGAGATCAGGAAGATCGCAGTTAGAAGCCAGCCTGGGACAAAAAACCCAACACAAAAAGGGCTGGTGGAATGGCTCAAGGTATAGGCCCTGAGTTCAAACCCCAGCACCACAATAAAGAAAGAAAATGACATGTAAACACTAATAGAGGGAGTAAATATGATCCAAAACATTGCACACATAGATGGAAACATCACAATAAAGGCCCTGTGTACAATTAATATATGCTAATTGTAAAAACTCCATATAAGCCAGGCATGGAGGTGTACACCTACAATCCCAAGCACTTGGGAGGCTGAGGTAAGAGGATGATGAGTTCAATGCCAGCCTGAGCTACAGAGTGAGTTCAAGGCCAGCCTGGGCTATATAGTGACACCTGCCTCCAAAAAAAAAAAAGCCAAAAAATAAATCTACATGCAGAAGAAGTAACAGGAGAAGACGACAGAGATCCAGACATGAGTATGAAAGGCTGGAGCTACGTTAACAGAGGATTAGAAATGGATCCTAGCCATATGACAAATGCTCTGTACTACTCTAAGATAAATGCAAATTAAAATTACAGATGCCATTTTTTTTAATCTACCAGATTCCTAGAGATCATAAGTTTGACATGAAGATCTACTGATCCTTATACACTAAAGTATAAATTGATACAACCTTTTTGGAGACCATATGGTAAAATCCATCAAGCTTTAAAATATACATCTTTGAAGCTGGGCATGGTGGCATACACCTATAATGCCTGTACTCGAGAGGCTGAGGAGGTGGATTGCAAATAATGGAACCCTGTCTCAATAAATAAATAAACAAACATCTTTGTCTTAGCAATAGTGTTTCTATCAATTTATCCTAGCCTTTACCTGCATGAGAAATAGCATACTCTCCACACAA